ACACCTGGTACAGGTGATAGGAGTCTTTCACCACTGTATACAGGACCATGTCTACCAGACAAGACAAGATGTAAGTAGTATATAACACTGTGGACACCTGGTACAGGTGATAGGAGTCCTTCACCACTGTATACAGGACCATGTCTAACAGACAAGACAAGATGTAGGTAGTATATATAACACTGTATAAAGGACCATGTCTACCAGACAAGACAAGATGTAAGTAGTATATAACACTGTCACTGTGATATCCTATACCATTACATGTGATCTTTTTACCATGTATCTTGTGTTTTCAGCCTCCTCTGTCTCTGCTGAATTTCTACCCGCTAAACCTGAGAGCTCTAGTCAGTGTGCTGCAGATATGCCCTAAAGGTACATCTTAAGGAAGTCATTTTTGGATTTTAGCATTTTATAAATTCATTAACAATTAAAACTCTAAAGACAGTGGTTCCAGTGTTAGGATATCATTGGTGTTTGTAAGGTTGGGGCTAGAAAGTACTGGGGCTAGAAAGTATTGTATAAGTGGATGTTCATGTTATTTCAGATCTTTCCACAGATGGTTGTTGTAGTTGTATAAAACAAATAGAAAACCAAATACATCTTCTGCTGGAGCAGGACAACCTTGTCTCTCCATATGACCTTTGGCTGCTGCTAATACAGTTCAACACATGGTATTACACGTGTTTAGAGATGCTGCTTATAGCAGAAAAAGATGTGAGTCAGTCAGTGAATAGTTCTGGTTTTCTTGAAATAGTGTATTGAAAATTTGGTTTGCAAGATATCAGTCAACTTTCATAGATTTCAATTGGTTTCAAGTCTCAGGCATTTAGAGGAATAGCATGCATTTCTTGTGTATGATAACTGGATTGTGCGTTGTGTTTAGATCATTCCTGTTGCACTGGCTCTCATCTACTGGTATATCTTCCCAGACACTCCAGAACAACAGGAGCAGGTCAAGGTGAGGAAAGTCTTACTACCTGGTTTTATACCCAGTAGACATGATGGATTTCGGGAAAGATTTTTGAACAATTTTAAGAAACCTCATTTATTTATTTATTTATTTATCAAAATACTCATCTTATATTGTATTGTATTGTATTGTATTGTATTGTATTGTATTGTATTGTATTGTATTATATTATATTATATTATATTATATTATATTATATTATATTATATTATATTATATTATATTATATTATTTCAGGGTCATATCAAAACCTTAACAGTAAGTCTCCGTGGTTTACTGTGTAAAAGCACCCTGTGTCCTCAGGACCTGGAGTATGCCCTACTACATGCCCAGCCTGGACCCCATAGTCCACTGCCTCAGGCCACTCAGACCAGTGTCCACTCTGTGATGACCCAGCTACTCTCTGTGTTCTTACTTCACGCCAAGGGAACAGGCGGCTCTTACACACACATACTTCAGATGGTGAGTGGAGATTACCGTCCACAGTCTGGGTCAATGTAATATTGGACAAACAGACTTATAGGAGGGGTGGGTTAAGGGTCAAAATTAGATTTCTGGTTACCATGATTAACACAACTGGTACTTGTCTGATGAAGTGTGACAAAAGTGAAAATTTGTGTAGTATCATTCCTCACCTTATTTTGCGTGTTATCTTACAGGGTAGTTAATACAGAGGGAACTTATTACCAGTAAGAGTAGAATTGTAGATTGTAGATTCTAACACTGTCCTGTGCCATATTTCCAGGTGACAGGATCCTCAGACCCAGCAGTCCATGCCTGTAGCCTGGTATACACCCTGGAGAACATGAACATGGCTGTAGACTGGGGGAGGGAGGACAGGATGCAGACACTCCTCCAATATCTCCTGCCCTGGCTTCACAGTCTTAAAGAACAGCTCTATGGCACTGGGGACAAGGCAGTGATAGAATGTTTGGAAAAGTGGACAGATAGATTTAATTTAAAACAAAAAAGCTGATAACCATTGTTTTTCTGATGCTACACCTCTTACAATGGGTGGAGACTGTACCAAGTCTTAGACAATTTATTATATCAGCTTCCTCACTGGAGAACAGGGTCAAAACAGTGTAAAGACAGAGACTAAGACAAACACAGGGGCATAATATTAACTGTTCATATTATGCCCCTGTGTTTGTCTTAGTCTCTGTTAAACAGCATTTGAGGAGATTATTGGTGCAATTAAAACAACGCTTTCTTGAATCAATATTGTTGAATTATTTTATTCCTTTTTTTTTGTTCAAAGTGGAAAACCTACTAAAGAAAATAGTTGAAATCCAGTATATCTAAAATATAAAATAAAATATTTTTGTAATTTATATCTTTGTTGGCATAGGATTTTATAGTAAATAAATGTAGACAAACATGTGACAAGATTTGCAAAAGCACTGAAACGAGAAAAAATGAAGTGTCTGGCAAGTCGAAAGGGAACTTACTCGTGGTGTTTTCTGATAAATTTAGAATGTTTATGTATTAATTACTATGTTTTAGTTATAAAGAAATATCATTAGTAAGTACGGTCTTCATGGCGCAGTTTCTTGATTCCTTCCCATTGCTGAGGAGGTGACACTGGACGTGTGGTAGCAGGTGTTCGCTCAGATGAGGTCCGGGAGGGAGGATCTGGCGCTGGTGGTACCGCTGAGTTCCTACAGCATACAATTTATAAATATAACAAATGTGTAGCTTACATTTCCTTTCAATTTAAAACATTTAAAATTATATGTAATAAAATCAAACGTGCTGGTCACTTTTTTGAAATACACACGTAACGTACGTTATAATTTATGGAAAAACGACAAACTTGAAAGTCTTATTTCTGTTTAAATTAAAACATGTTTTGAAAATGCGTTTACGGAAGATGTCATTATATTATATTTGATTTGATTTCACTCGCCTGGTGTCAGGTGTGTCGTTAGACAGAGTTACCCCTGTGGCAAGAGACTGATTTTGCCCAGCGTTTCCGGGAATAGGCTNTCATGTCCACCAGACAAGACAAGATGTAAGTACTAGAAATCAGTGTCACCCTCCCTGTAGTTGTATACAGCTGTATATGTCACTCAGATATCCTACATTGTGATCTTCCCCAGTGTGTCACATTTTACTAACATATGGATCTTGTGTTTTCAGCCTCCTCTGTCTCTCCTGAGTTTCTACCCTCCACATGTGAGACCTTTAGTCAGTTTGCTGCAGATATGCCCTAAAGGTACATCTTTAGGAAGTCATTATTGGATTTTAGCATTTCAAAAAATTAATAGCATTTAAAACTCTTAAGACAGTGGTTCCAATGTAAGGATATCATTGGTGTTTGTAAGGTTGGGGCTAGAAAGTATTGTATAAGTGGATGTTCATGTTATTTCAGATCTTTCAACAGCTGGCTGTTGTAGTAGTATAAAACAAATAGAAAACCAAATACATCTTCTGCTGGAGCAGGACAACCTTGTCTCTCCATACCTCTGGCTGCTGCTGATACAGTTCAACACATGGTATTATACGAGTTTGGAGATGCTGCTTATAGCAGAAAAAGATGTGAGTCAGGGAATAGTCCTGGTGATCTTTAAAAAGTGTATTGGAAATTTGGTTGTAAGTTACCAGTTTTCATAAGTTCCAATTGGTTCAAGTTTCAGGCACTTTAAGGAATAGCATTCATTTTCTATTACTATTATTTCAATTACATTTTGTTACATGTTGAACAATAACTGGATTGTGTCTCGTGTTTAGATCATTCCTATTGCACTGGCTGTCATCTACTGGTATATCTTCCCAGACCCCCCTGACACTCCAGAACAACAGGAGCAGGTCAAGGTGAGGAAAGTCTTACTACCTAGTGTTATACCCAGTAAACATGATGGATTTTGGGAAAGATTTTTGTAACAATTTTAAGAAACCCTTCTTTCTTTCTTTCTTTCTTATAATACTCAGCTTGTATTAAAATATATCATTTCAGGGTCATATCAAAACCTTAACAGTAATTCTCCGTGGTTTACTGTGTAAGATTACCCTATGTCCTCAAGACCTGGAGTATGCCCTACTACATGCCCAGCCTGGACCCCAAAGTCCACTGTCTCAGGCCACTCAGACCAGCGTCCACTCTGTGATGACCCAGCTACTCTCTGTGTTCTTACTTCACGCCCAGGGAACAGGCAGCTCTTACACACACATACTTCAGATGGTGAGTGGAGATTACCGTCCACAGTCTGGGGTTTATGTAATATTGGACAAACAGACTCATAGGAGGGGTGGGTTAAGGGTCAAAATTAGATTTCTGGTTACTGTGATTAACACAACTGGTACTTGTCTGATGAAATGTGACAAAAGTGAAAATTTGAAAATTTCATTTGAGTAGTATCATTCCTCACCTTATTTTGCGTGTTATCTTACAGGGTAGTTAATACAGAGGTAACTAATTACCAGTAAGAGTAGAATTGTAGATTGTAGATTCTAACACTGTCCTGTGCCATATTTCCAGGTGACAGGATCCTCAGACCCAGCAGTCCATGCCTGTAGCCTGGTATACACCCTGGAGAACATGAACATGGCTGTAGACTGGGGGAGGGAGGACAGGACGCGGACACTCCTCCAATATCTCCTGCCCTGGCTGTACAGTCTCAAAGAACAGCTCTATGGCACTGGGGACAAGGCAGTGATAGAATGTTTGGAGAAGTGGATGGATAGATTTAATTTAAAACAAAAAAGCTGATAACCATTGTTTATCTGATGCTACACCTCTTACAGTGGGTGGAGACTCTACTCTGTACCAAGTCTTAGACAATTTATTGTATCAGCTTCCTCACTGGAGAACAGGGTCAAAACAGTGTAAAGACAGAGACTAAGACAAACACAGGGGCATAATATTAACTGTTAATATTATGCCCCTGTGTTTGTCTTAGTCTCTGTTAAACAGCATTTGAGGAGATTATTGGTGCAATTAAAACAACGCTTTCTTGAATCAATATTGTTGAATTATTTTATTCCTTTTTTTTTTTGTTCAAAGTGGAAAACCTACTAAAGAAAATAGTTGAAATCCAGTATATCTAAAATATAAAATAAAATATTTTTGTAATTTATATCTTTGTTGGCATTGGATTTTATAGTAAATAAATGTAGACAAACGTGACTAGATTTGCAAAAGCACTGAAACGAGAAAAAAATGAAGTGTCTGGCAAGTCGAAAGGAAACTTACTTGTGGTGTTTTCTGATAAATTTAGAATGTTTATGTATTAATTACTATGTTTTAGTTATAAAGAAATATCATTAGTAAGTACGGTCTTCATGGCGCAGTTTCTTGATTCCTTCCCATTGCTGAGGAGGTGACACTGGACGTGTGGTAGCAGGTGTTCGCTCAGATGAGGTCCGGGAGGGAGGATCTGGCGCTGGTGGTACCGCTGAGTTCCTACAGCATACAATTTGTAAATATAACAAATGTGTAGCTTACATTTCCTTTAAATTTAAAACATTTAAAATTATATGTAATAAAATCAAACGTGCTGGTCACTTTTTTGAAATACACACGTAACGTACGTTATAATTTATGGAAAAACGACAAACTTGAAAGTCTTATTTCTGTTTAAATTAAAACATGTTTTGAAAATGCGTTTACGGAAGATGTCATTATATTATATTTGATTTGATTTCACTCGCCTGGTGTCAGGTGTGTCGTTAGACAGAGTTACCCCTGTGGCAAGAGACTGATTTTGCCCAGCGTTTCCGGGAATAGGTTCAACAAATCTTAGTTTCTGCAAACTGCCAGTCAAGGATTGAGAAGATGCGTCCTGTCCACGTGAGGGAGGAGCAGCACGAGGCAAGCCGCCAGGACTACCAGTGGATGTCGTGATTGCAGAAGCGTGAAGTAGAGGTCGTCGAGTGACGGGCAGTGAGACATCGGGTTGAATAGGAGCGACTGCACGTGGGCGGTTACCCGATAATACGGGTGAAAAGAGCGTCGGAGGAACATTTGCAACAACAGTGGCAGGTGTCGGAATCAGCACAAGGTACTGTGAAACATTTGGCGTCATTTGTCCACTGCTTATCTGTGGCATAACTGCTGCCGTGGTATTGTTGTTGCAGGGCATAACTGTTGCCGTGGTATTGTTGTTGTATGGCATAACTGTTGCCGTTGTATTGTTGTTGTATGGCATAACTGTTGCTGTGATATTGTTGTTGTATGGCATTACTGCTGCCGGATTCACCGGATGATCCTGGCTCCCTAAATCCACGTTCCGCTGCAAAGTTTGGGCGTTCAAACTGTTAACCGTATTGACGCAGTTGCGGTAGTTCCGGAAAAGTTTATATCGCTCTTCCTTTAGTTTGCTGATCTGTTTGTTGATATCAAAGTGTCTGCGGCGAAAGTCGGCAACCAGTGCCTGGATGTGGCGAGGCGTTACAGTAGTTGTAAATGACATGATAGAATGAGCGGCTGACTTTGCGACATTGGCGACTGGTACGCCATTGGCACTGCCAACGACTGGCATGGTAACATGTGTGGCTGGCATTGAAGCGACTGGGTTTGACATGGCAGTTCCTGTGACTGTCAGTGCATGTACAGAGCCTGGCTTAGTCATACTATTGCTTGTCAAGTATGTAGCTGAAGGCGCACTTGTTAAACCTGCAACCACGATTGGTAGATTAACTGACTGTATACCTGGTATACTTGATGGTTCGCTGTGAGCCAAACGGTCGTTCTGATGTTGAATAGATGTGTGATTTCTGCGAAACAAGTCCTTGTTTTCTCTGATAGATTTCTCAGGAATTGCCGAGATGTTAGAACGTTTTATGAAACTTTCAGTGTCTTGTCTCTGTGTATAAAAAGAGCTTTCCGCTGTCATACACTCATCCTCTCTTTCGTTTACGTGGTCTTCTTTTCCATGGTGACGTATGTGACAAGCACCGCCAGCCTGTTGCGTAGCAAGAGAGCCATGTCCAACTTTGTCATGTGAAGTCGCAACATTTTCACTGTTTGTGCTGGTATTATTGTAACACTGTGCATGTTTAACGCCGCACATGTTAACGAGGTTCTCGTTGTCGCTGACTTCCGGTTTAACATGCTTGTCACATAGATTGCGATCCCCACTGCCTTGACTTGTTTGTAGAATGTCAGGGTTCGTACCTTGGACACTTGAAGCGGCGTCTTCTGCAAAGTTCTTGTTGTCAATATCCTTTGACAAGTCCTGAAAACTCGAAACATCGAAATTGTTTTCACCATCAATTTCAAATTCAGCACCAAAGACTTGGGAACGTGTCTCTTCCTCCGCCGGGTCCTCGTTGTCTTCTATCTGACTGCGGACATTGTTGATATTGGTGTTATCAGCGCCATATTCAGGGCTGAGCGTCGGCATCGTCTTACTTCCTTGGTATGTGTTTTCCACCAAATGTTCAGGTAGTATAGGGTTGAGTACCGGCATACTTCTTCTAAAGTTGACTCGTTCTCTCTTTTCGCAGGCAAATATCTTTTCTTCTAAATCTATCCATCTTTGATATCCGATCCTCAGTAAATGTCTGAGTAGTCCTGGCTTGCCGAACTGGAAGTTTGAACTGAAATATATCATCAGACCGCTCAGTGGCGGTGGCTCGTGCAATCCAAGCTCTGAAAACCGAAGTGCTCCGCTGGTCGAGACTTTACGAAAACCAAATCTTTGTAAGTTTCTCGTCAAAGATTTCAGTTTGCTTGTGGTCAGTAACCCTGCATATTGTTCCATGGCCAGAGATTTGTACCCGATACTGTCAATAACGACGGCCTTCCCATCTTCGGTCCACCTTATGACACCCTCACGAGGATGCATATGGACCATAATCCACAGACGAATAGGAAAGGCTGTCGTCCAAGGTGAATCCACGGGGTTTTCCACATTAATCAAGTCCTTTATGAAATCCTGCACGAAGTCCTCTGCTGTCGTGGTCATGTTCTGTCCGAGATGTTTGCAGACGACGGGTGAACTGCTTGCCTGTTCATACTGAAATAAGTTGTGATGGAGACGAGGATTGTGCACATTATGACGTAATAATTTACGAATGCACATACTGTGACGTTACAAACGTAAACGTAGAGCTTTACGATAGCCAAAAAATCTAAACGTGGCATTTTTAGCTTTGATTATTTCAGTTCTGAACACCGATTGCCAGCTAAAGTTTTGTTCGAATACTAAAATATATCACATACATTATACACACGCAAATACTGTTTTTAGTCTGAATTCATTAGGAGATAATATCAGTGAACTTATATACTATTCCTCTCATGATTTTGTTTGATAACTATTACGCAGATACATACAAAGTAAATTTGTGACGCAGCCATGACATGACGCACGTTACGTGATGATGTCATGCAAACAGTCATCCAAAGAAGCGCTTTTTCGAGAATTTGAAGTTCCATAGGAAGACGGGATCTAGAAGGTAGGTATGTTCCATGCCAAAAACAGTATGTTATCAACCACAGAGAAGATGTTTCGATTAAAAGGCCGTTTTATCATTTTTATGTTCTCTTTTTATTTATTCCCCGAGACCATTTAAATTTTAACGTAGGCGTAAATGGTAGTCTATTTTTCTCGTGCATATCATGGGACTATCCCTAATTACGATTTCTTTATTTTTTTCAAACTTAAGATAGCCTATATCCTGATGGTGTGTAGCTCATTCTATGCTTATGAACCCTTTTTCTTTAACAAATGTTTTTGCAGGCACTCTTTCAGATACCAAAAAAATGAACAAAAGAACCATTAGTTCGAATGTGAGAGTGGTCCATGTCCAACCGCGTAAGTCAGAAAACTCTGATGCCATCGACGAACATGACGCCACAGACGCCTATGCCTGTTCCAAATGTTCTAGCGGTGAATTAGACACAAATCTCCCGAAAGTCAAACTAGTCCATGTTCGTCCATGTCGCTCAGATAACACTGGAGTCACCAAAACTGAGGATAGTGGGTTTCAAGTTAACCCTACAACCGAGGACCAGAACTCTGTATCGGGTTTTCCTGCTTTAAGCACGGTTAAAGCCCGTCCTTTATATTCAGAGAGCGACGTAGTCGACGGTGAGTACAGTCAAGTCTCTCACAACATCATGAAATACAATAAATTAGCTGAAAACTTCTCCAAGTCTCCAAAGGTAAATGACACGAGTGGCGCTTGGTCATGCCGCTCGGAAAAACCTAAAAGAGAAAACGATGATAATATTGATGTCGCCTTTGCTATGACAGAGTCTACTGAACATATCGCCTGTGGAGATTTTCAGCTACCAAACGAAGTTGCTGATGATATGACCTCACATCTGAAAGACAATGACCGCATTCTGACGTCATCTCCTATATCCACTGAGGAAACACGGGAAAACAGGCCTGCTGCAAGTTCAGACTGGAAAAAGCCATTCAAATCAGATTTAAAAGAACTCCGATCCATGAAGACAGAGAGGTGTGGGGCTATTACTGTGGAGGACTATAAGGCCAATGGACCATGTGCTTTTTCTCATTCTGAATTAAGGAATCAGCTGGGTATGTTGGAAAATGTATATATGACCATGAAACGACAGATGGAGTCGCTTCTGGACGAAGCCAAACGCCAGCGTAAAGTAACACGTGGTCTCGAGGCAGACTTCAGACTTCTCTCAGTAAGAGCAGACTTGATGCGCAAGGATATGAGCGTACTGCACTCAGACGTTATTGTTCACTTGCAAGAAGCAACCGAAAAAGAGTACTTGGAAAAAGTTAACGACAAAATGCACACTTTTGACCGCGGCATGCGCCTGGTGCCGTACCGCATCAAGTCCGACCAAGATATGCCGGAGATGGTGTTCAGAGCGCCCTCTGTGGAAAACCGGAGAAAGAAACACGCAGTGAGAATACGGAAATTGGGCGGAGGGATCAGGGATAAGCTCAAGGCTTTGGGCTTCAAAAGGACAGATAATTGAACTTTGTGATCACTGCCGTTACTTCTTGGTTTCCACAAAACACGGGAGTTCCACACTGGCGGATTGAACACAACACTTGGTTTTGCAAAAGACGAACACTTTATTTTACTTTTCGTTAAAAAATGAACTGGTCAAATATGACGCCAGTCACAATAAAATAGAACAAAAACGGCAACAAAATGCTATATCACGTAATAAAAAGCCTAGAAACTTACAAAATATTTGCAATGCACACACCCGTTTAAAGGGTCCTGCGTTTCCCGATGTTGGTGCCAATATACAACTGTATGAGAGGTACCAACTGGTTAAGTACATGTACCAGTCTTTAATATTTTTATCTGCGCTAACCCCTACCTGTCACCACAATATACAACATTTTAAATAACGTACGCACTAACAAACTATCCACCCAAAAATGATACATCAGCCACGACTGCACTCTATCGAACACTTGGCTTTCTCACCTGTATATGTAAAAAAAAGACGTCTTCGAGTGTAATCGCCATGCATAGTACACGTTGGAAAAAGCGTGGCAAGAACCTCACTGCATACAATGAGCCTATTCTCAACTTCAAGCCATCATAATACATCTGTTAATACGTTTACTATTGCACACTTTAAAATAGAGATTCATAAATTACATACATGCTACAGACGGCAGACTAGATAAAATGTTTACAAGCAGTAGGATATGAAATGTTCAGCTGAACGTCTATCATGCTCAAGTTTAACAATAAATACATAGAATTTTTACAATGACATCCCATCCAGCCAATCTCTAGAAAACAGGGAAGTGAGGAGACGCCAATACTTCACATTAGTATGGAGGCTGCAGAGAGTATTTTGAGCAGTGGCAGGACTTTGTTTCTATATTTAGTTAGTCACACAGGAAGCACTGCCGCACAAGTCGGCATAAACTATTCAAAACGAGACTTAATTCCATGGATTTTGTGCTTTCTAATAGCCCCCCCCCCCATCCCCACTCTACCACCATCAAATAAATAAGTTATCAACATATATGAAAATAAATGGTCTTTGGCAATTACTTATGGTTCGTTTAGAGGTATATGGAAATTGAGGACTATTTGGAGATGGTGATCCTAGGAGACTGTCAACTAATCCTTGATATGCTAAGTTTTTACATCACTAATCATTAACAAACAATCAGGAAGTAATATACATGAAGCAGTTCAATCACCATGACAACTGCTCTGGTGACAATGATTTGTCACATGATTTGCCTACAGCACTGAAACAGTCTGAATATACGTCAATCCACTGAGCTAGCTGGAACATATCCAATATCATAAAACAAATTCAAAGCAATGCTGTGCTATCAGACTTCTCAGTGCACTTCACAATAAAATGAACAGTCAACAGCAATATGTATAGAAGTTTCCTGTTATCTTAACCAGCTATACCAGATCACATTGCTAAGTAGGCCATGCCATCCTATGTACTGGAAAGTTAACTGATTCATACAAGCAAATCTCATAGTGGCTGCTGCTTACCAGGGACCACATAACTGTCAATAGGGACAATTATAACTGTATAAAAACAATTACTTTGGTATTGGCAACATGGGATCTGTCTTCTGCCACTTGTAAATTTTGGAACATTTTGCCAAGAAACTTATTGTAAATGCTGGGAGATTTTGCCAAAACCTCATCCTTGTTCAACCTGACTTATCTCTTGCAACTTATAAATATTTGGAAGTTTTTGTCAAATCTTGTCCTTCAAATAGTTCTAGTTGATTTGTCAGCTGCATATACTTTGGTGTTTGTGCTCCTAGCAGAAGTCAGTAGTATGGCAGTGAATACAAGCACTACAGCCAGCTGCCAGCAAACTGTTCTATAAGCTCTGGTCTGTAGTTCTCTCTCTGTGCACCAGGTGTCACCATTCATGCTGCTGTCTTCTCTGTGGTGATGGTGACGGTGTCGGTGGGACCGGCGCTGGTGGGGGTGGAGGTGGGGGTGATCTCTGCCAGTTTTTCTAGGTATTCCACAACATTCACATAACCAGCCTCTCTGGCCAAGTCTGTCGGCACCTGGCCATCCTGAGGAAAACAAATAAGACATTTTTTGTCAATGACAATCCCTACACACCCCTGATAATACAGTAGCCCACTTCCAACAGATTTTTTATGATCCATATTCAAGATTCTTTAGAAATTACTTCACATCAAACACTATATACCTACGTTGTTTTTTAGATCCAGTTTTGCTCCTGCTTGAATGAGTTCCTTCACTATTTTTAACTGCCCAAACAAAGCTGCCGCATGAAGTGCGCTCTCTCCATTCTGAAACATACACAGTTACATTAATAAAGGTCCTTGCCTTGTCTTCTCTCTACTTTATGAACATAACTGACAAAACCAAATCCCCTTGGAAGCGTGTCTTAATTTAAGGCTTGTACAATTTTTATTTAACATTTTCAAATGTGTCTTATGTTACAGCACACCTACCTTTATCACTCCCAAGTTAGGTTTACATTTCAGCAGTTCTTTCACCACCTCCAGGTGACCTTTGTGGGATGCCTTAAATAATGGGGTGGCTCCATCCTAGCTCAAACATAAAACATTGATGAAGTGCTTCATTGCTGATAATTAGATTATGGAGACTATTAGGGACCATTCCCAGACTCTATCGTGCTAACCTATACTGTCAGTCTAAATATATTCTCGAACACAATCTTAACTTACTTCTCTTATACAATCTAAACTTAATTCTCTAACTTAATCAAAACTTACTTCTCTAACACAATCTTAACTTATATTCTCTAACACAATCTAAACTTACTTCCCTAATACAATCTAAACTTACTTCTCTAACACAGTCAATCTCTGCACCAGCATCAATGAGTTCCTTCACAACTGTGACATGCCCCATCTGACAGGCTATCCACAGAGCACTGGCGCCATCCTGTGGACACAAACATTAATATTACTGATGACAGCTTTTGATCGAGATTAAAAATTAATAATATATAAACAAATAAACATACATTTGACATAAAATACTAGGCATTTTGTGAGGTAGTTAGTTGGCAACGTCAACTCTTAATAACAATCACCTTTCTCCTTGCATTGGCTTTTGCTCCCTTGGAGAGTAGGAATTTCACCATTTTCAAATGTCCATTCTGTGCTGCTATGAACAGTGAAGTGGCTCCATCTATCATCTCTGCCTGAATGTCTGCTCCGCGTGCTATCAGTTCCTCAGCCACATCTAAGTGGTTACACTGACAGGCCACAAACAAAGGTGTACCTCCATCCTGAAACACAGCATTCACTTACATAAATCTTCTCTCACGGCAAGCAAATTTTCCTGTCTTAATGCAATATAAATTTATTTATTAAACCAACCCTATACTATTACCAAAAAAAAATATTTCAGTTATTCTGATTTCTGTTCTTATAAATTAAGCTGGCAAAATTGCCGTTTTATTTGCACAGTTGTATAGGTCAACTTACACAGCTATGCAGGTCAACTTACATAGCTGGGCAGGTCAACTTACATAGCTGGGCAGGTCAACAGGTGCCCCATTCTCCAGCAGTTCCTTCACTATGTCTAAATAGCCTCCTTGAGCAGCAAAGAACAATGCACATGTACCAGTCTGGCAAAAGAAAAAAAATTATATCAATCTCTTATGCATTTTAAAAACAAGTTGATAATATAAAACAATATGCTTATAATAAGCTGCTTATTATGTTGCTCACCACACTGATACTGATACTGTAAAACAATATGCTTATTATGTTTATCACCACACTATAATAAGTCTATAAAATGTAAAACCAGTGCTGACTGCTGCTTTACAACCTGCATTTATCAGAATTCCCTTGTAAATTTCACATCATAGATTTATGATCATTTCCATCAGCCCCAGGGGCAACAACCTGGTCAATTTAGATCCGAGCAAGTCATAAACCAGATACATAAAACACAGTGTGTCACTGTTTGGCAAGCACACCTATTCTTTATTACTGCAAACCTTCAGGAGGCATTAGGTCTGTTACCTGTGCTATATAGACCCTAGATATACTGGGTATGACAATGTATAGGAAATGACCAGCTGTATGTGTTGTCTTACCAATCTCCTTGCTCCAGGGTCAGCCCCTTGTTTTAGGAGTTCTTTAACACAGTCCAGGTGATTGTTAGCAGAGGCTAAGATAAGGGGAGTTGTCCCCTCCTAAAATTGAGGAAAAATCAAAAAGAGGCAATATAATCACATGTCCAACAGGAGATAAATAGATTCCACTATCGTAATCTATTTATCTCCTGTTGGAGATAAATAGATTATGATAGTGGAATCTATTTATCTCCTGTTGGACATAAATAAATAGATTCCACTATCGTAATCTACAATGACTTTAAATGTACAGTAATTTGCATCTGATAAAGACATTTTTAGAGAGTTTGTCTTAAAATTTAACAGTGATTTCACATCGCCTTGTTCTTACCTTATCTTTGCAGTCTACATGAACTCTGCCGCTGTCCAATACTTTCCTCAGCTGCTCCAAATTCCCCTGCAATGACGCCAGGTGGAGAAGCTGGTCAGAGGGTGTCTCCTTCTGTAAAATGTAAAATTATGGCAAAGTTATACCTCTTTATTTATTAGTATGATGTTCAGAGCTGAAGATTCTCAAATACTAGTAGAGTGACTCACCAAAAGTGACTGTTATAAATAGCTACATGATCAGCACCATGCTGGTAACACAGCTAGCTGTTTAAGTTACAGCTTAAATGGGGCATACACCTGTACACGTGTCCTGCCAAAATACAGGTACATTTACATTTCAGCTGTGTATTTTACTGATAACAATGTTTTCAGTGTACAGCAGGCTTTGACTGCACAATCTCTTTATGTCACCTCTCATTTTTACTGCAACTTTTTACCACTACTGGTTCTCCAGGAGCGGATTCAAAGATATTTTCTGATAGTCTTCCAAATTATCTTTGTTGATCCGTTCTTCATTTTTGACCATCTTCCGACAGAAAAAAATTAGATACCCGTCAATGTAAACTTGAAAATCTGACCGTTTTCTGGAAGACCCAGAAGATGCCCTAAATTAATCCACCCCTGTTCTTAATGGTATTTTATACTGCTTGGGTTCTTATCTCCATAAAGGCTTGTGAGTTGGAGTCCATCAATCCAGTTTTGGCAAATAAAGACAAAGTTATTGCCTTTCTTTTGTATAATTGCCAGCATTGTCTTTTAAAAAGTAAATTGCATTGTTTTAAAGGTGCCACTGACATGACATACTGTATGATCTGAATTCCCAAAGATCAAGTTGGGTCTGTTTTAAACTGCATTTTCCTCATCACTTCCGATGACCAGCTTTGGAGTGGTTGGGGTAATTTTCAAAAATAATGACAAAAAAATTGACAGAAGTCTTTCAGTTGGATTGTTCATGTACTAGTACTGTACATGTATTAAAATGGGTGCAAGAAAAAGTGGATGCTCTTGGGTAATTGCCCTTACTAAACTGCTGTTTGTTCACCAAAGACGTAATTTGTAATGGCCCTAGATTTTAATGTTTTATCCACACACAAAACTGTGGCTACGGAGTTGGGTCCCAGCACAAAAAAAAATCTTTTACAGAATGACATATATGGGGATTTGCTGTGGGACAGGTGTATTCATGCAGTGCCACAATTAGATCTGAAGGTTGGGGCTCAGGAGGACGGCATGCCTTTTCTTATTCATTTGTCCAAATGTGCAATAAGGACCATCTTTCTGTATGACAGTGAACCACGTAACTTTGTGCGAGGAGACGGTGTGCATGTCCTCTGTGTGGAGAGTTTCAAAAATTAACTTTGACTGATAAAGCAATGTACTCTCTCGCCCGTCAGTCCCATAAGTGGTTAATTTGACATATTTACATGTATACATATACACATAGCTACATGCCGGCAATGAATTGAATACAACACTACAATCGTGTGCGTGAAACTCTGTGAGTGTTTGACAGCAATGCTATCGGCAAACAAAACGTGAACGAAGACGACAAACAATTCTCTGTATTAATGCGTTATCATAAAGCAATGGTTTTGCTTTGCGACTTCCATAAAAAGCGGTGAGAAAAACTCACTATTTCATGAAGATGATAATTAACATACCTTCAACGACATCCTCCACCTTTGCTGAAGAGAAATACGATACGATCTGACCGAGTTTCCTTTTGCAGATATGGATTGCCAAATTCTTCACAGCAATTACGTACCAAAAATAGCATACTTTATCAGCAAATAATTTACTTTCGTCACATTCTTTTTAAACATTTCATATATGATAACGATTGATATGACAAACATATATTCGTTCACATTTATGACATAATATTTAACTTGATTAAGGGGAATGAAAGATTATTTTATGGGGGACTAATCAAGTGACTTTGCTCGCAGTGAATTGTGGGACGGCCTTTTCCGGTAGGCATCCATTTTGTTCGGAAGGTAGATATGATACATGCTTCATTAAATAAACAAATCCACAACTTGACGATCATTTTTGACGATAAAAGAATATCAGTTTGCTCCATGAATATTCAATTATTCTCTCTCTTACGTCTGTAGGTTGAAGATAACACCACCATGCAGAACGAAGCAGGAGAATACGTGGACATGTACGTTCCTCGCAAATGGTAAGAGAACGTGCAAAACACGTGTTCACTCCGGGTTCACTCCTAATAATAAGAAATGATCAATTAAAATAATAAACAGTGTGCTTGTTTTAACTGCTGAATTTTAGAAAGGGGTTTTATTCTAAAATTTATTTTTACTGTGCGTTAGTATGTTAACGGCCCTACAACTAATCAGCCGGACGGATACATGTACGTGTCCAGGCCTTGTAAACGGATCAGGCGTTTACTAGCACTACCCACAGCTCTATTAGCACTAACACCCATGTTAACCATCAAAACCTAACTTAATTTGTGGGTTAGGTGGTTAATATGGGTGTTAGTGCTAATAGAGCTGTGGGTAGTGCTAGTAAATGCCTAATCTGTTTATAAGGCCTGGTATATTGCTCCCCAGTTTTTCTGTTATTCTAGGGCCTAATATCTCTGCACAGCGATTGATACAGTTGAATTTTTTTATCATTATCTTTTCAGTTCTGCGAGCAATAGAATCATTGCTGCTAAAGACCATGCCTCCATCCAGATCAACCTGGCTGAGGTAGGTGTGATGTATACAGGTGGTTCAGTAGGGATTTTGGCTTTTGGTGTAAACTAACTTTGATAAAGATATTTGATTGACATTAGCAGGCAAAGGCAAACTTCCTTCTTTTTCCAGATCTTTATTTTCGACTTTCTGACTAAAAGGGTGATTGTTGAGATTCTGTATGAATCTCTGAAAATGGCTGCCGAGTTCTAATCAGCTAGGTGGAGATAAATGGATTTCACAAATTAAGATAATGTTTGAAAATATATTTTTAAAGGATGATATTAAATAAATACCAATTTTATCATTTTAAATAAATAGAGAAATCATTTTTAAACATTTGCCTTCAGTCGACATTTTGAGCCTTCATTAAAGTGCTACTTTTCAGTTAAAATATTAAGATATCTTTATCCAATGTTGTTTAGGTTGATGAAAACACAGGTCGTATGACTGGCTCCAACAGGACGTACGCCATCTGCGGCCAGATTAGACGAATGGTGAGCAATGTTTTTGATTGATCCATGAAAACTAGAAATTAAACGTTTGTAAACATGCATTTCTTTGGGATTAATAGAGTTTTGTCATACTCCTGGTATTTAACTACATATGGCTTAGAAAGCAATATGGTGGCATGTGTACAGTCTGACATGATAAATGAAAACGGTGGCTTGAAAATGAAAAGGAAATATTGTGTTCATTAGTACACTTTTTGCTGGGAATTTTTTGATAGATGCATCTTTTTTCAGTTCATTTTATTTATTCCTTTTATTATATAATGTTATTGTTATTATTATTTTGCTACCAGGGTGAATCAGATGACAGCATTGCAAGGCTGGCAAAGAAGGATGGTATCATTCCAAAGTGAGTATTGTAGAACACAGATGCGGGACAACCCTATGTAGTCAAGTCTTGATTTATACAATTTTCAGATTCTCGAGTTCATTTGTAGTCTTTGCAGAAATAAGTGTTGTTTTACAAACACCTTTTAAAATGTCCTTACCAACTGCAGGTGGCGACTTTTGTGAATTTTGCCCAAAATCTTCTGGTATCCCTCGGCGATTTTAACATAATGCCTGCTATAAGATCTGTTTTGTTGTATACTTATTTGACATCAACTTATTTCTCTTATGTTTCAGGAACTATTGACATTATTTCAAGACCCTAGTTAAGATTCACATAAAGGAGGAAGATGAAGAAAACAAACTTTGCATTTTCTACATGAATATTGAATAAAAGTGGAAAACTATAAATTGGCTTTATAATGTGTTTTCTAACTATAAAATCTCTTGATATAAGCGGAAAGATACAAGACACTTTCATGAATATAAAAGCATAAATAAGGGGGAAGTTGCTACGGACCATTTACTAACAAGACTTAAGTAAATGAGGTTTTTATTTGCGCCATTATTTCAAGGCGAACCTATTCTCTTTGATAACAAAAACGCTTGCTGTGTGAGAGAGAAATTAGAGATAAAGCCGATATGACAGGAATGGTTGTCCGTTCCACAGTACTTTGTACAAGTGACATTCGTCCCATAATATATTAGACTCAATACTCCGACTATCCCTAACCTGTACTAATCGTATGGCACACCGGACTTCATCCCTAGGACTGCCATTCCTGTTACACCGGTTTTGAATTGACTGGTTGGCATTGTCCATGAGGAGTGTACTACAGAAGCGTGAGGTTGCACTCAGAGATTTTTCACAAATGAAGTTAAATGGGAAGAAGGGGGGGGGGGGCAGAGAGAGACCTCGTTGAGCACGTGCTGCGTTAGCATAAAAATAATTTGGATATCTGTCCAATTGGTAGCTGTGGAGGCACTGTTGTGTCAAAAAATCGTACTCTTAAAGTAGGTTATCTGAATCTTTGCAAAACATACATATAACGTTTAAAGACTAAGTTTAACTATAGCATTATTTGTTGGAGTACTGCTTTATGTAATTCAAGTTGTCACCTTATTGGCGGATATTTCTAAGCCAAACTGCCAACAAAAGGCCCCAAAAGCCGGCTGTGTAAAATCCCATATACAGACAAAAAGAACGCATTTTTTAAATCGCTGCAATTCCTGTCACTTTTGGTTTGGGGGGTGCTCTATTGTTTGACTGTGTTATTGGACTCAAAAATGTGTAAACGCCGAAAAAGTTGGCCTGAGGATTGGAAATGGATGTAGGGTTCATATAAAACTGGCGGATCTCAAAAATGAAATTATTCTGCCCCCAAAAAACTCCCAAAACTTGCACCCCATTTCCATAGATTAGATTGACCTACTTTAAATCGACCTAACTCCCTGGGGGTTCACGCTAAATAGCTGTCAGCCGGGCGGACACGAAAGTTAATTACCCCCTTTACAGCTTGTAGTAGGCGATACGGACATTTAAGTCGGATTATCTGAAAGTAATTTAGTGAGACTCCCCGCGGGGATAGATCGATCTAAAATCTATGGGAATAGAGCCCAAGTGTTGCGTTTCTTTTTTCCTTGAGTATACATGATAGCTACTGATGTTTTGTCGTTCGGAGTTAAATGATGTCCTGTCTCCTCCGATAAATGAAATAACTATGCATATCATTTAAATGGAGAACTATCTCTTTCTATAAATCAAAACTTGCAGAAAAATAGCTTTACTATGTAACCCGGTTTGGAAACGTTATGTGAAATTCAATTACACCGAGATTTTAATTTCACCGAGTCGGAGAGAACAAACGTCCAGGGAAAATCAAAATATTATATCGTCTACATACACAGTTTTACAGCTGTTACTTATAATCGACTTTTAGTAGACCATGAAAAGTAATTGTGTATGAAGTCTTGGTGACGGCTGTGACTTCTGTCACCGTTCTGTTTTGACAGGGTTCAACACTCGGTCACCAGGAGGTAGAGCGGCCGGCAAATAATGACCATCCGGTATTGTAATCCGGTGTCACATACCGTGACGACATTCGTCGTAATCCTTGTCCGCCAGCAATGGCTTAAAATTTCGTGAACATATTCATGTGTGTATCAAATCCTCTCTGCATACAAAGGTTGTTATGTTAGACCATAAAAGCATTTAGAAGAACAGCAAAAACTTTCACCTTGGGATCAGCTTGTCTTTTATGAAACACCTTTCAGACAAATAATCCGACTTAATAAGTCAACAGTAACCAAGACTGTTCAGCGGGGAGCTAGCATGGGGGTTTTGTAAAACACACATAATATGTTGAATAGGGCGGAATAATAAACTGTTCGTGGTATTTATTTTTCGCCTTTATAGAACTTTGTTGTAAACTGGCTAAGACGGGCTAGGTTAGTTACCTGTGAGTACAGCCGGTACCAGTGGAGTTATATATGTGTAGTAGAGGGTTTACAACACCCCAGCTAAGACACAAGAACTGAGGTTTATTTCAGATATTAATTTGATACAGCTGATGTGCTGATGGTGGAACCATGGCCGCCGAGCAGGTAAAAAAATATTTTTGTTATTTTATTCACCTTCACTCTGTCCAGATCATGGGGGAGGTTTTGATAACACGTAATTTGGTTTTCTGGAGGTCACTTCATATGAAAACACTTGCTTACACCAAGTACCCAATAAATGTGTCCTTAGTTATTTTTTTTATTATTTCGCACGCTTTATTTTCCTCTGATGCAGACGTTTTACACAGATGGATTCAAACAAGTATATTTTAGCTGATAATGCGTAAACACAGTAAAAGACGTTTAAAAGAAAAATAAAACGATCACAGCTGATAACATGCTTCAGAATTTTCTGAAGTAAGTTTCGTCAAAATTTTAAATAATACCGTTCTCTTAATTTACAGCTAACATCCCATACTTAGAAACTTAAAACTTGTAACTGAAAATGTTTCACTAAAAAAAACTGGTTGCCCTTCCGACTGCTCTGTAATTCTGTAGATCATTCTTTAAATTAATGGTTTTGTTAAAGTGAATATAGTGACGCCCTACAGAGGAGAGAGAGGAGCGCGGTATCACATCCAGTGGTTGGCGCAGTGCTTCAAAAGGCTTCCAGAAAATACGACATAAGGGGTAAAAACAAAGGAGAAAAATAGGACTTTTTGTGGTAAATTATAGCAAATAATAATATAAATAGAAATAGAAAAAAATAATGATTTTATATCTAAGATGCCTTTCCAACAACCCCAAGCCATTCTTGTACCGAATAGTTAATGATACAGTAACTAAATACATATATTGCATGTACAAAAACCGTATCTCAGTTTACTGTGAGTTTTTTTACTTCTTACTTCTAAGCTTTATATTAGAAGCTACAATCTGCATGTACAGCTAAGGAGATAATATGGACAAATGTATCCACATAAAATGTTCCGCAGTGCGTACTTTTTTCATTATTTTTCCCCCACAATCAACATGAGGTGACATATAAAATCAACTCTGTATCATAAAAATAGGGAAGAAAGAATTTTCTCAAAGAAAATGTCAAAAATAGGAATATCTATTTAAGAACAGGGTGAAATAAGAACAGTACAGTCCCGTGCCGCCCTGTTGTTGTGTGTTGGGGCACGAGAGCACGCGGGTCACGGTGAGCAGCATGTGACGTCTGCGACCTATTCTATCCAAAACCTCCTTGTTGTGAGCTTTTCTTTGCAAACAAAAGGGTCGTTCAGAAAACATATTTGGTAGCTTGTTTACTTATAAACCGCTCAGAATCGTGGAATTCAGATAAACATGTAGTGATGGCGTGTCAGGGGTACACCAATGTGTTGATTTTATTTTGCTTATCCGCATTTGCCATACAACGCAAGCAAACAAACGTTTTTTTTTCACCCAACCCCAGCACAACTCACAGTAACTTAATCCTTTTCCCTAATTATTTTTTTCTGCCAGCTTATTGATGTTATATATTTATTTGTCTGCCGTTTAAGGTTATGTAGACATAAGAAGTCCTCGCCACAACTTGTGTTTGCTTAGCTTTAGACGTGTGTAGTATTTTGTACAACTTTTTTGCTCGATGATATTTCCCAGTAATATTTGAAGCAAAACCTTCATTTTTCTTTGTCCTCTTTAATAAAACGTACTTGTATTGATCACACATTTTATCATTTTAGAATACAGACAGTTTGAGCGTGAAGGCATTAAAGGACCACACGGACCGCACAGAAGCCTCCCCCAGTGGTAACCGCACCTCATTTCGGCCCCGGGCAGCGTCTATCATCTCAGAGTCCGGGTCCGTGGCCTCAGGAGGACCCAATGTTAAGGGTGACTTGAGGAAGATGACCACACAGAAGATGGTGATGACTGGACTACGTAAGATGAGTATTGTGGCCAAGGACGTGCTGACAAAGAGGAGGATGAGCAAACCCGCCATACAGTTACAGTACGAGAACACGTACAAAATGCACCCGGATGACGGTACCAAGTTTGCGTCCTACCGAGTAGAGGAGGCGGTGAGAGGGGAGCTGGAGAAACACCTTGAAGATATGAAATACGACCCTACAAAGACTGCTCGGCTCACAAAGCAAATCTGTGACAAGATTTTAGACAAAGTGAAGGATCTAAATTTCCCGCGTTATAAGTTTGTGGTGCACGTGACAATGGGCCAGAACGGCAACCAGGGGATGGTGGAGGCAAGCCGGTGTATCTGGGACGACAAGACGGATAACTACGCCTGCATTACGTATAAAAACGCCTCCCTGTTTGCCATAGCTTGTATTTATGGGATGTACTTTGAGTAAAGACGGAGCAGAAAAGAATGAAATCAAAAATAGTGTCAAACACGTGCCATGACAATGCGTTTTTGTTTTAGGTGATGTAATCACAAACTTTGGACTTCTATTACTCAACTCCGACCCTTGAACGCATCAAACACTGGGAGAAACTGGTATTGATTAAGTCCCACCACAGACTTTAAACCAACTGTTTAGTGTTTGCGGGTATCCAGTCGCGTTTGCACTGAAAAAAGTTTCGATCTTCTTGGTCCGACCTTCTGGCAGTGAAAACCTGGATCCGCAACCTGATAAGTTTCATGTCGAGAAGGAACAACCTATCTTCAGTGTAAACGCGACTGCACAATTATCTTGGTATACATAGCACGAAGGTTGGGTGTGTAACACAGGGAACTTAAGTTCCACATGAAAAATCATTGATTATTCAATAAATATTACCTCATTTAGTTATATCCAGTGTCATTTCTATATAACAGAATGGGTTGTTGCTTTCATGACAACATATGTTTTTATTGCTTGTTTACTGATAGGATCCAACAAAAAGGTTAGGATGCTTGTTTACACTAATCACCAGTAATAACCCTTGGAAAATAAATTTTATGTCACCAAAGTGATCAGAATTTAAAAACAAGGAAAGGTGGGCTGTTTTATGAAAATTACATTATATAGCGTTCCGTTCAATGTTTTTTTAAAAAGACTTCACACCTTTACATCGCTGTTACGAGGATCTGTGAATGTTACACGGCTGACGTAGGGATGGATATGTCTGGTTAAGATATATGGTCTGTTCTTACTTTTAACACATCTGAAAGCCATTGTATCCAACTTTTCACGTCACAAACGGCCATACCTTCGTTCGCTTTTCCCTGCTCACCTAACACACTTTCAGAAGCATTTCTGATCCTACCAAATTATAATTATCTCTTACAATTTGGCGATGGTACTCAATTCGTTTCAGAGGCGTTTTTTGCCTGCATAAAAAAAAAAAAAAAAAAAAAAAAAAAGATTCTTAGAATATCTGAAAATTCAACACCAGACCAGCAGTATTGTAATTATCACCATCATGATAATATTACTGTTATGTAGGGACTCCCAACCGTGCAATCACAAGCGTGATTGTGACGCTCACCAATCGACAAACTTCAAGTGCTGATTGAGCAATAATTATGGTTTAATATACCAGTAGACAGGTGTGTTGTACAGGTGTGTTGTACAGGTGTGATGTGACAGTGGGAAAATAAATGTCGTACACCACGTTGAATTAATGTGAACTTTAAGTCTCTACGTACATGTAGCAGTGGTACTTTAGCCAGATTACAGGAAAATATAGAAAATGCGAGGAAAAGGTTTGGTGGCATTTCTGGTGTTCTTTATGGCGGCATGTTTTATAGCTGTCTCAACGTGTACCGAGCCTATGACGCTACAACAAATAGTCCAGTCTGGAGACGCGTTCTTCTGTGTTAACAACAAGCCGCAGGGTAAGTTTACTGCGACTAAAACGCTGTGGTAAAAAAGCTGCAAAAATAAGATTACCCGACTATTCTGTCAAGCAACCAAAAAGTGGGTTGAGAATGTCAAAAATACAGTGGCAGATTTAGAGGGGGGTTCAGGGGGATCCTGACATTGCAAACGGAGATCCTTCCTGACAGAATAGTGTGTTAAAAAGAGAATACCGTTAATCCATCTTATTTTATCACATCTTATTTCAGCATGCGAAAATCGCCGCCCCCAATGCGTCGTGGATCCGTGTCAACGTCATCAGTGTGAACGTGGCCAGTGCATGTGAGCCGCGCTTTTTACATTTATTATGAAATATCAGCCAGACCGCCTTTCATGACTACTTTTATACAAAATTCCCAAATTTGATTTGAGGTCCTATTACCGGGAAACATCCCTAACGAAAAAGTCCTATAGGATCCTAAAGGTCTTTTTCGTAAGAAAACACACATGCTATTAATATGTACTGTAAAGAGATAATTGTTATATTTGAAATATACACAAATTTGTTATTAATGGAAGATTGCCAAATTACTTGTCTGGACATTTTTTAGTTTATTTGTATAAATGTTCATTTGTCCAAACGTGGGGACATCGTCAGAAGTAAGATTCATTTCAGCATGAAAATAATTATAATAAAAATACACAAAATTTCATCAGTGATACCCTCTTCACAGGGCGCCCTATATTGGACCAATGAGACTTTGGATTAACATCATTTAAACTAGTATTACTTTTTTATAATCGTCAGTCTTTCATTGATAATTACTTGGAATTTTAAGATGCACCCCATCATAACATCAAAAACACAGCGATTGTTTCATTTATGTTCCACCTTAGCTGCAATGCACATAACTTGTGACACAGTCCTACTTAAAAGTACTTCTGTGTGTTGTAATTGACAGTTTCTTTTACAGATCTGACTGTATATGTCGGCCACTGTGTGTGTCTGACGGACCCAAAGGAGCCATCTGCTAACGTCGTCTGCTGGTGAAAATCATGGTGTCATTTGCTAACAATACCCAATATAATCACCAAGGACACCGAACACTGACCATGCAAAGCATCATCATTGCCACAAACTTTTTGGTGAAATAAACATTTTGAAACTATTATAGTGAGATCATGCTAGTGCCTTCCATGACTTGATTCTGCCTCTGAAAGTACCTATTGCAGTATAGGGATGCAAACACTACTAGTTTCTTAGTTCCATCTTCATCTTCATCTAAATGAGTATTTGACAGCAATCACATCTTTTAAAACAAGCAATGATGTCACAGAGTTAATCCTCTTTTAAGATTGTTTCAAAAAGTGCAGTTTCCAATCCTGTGGCTGATGTGATCCCTACAAAATAAAAATTAAAACTAATGAATTGCATCAAACATCAATTTTTGTCAATTTTTCAATCACTTTCAATACAGAAGGCCTTAACAGACTGTTTTCCAGTTTATCAGCGAGACAAGGTCAATTCAATCTTTTTTTCCTGTAATCTATAACAGTTTCTTACCAAGGGTGACAAACAATCCTGCGATGTTGATACATATTTCTCTGTCCTCGTCTGGATATTTCCCATCATGCAGCAGGAGGTAGAAGATGTTTACGTAGGACGCCCCTCCCAGGAGACCAACATAGATCATGTACGCTGGCAGGAGGTACTCGGGAATCACTTTAAACTGAAAAAATTTTGTGTAAAAATTGAAATAAATAAGGTTTCTACTAGTTACTATATACATGTAATGTAACACTCTTTTCCTACAATCTATGAAAAACAATCAAAGCTGTCACAGCATGTCACAGCAAACGAGAAGTTTCTAAACTTATTATTGAACTATCATGGTTTTGACTCCATGTAAGCCTCCACAAATGTCCAGTTTGAGTGTTACCTACATGGACATCCAGCAGCCAGACCACCATGTTGACCAGCTGTAACAGTGTTAACACCTCCACGCGTCTTATCTGGATGATCTGTACTGAAGACCTGGATGCAAACACACCCGCCTGGAACACACAGCAGACAGAGGATAACACAGACAGTTAGAATACTGAATTATTAGGAACCAAGGGAGTGGTCCAAATATGCCACTTTATTATTATGTAAAAAATTGAATTGCTATGGATAATCTTTCAAATTTATAAAACAAGTATAAAAGAAAATTGTAAATATCTTGTACCCAATCAATGCACAACAAAAGAATCCAATTTGTATTAATGTTTTTAAATATCACTATGGATTTTTTTAGTTTGAATTTTCTAACACTGTATGCAGGAAAGTACCTGATTTGTTGCAAAAAAAAAAAAAAAAAAAAAAATCCAAGGTTATATATGAATTCACCTTCACCTGGCCGTCCCTACATTTACTGGCATGAAGGTATAGGGGCACATGTCTGATCAGTCAAGGGTATCGTACATTCATGTAAACCACTGCTGTGACAATTACTACACTGTGCCCCTGGGGTGTAAAGATCATATGTAAACCAAGCTGAAGTTTACATATAACTGGGTTACCTGGTAGCAAAACTGCAATGCTGCATAAAACTCTGGACAGCCCACATTATACGCACTCTTTGCTTCCACTTTGGAGGCACAAGCTCTGGCCACATATTCAAACAGATACACCAAGCTTAACTGGAAATATACACAGGATATGTACTTGTATAGTGTAATCCAGAAACAGTTGTCATCTTTTTAGAAAATATAATAATCTACTATACCTAGCTGTAGCAATTGAGTGGGAGGTTGGTGTTGGGGTGGGGGTACTGCTTACATTGATACTGTGCCATATAACCAGTTTAAAGCACCTCCAGTATCTCTGAGGACGTGTCTCTGGAGGTAGTAGCACAGGGACAGAGGTGATATACTGATGACCAGTGACACTGTGACCTGCACCGTCGCCAGTTGTGTCATCTTCTGGGTGTTCAGAGGAGGATCTGTCTGCAATGAAAAAAATAATTTCATAGTGACGTTTAGCTGGGTAATGTTTAAGTCCACAATTTTTACACTGACTATAGCTCAATTCTGTAGGCCAAATTCCTCCCTGGTTGTGACAACTCATATTACTATCTTAGCCAGCCATGTAACTACAAGTAGGTCTCCACTAACAGGAGATTTCTACACTATTAGGCAAGCCACTTCATTTCTACATACACTTTTCCATACCTGAACACACTAAGTGTAATTGGAAATCACCATAAGGGCTTGAGTAACAGTCATGATGGCACTAGTACTGTGACTTGATTTGTTTCAACCAGCAACAAAACCTTCTTTACTAGCTACCCATGGCTGATTAAACTACATACTATTTATCTATTCTATTCAGGAAAAAACATTTACAATGGAAATCTGCCTCTTCATCTGGTTTTAGCAGTGTGGGATACTGTATGTTGTTCTCTGAGCCAGAGGCAATGAGGGGTTTATACGGTACACTACTTTTCTCAATCCTCTGTATCCTTTCTGCCCTGTGTTTGTGTGGAGCCTTCACAATGAAGAAGAATGACACCCAGTAGATCAGCACCACTGGCATGGTCAGCAGGAAGGCATACCTGGAAATAACACCAATGTTATATTGTGCCAGACAGTAGATCAACACCACTGGCATGGTCAGCAGGAAGGCATACCTGGAAATAACACCAATGTTATATTGTGTCACCCAGTAGATCAGCACCACTGGCATGGTCAGCAGGAAGGTATACCTGGAAATAACACCAATGTTATATTGTGTCACCCAGTAGATCAGAGCCACTGGCATGGTCAGCAGGAAGGCATACCTGGAAATAACACCAATGTTATATTGTGCCACCCAGTAGATCAGCAACACTGGCATGGTCAGCAGGAAAGCATACCTGGAAATAACCATCATGTTTAATGGAATTCAGTGCTGGAAAATAATAGATAATTATCGATCTTTCTTTGAAACACACCCACATTTAGCATAATTACATTACGTTATAAAAACAAACTCCAAGTGCTATTTATTTATATGTTAGCAAATTTAATACTATTTTAATTGTTTTTTAAATAGCATCACTAAAGTGTGTTAAAAATTAAAGCAAGAACAATATAAATTAAATATTTCTCTAAAATTCTCAACAATTCTCTCAGACTTGTAGTAACCAACCATCATTCTGTTTTGTTTCAAACTCAAAACTGACATATACAAAGGCACAGATTCAGTCATATGTAGCTTTTCCATTATTTCTAAAAAGATCCAATGTGCATTTGAACATTACATGGTACAGTAAATCTTTAAAGAAAATGGGAAGACCTAAAAAATAATGTGCACTGTCTCTTAAAGTAATTATCTTGACCATCACAAAACATAACAAGAGTATAGTTTTGGTCAGCATGTCAATGAAACTTACCTGTCCAATTCTTTCAGTTGATCTTGTTTGTCCTCAGCCTTGGTTGTGTTTTGTACAACACAGCCTGCAAAGAAGAATTAGATATTAGTCAATGCTTGACACAATTGTGTCAGTGCATTGCCACACCCCCTATATTTGCCATGCCACACCCCCTTGGCTGCTTATGAAAGGCATGAAGGGACAGGGAAAAGAATTGAGACAACCTTATTAGTACCTTAACTTTCAGCAGTCCTTTCCCCATCATTACCTGCTAAATCAATAGCTGAAAAGAAGACAGAAGATGGGCAAGGAATGTGAAAGTTCTCACCAAAGATGATGAACAGCTGAGGAAGAAGACAGAAGATAGATTAGTAATGCACTTGCCAAAGATGATGAAGAGTCCAGCTCCCAGCAACCCCGCCATTCCTGTGCCACTAGCATATGCATTGACCAGCTTGCTAGGAAACCTGGACAGGTAACCAAGGAGGACACTGGAAAATAATGGGATTCTGACAAGTGTTATCAGTTATAAGTCAACTTTAAGACTTTCCATACTCTATCATCTGTGCATATTCATTCTTTACAGAAATTCTTAAAAGCAGAATTCGCATATAACACATTTGGACTGAGAAGTCCACTGGAGTGATTAAGACAGATATCTGTGATTTGGACGGATTGTTGTGATTAAAACTGATTTTTGGTTTAGGGATCCTATCTGGCATGAAATATTACTGAACTAAATCACAAGACGGCTGCAGATATGTGGAGGTATAATGAGGCATGCCAGACAGACTTACTTCTCTCCAAATGCTGCACTGGACCCTGCTACCACCTGTAACATAATGATACATCTGGTACTAAAAGAAAGTCTTTGCTCTACAAGTTAACGTTTTATAGATGGAGTCTTTGAAACTACAATAGCCTGGTTAGAAAACAGGAGAGCTCTTACTGCCAGGAATTGTTGTGGAGTTACATCGCACTAACACTAACACTAACACAGTAACAGGTGACTGCTGTTAATTATCAATAAAAGCTACACTATTTGACATTTCAAGATAGAAAATACAAGGAAAGCAAAGCAAAGCAAAAAAAAAAAAAAAACAGCCACATATAACACTCTATGCAAAAATTGGATTAAAAAAGACTGCCCCAAATCTTAAGGTGGATATACTAGTATTATTTGCATGCAAGAAGGTTAAAGGCTTCATCTGCATAGCTACAGCACTATATAAGGACATATAGTCACCAGGCAATGTCTAGGAAACAAGAAACACACAGCACTTCATAAGTGAAAAATAAAAATATTAATATTAATCCTCAGAATGTTACAAAAATAGTTATGAAAAGGTAAAGACTCACAATACATGCAAGGGCCATGCCAAAAGATGAAGAGAAAGCTATGCCAAGCAAACCTGAAACACAGAGGCAAACTTCTTGAAATAAAGGCTCAGTTAATTTAACAGTATTATTTTAAATAGGTGATATTTGCAAATAATATCCACAAGTTTGTTAAATAATATGAAGCAAATCCAGATAAAACAGACAAGTTAAAAAAGGACATTAAAGGAATAAAATGTTGTCTAATTAATTTTTTAAATTATTTTCCCGATCCTATCATTATTATTTTCATCTGTTTGTAATTGAAATCATATTTCTCCCAATATTAAATCAGATAAGTGAGCTGTCTGTGAGACACCTCCACTGAACAGTGAATACTTGGTATGGTTAGTAACACTAGTTAGTAACAGTGTGGATCAATGGCCCGGGTCTTTGGTGGAACAATCTTTCAAGACTAGAGTAACTGCACAATGTAGTGATGTACTAGTCCAGTGTGAACAATACCTTTCCATTTCCAATCTCCATTCAAAATAGAAGAAATACCAGGGGCCGGTTTCACAAAGCAGTAGTTAGTTAGCGATCGGTAGTTAGCCTCTCGCTAGTTATAGTGCCGTTTCACGAAGCAGTCGCTAGTTCTCTCGCTCGTTATTTTCTCGTTGTTACCATGGATATTTAACGACTGGTCAGACCAGTCACTAACTCTAGAGTTTCATCGTACGCATGCGTAATGAGTGAAATAAAAAGGTTGCTTAGTTACCGTTGTCTGTCGTTTAACTTTGTATCCAATATGGCGGCTACCTTTCTTGCTATCCATACCGTCAGACGGCAACGTAGACTACGACGTTTTCATGAAAGGCAGGATCTATTATTATATACATACGATGATGCAATTTACGAGAGGTTGCGCCTAGCTGTGACAAAAAGAGCGGCAAAAAGGTGGTGGAGATCCTTTACGACGACCTCAAAGCAGACGTTCTTATGCATTTCCAGCCACCAAAAATTGGAGAGTTAGTGCTTTCGTGACACGTTTACGCAAGAGTTCCACTTCCGGCAGATGGTTTCGAGACTACAGTGAGTAACGAGAAAACTAGCGACCGAACTTTACGCTTGAACTTAGCGATAAGTTAACTACTGCTTCGTGAAACACCCCTCGAAAATCGCTAAGTTTTCTCGTTAGCGAGGTAGTTCAGTAGTTAGTTGTTCTAACTAACTACTGCTTTGTGAAACCGGCCCCAGGTACCATCAACCAAACTCACCTCCTAACATCAGAAGTCCATTGATCACAATCCTTATAGCATATGGAACTTTCAGCAGAAAGAATGTGTTCAAAGCTTAAAAAGAAAACATTTCCATTCAATAATCCATTTCAAAGTCATGTCTCTGACTTATTTGTGTGAAATGCAATGTGAACAGTGCCATTTTTTAAAAAGTTGTGTACCATAAATACTAAAAAGTCAGCTACATTTTATCACAAAAAGCTCTGCAAGGTACAAAAGTTCAAATTTTATAACTTACATTTGACAACAAAAGCTGCAGCAACATTGGCTCCAAAGACCAGGCCAACAAAGTTCCTCTGGCCATACCTGAAAATGGCAGTAGACAAATAGCTTTTCATTCTACAGTAAACTGAAACATCTACAGTAGGTACACAAGCACAAAGAATAATACTACAGCATGGATAATTAGGGCTCAGAGGCACTTTCCTGTTGTGTTTAAGTTAAAAGGAACTGAGTATCTGGATAGTGGTTACTGAAACAGGGGCAGATGGAGGCCATCTTCTCAGTCTTCTGAATATATCTTCATAATTGGTGATTGACCTGTTTTAATTCCTCGTGATTGGTGATTAAGGGGGGGGNTTCTCTAACACAATCTAAACTTACTTCCCTAATACAATCTAAACTTACTTCTCTAACACAGTCAACCTCTGCACCAGCATCAATGAGTTCCTTCACAACTGTGACATGCCCCATCTGACAGGCTATCCACAGAGCACTGGCGCCATCCTGTGGACACAAACAATAATATTACTGATGACAGCTTTTGATCAAGATAAAAAATTAAACAAATAAACATGTATTTGACATAAAATACTAGAAATTTTGTGTGGTAGATAGCTGGCAATGTTCAATCTAAATAACAATCACCTTTCTCCTTGCATTGGCTTTTGCTCCCTTGGAGAGTAAGAATTTCACCATTTTCAAATGTCCATTCTGTGCTGCTATGAACAGTGAAGTGGCTCCATCTATCATCTCTGCCTGAATGTCTGCTCCGCGGGCTATCAGTTCCTCAGCCACATCTAAGTGGTTACACTGACAGGCCACAAATAAAGGTGTACCTCCATCCTGAAACACAGCATCATCTTACATAAATCTTCTCTCATGGCAAGCAAATTTATCTGTCTTAATGCAATATAAATTAATTTATTAAACTAACCCTATATTATTACTAAAAAATATTTCAGTTAGTCTGATTTCTGTTATTATAAATTAAACTGGCAAAATTGTTGTTTTATTTACATAGTTGTACAGGTCAACTTACATAGCTGGGCAGGTCAACAGGTGCCCCATTCTCCAGCAGTTCCTTCACTATGTCTAAATAGCCTCCTTGAGCAGCAAAGAACAATGCACATGTACCAGTCTGGCAAAAGAAAAAAAAACTATTTCAATCTCTTATGCATTTCAAAAACAAGTTGACAATATAAAACAATATGCTTATAATAAGCTGCTTATTATGTTGCTCATCACACTGATACTGTAAAACAATATGCTTATTATGTTTATCACCACACTATAATAAGTCAATAAAATGTAAAAACCAGTGCTGACTGCTGCTTTACAACCTGCATTTATCAGAATTCCCTTGTAAATTTCACATCATGTATTTATGATCATTTCCATCAGCCCCAGGGGCAACAACCTGGTCAATTTAGATCCAAGCAAGTCATAAACCTGGGATATAAAACACAGTGTGTCACTGTTTGGCAAGCACAGCTGTTCTTTATTGCTGCAAACCTTCAGGAGGCATTAGGTCTGTTACCTTTGCTATTTAGATACCGGTATACTGGGTATGACAATGTATTGGAAATGACAAGCTGTACGTGTTGTCTTACCAATCTCCTTGCTCCAGGGTCAGCCCCTTGTTTTAGGAGTTCTTTAACACAGTCCAGGTGATTGTTAGCAGAGGCTAAGATAAGGGGAGTTGTCCCCTCCTAAAATTGAGGAAAAAATCAAAAAGAGGTAATACAATCACATGTCCAACAGGAGATAAATAGATTCCACTATCGTAATCTACTACCCTCTACCAGGGCGAGTGATAGATTTTTTTACAGATATTCACAGATATGTCTCTAGCTAGATAGATAGTCATTTACAGCTGAACTCACCCTGTTGAGGAATCTCAAGGCTGATTACATGGCTGATAATCGTTTGCATAACTGCTCAGGCACTGCCACTTAGCAGGTCCAGTCTAAGTCTGCGTGACAGCAATCAAGACAGTTAATTACTCTGACTTCAATCACTTGCTCTTCTGTGACAGATAAAAAAGCCTTAGACTGGTTGCGTAACGAGCAGTTATCACATGGTTGTGAAGCAAAGCTCATGCAGAGCAAGTACAAAGCCTTTGGCGCGCGGGCAGAGATAATTGCTCCCACATGGGATTCCTCAACAGGGTGGGTTTAGCTGAAAATGACCATCTATCTAGCTAGAGACATATCTGTGAATATCTGTAAAAAATCTATCACTCACCCTGGTAGAGGGTAGTAATCTACAATGACTAAAATGTAGAGTAATTTGCATCTGATAAAGACATTTTAAGTGAGTTTGTCTTAAACCTTAACAGTGATTTCACATCAACTTATTCTTACTTTATCTTTGCAGTCTACATGAACTCTGCCGCTGTCCAATACTTTCCTCAGCTGCTCCAAATTCCCCTGCAATGACGCCAGGTGGAGAAGCTGGTCAGAGGGTGTCTCCTTCTGTAAAATGTAAATCATGGCAAAGTTATATCTCTTTATTTATTAGTATGATGTACAGAGCCGAAGATTTTCAAATACTAGTAGAGTGACTCACCAAAAGTGACTGTTATAAATAGCAACATGATCAGCACCATGCTGGTAACACAGCTAGCTGTTACAGCTTAAATGGGGCATACACCTGTACATGTGTTCTGCCAAAATACAGGTACACATACATTTCAGCTGTGTACTTTACTGATAACTACCTAATAAAATGAAACTTCATTCCAATTCATTTTAAAAGCAAAAAAGGTCATCATTTGAAATTAAGTTAGTAGGTAAAGCATATATTTGGGAGACATGATCACCTAGAAGATATTATTATGATGACAATGTTTTCAGTGTACAGCAGGCTTTGACTGCACAATCTCTTTATGTCACCTCTCATTTTTTACAGCGACTTTTTACTTCTACTGGTTCTCAGTGGTCTTTAATACTACCTGGGTTCTTATCTTGAAAATGGCTTGTGTGTTAGAGGGTATCCTGTTTTGGCAAATTAAGCCAAAATTATTGTCTTTCTTTTGTATAATTGCCAGCATTGTCTTTTAAAAAGTTAACTGGTGCCAATGACATGACATATGATCTGAATTCCCAAAGATAGAGTCAGGTCTTTTTGAAACTGCCTTTTCCTCATCACTTCCAATGACCAGCTTTGGGGTGGTTGGGGTAATTTCCAGAAATTAATGACAAAAAAATTGACAGAAGTCTTTCAGTTGGATTGTTCATGTGCTGGTATATGTATTAGAATGGGTGCAAAAAAAAGTGGATGCTCTTGGGTAATTGTCATTACTAAACCCAAGTGTTTGTTCACCAAAGATGTAATGTGTAATGGCCCTAGAGTTTAATGTTTTATCCACACACAAAACTGTGGCTACGGAGTTGGGTCCCAGCACAAAAAAAATCTCTTACAGAATGACACATGGGGACTTGATGTGGGAAAGTACCACAATTAGATCTGAAGGTTGGGGCTTAGGAGGACGACCCAAATGTGCAATAAGGACTCTCTTTCTGTATGACAGTGAACCACTTAATAAACACCTAACATGGTGTGAGGAGACGGTGTGCGTGTCCTTTGTGTGGAGAGTTTCAAAAATTAACTTTGACTTATAGAACGACTCTCACCCGTCAGCCATGTCCCATAAGTGGTTAATTTGACATATTTACATGTATACACATACATATAGCTACATGCCGTTAATGAATTGAATACAACACTACAGTTGCGTGCGTGTAAACCTGCGAGTATTTGACAGCAATACTATCGGTAGACAAAACGTGAACGAAGGCGACAAACAATTCTCTGTATTAATGCGTTATCATAAAGCAATGGTTTTGCCATGCAACTTCCATAAAAAGCGCTGGGAAAAACTCACTATTTCATGAAGATGATAATTAACATACCTTCAACGACATCCTCCACCTTTGCTGAAGAGAAATACGATACGATCTGACCGAGTTTCCTTTTGCAGATATGGATTGCCAAATTCTTCACAGCAATTACGTACCAAAAATAGCATGATTTAATAGCAGTTAATGTACTTTCATCACTTTCTTTTTAAGCATTTCATATTTGACAATAACTTATATGACAAAAATATATATTCGTTCAAATTTATGGCATAATATTTAACTTGAGTAAAGGGAATGAAAGATTATTTTATGGGGGACTACTCAAGTGACTTTGCTCGCAGTGAATTGTGGGACGGCCTTTTCCGGTAGGCATCCATTTTGTTCGAAAGGTAGATGATAATTGCTACATTAAATAAACAAATCCTCAACTTGACCATCATTTTTTGACGATAAAAGAATATCACATAGCTCCATGAATGTTCAATTGTTCTCTGTCTTACGTCTCTAGGTTGAATACAACACCACCATGCAGAACGAAGCAGGAGAATACGTGGACATGTATGTTCCTCGCAAATGGTAAGAGAACGTGCAAAACACGTGTTCACTCCTAATAATAAGAAATGACCAATTGAAATAATAATAATAAACAGTGTTCTTATTTTAACTGCTGAATTTTAAAATGGGGTTTATTCTAAAATTTATTTTTACTGTGCGTTATTATGTTAATGGCCCTACAACTAACCAGCCAGACGGATACTGCTGTGTTCAGGCGTTGTAAATGGATGAGGCGTTTACTAACACTACTCCCAGATCTTTTAGCCCAAACGCCCATATTAACCACCAAACCCACAAATTAACCAGCACACCGTACAATTATTTAGCAGCAACAAAGCGATACAAAGCATTAACATTTATTTGCTCTGGTGGTGCTGGTTAATTTGTGGGTTAGGTGGTTAATACGTGTGTTAGTGCTAATAGAGTAGTGCTAGTAATTAATGCCCAATTTATTTATAAGGCCTGGTCTTGCTCACCAGTTTTTTCTACTATTCTAGGGCCTAATATTTCTTCACAGCGCTTGATACAGTTTAAATTTTTATCATGATCTTTTCAGTTCTGCGAGCAATAGAATCATTGCTGCTAAAGACCATGCCTCCATCCAGATCAACCTAGCTGAGGTAGGTGTGATGTATACAGGTGGTTCAGTAGGGATTTTTACTTTTGCTGCAAACTAACTTTGATAAAGATATTTGAATGGCATTAGCAGGCAAAGGCAAACTTCCTTCTTTTTCCAGATCTTTATTTTTGGCTTTCTAACTGAAATGGTGATTGTTGAGATTCTATGAATCTCTGAAAATGGCTGCCAAGTTCTAATCAGCTAGGTGGAGATAAATGGATTTCACAAATTAAGATAATGTTAGAAAATATGATATTTTTAAAGGATGATATTAAATAAATATCAATTTTATAAGTTTTAGATAAATAAAGAAATCATTTTAAAACATTTGCCTACAGTCGACCTCTTGAGCTTTCATTTAAGTGCTACTTTTCAGTTAAAATATGAAGATATCTTTATCCAATGTTGTTTAGGTTGATGAAAACACAGGTCGTATGACTGGCTCCAACAGGACGTACGCCATCTGCGGCCAGATTAGAAGAATGGTGAGCAATGATTTTGATTGATCCATGAAAACTAGAAATTAAACGTTTGTAAACATGCATTTCTTTGGGATTAATAGAGTTTTGTCATACTCCTGGTATTTAACTACATATGGCTTATAAAGCAATATGGTGGCATGTGTACAGTCTGACATGATAAATGAAAACGGTGGCTTGAAAATGAAAAGGAAATATTGTGTTCATTACTACACTTTTTGCTGGGAATTTTTTGATAGATGCATCTTTTTTCAATTCATTTTATTTATTCCTTTTATTATATAATGTTATTGTTATTATTATTTTGCTACTAGGGTGAATCAGATGACAGCATTGCAAGGCTGGCAAAGAAGGATGGTATCATTCCAAAGTGAGTATTGTATAACACAGATGCAGGGCAACCCTATGTAGTCAAGTCTTGATTTATACAATTTTTCAGATTCTTGAGTTCATTTATAGATTTTGCAGAAATAAGTGCTGTTTTACAAACGCCATTTAAAATGTCCTTAACAAATGCAGGTGGCAACTTTTGTGAATTTTGCCAAAAATCTTCTGGTATCCCTCGGTGATTTTAACATAATGCCTGCTATAAGATCTGTTTTGTTGTATACTTATTTGACATCAACTTATTTCTCTTTTTGTTTCAGGAACTATTGACATTATTTCAAGACCCTAGTTAGGATTCACATGAAGGAGGAAGATGAAGAAAACAAACTTTGCATTTTCTACATGAATATTGAATAAAAGTGGAAAATTCTATAAATTGGCTTTAGGATGTGTTTTCTAACTGAAAAGTCCCTAGATATACGTGAAAAGATACCAGACACTTTCATGAATATAAAAGCATAAATCAGGGGAAGTTTCTGTGGACCATTTATTAACAAGACTCAAGTAAATGAGGTTGTTTATTTGAGCCATTATTTCAGGGCGAAACTATTCTCCTCGATAACAAAAACGCTTGCTGTGTGAGAGAGAAATTAGAGATTGAGCCGTTATGACAGGAATGGTGGTCCGTTTCACAGTACTTTGTACAAGTGACATTCGTCCCATAATATATTAGACTCAGTACTCCAACTATCCCTAACCTGTACTAATCGTATGGCACACCGGACTTCATCCCTAGGACTGCCATTCCTGTTACACCGGTTTTGAATTGACTGGTTGGCATTGTCCATGAGGAGTGTACTACAGAAGCGTGAGGTTGCACTCGGAGATTTTTCACAAATGAAGTTAAATGGGAAGGGGGGGGGGGCGCAGAGAGGGACCTCGTTGAGCAAGTGCTGCGTTAGCATAAAAGTAATTTGGATATCTGTCCAATTGGTAGCTGTGGAGGCACTATCGTGACAAAAAAAATCATAGTCAGGGGATCTGAATCATTGCAAAACATACATATAACGTTTGCAGACTAAGTTTAACTATAGCATTATTTGTTGGAGTACTGCTTTATGTAATTCAGGTTGCCACCTTATTGGCGGATAATTCTAAGCCAAACTGCCAACAAAAGGCCCTAAAAGCCGGCTGTGTAAAATCCCATATACCAAGAAGTTATAAAGAGAACTTCTCTTTATAACTTCTTGCATATACTGACAACAAGAACACATTTATTAAATCAAAGCCGGTAGCACGGCTACGGAGATGCTTTACCGCTCACATCTCGCATGCATTCAAAATTATAAAAAAGAGAAAAAAAACTCGAAGATTTGACAAGTGATTAAATTTTGTCCAAATACTTTTGAGCAAAGGGTAGATAATGGTTGGGAAGGGAGTCTTGATTATTGATAAACGGGCGAGTGACATTGTTTGTATTCCACTACTGCATGATAGCTACTGATGTTTTGTTGGTCGGAGTTAAATTTTTGAAATGATTGTCTTGCCTCTTCCGATAAATGAAATAACTATACATATCATTTAAATGGAGAACTATCTCTTTCTTTAAATCAAAACTTGCAGAAAAATAGCTTTAGTATGTCACACGTGTTTGGAAACGTTATACGAAATTCAATTACACCTAGGTTTTAATTTCACCGAGTCGGAGAGAACAAACGTCCAGGGAAAATCAAAATATTACATCGTCTACATACACAGTTTTGCAGCTGTTACTTATAATCGACCTTTATTAGACCATGAAAAGTAATTGTGTATGAAGTCTTGGTGACGGCTGTGACTTCTGTCACTGTTCTGTTTTGACAGGGTTCAACATTCGGTCACCAAGAGGTAGAGCGGCCGGCAAATAAAGACCATCCGGTACTGTAATCCGGTGTCACACACTGTGACGACATTCGTCGTAATCTGTGTCCGCCAGCAATGGCTTAACTATCGTGAACATATTCATGTGTGTATCAAATCCTCTCTGCATACAAAGGTTGTTATGTTAGGCCATAAAAGCATTTAGAAGAACAGCAAAAACTTTCACCTTAGGATCAGCTTGTCTTTTATGAAACACCTTTCAGACAAATAATCCGACTTAATAAGTCAACAGTAACCAAGACTGTTCAGCGGGGAGCTAGCATGGGGGTTTTGTAAAACACACATAATATGTTGAATGGGGCGGAATAATAAACTGTTCGTGGTATTTATTTTTCGCCTTTATAGAACTTTGTTGTAAACTGGCTAAGACGGGCTAGGTTAGTTACCTGTGAGTACAGCCGGTACCAGTGGAGTTATATATGTGTAGTAGAGGGTTTACAACACCCCAGCTAAGACACAAGAACTGAGGTTTATTTCAGATATTAATTTGATACAGCTGATGTGCTGATGGTGGAACCATGGCCGCCGAGCAGGTAAAAAAATATTTTTGTTATTTTATTCACCTTCGCTCTGCGCTGTCCAGATCATGGGGGAGGTTTTGATAACACGTAATTTGGTTTTCTGGAGGTCACTTCATATGAAAACACTTGCTTACACCAAGGACCCAATAAATGTGTCCTTAGTTATTTTTTTTTTATTATTTCGCACGCTTTATTTTCCTCTGATGCAGAAGTTTTACACAGATGGATTCAAACAAGTATATTTTAGCTGATAATGCGTAAACACAGTAAAAGAGGTTTAAAAGAAAAATAAAACGATCACAGCTGATAACATGCTTCAGAATTTTCTGAAGTAAGTTTCGTCAAAATTTTAAATAATACCGTTCTCTTAATTTACAGCTAACATCCCATACTTAGAAACTTAAAACTTGTAACTAAAAATGTTTCACTAAAAAAAACTGGTTGCCCTTCCGACTGCTCTGTAATTCTGTAGATCATTCTTTAAATTAATGGTTTTGTTAAAGTGAATATAGTGACGCCCTACAGAGGAGAGAGAGGAGCGCGGTATCACATCCAGTGGTTGGCGCAGTGCTTCAAAAGGCTTCCAGAAAATACGACATAAGGGGTAAAAACAAAGGAGAAAAATAGGACTTTTTGTGGTAAATTATAGCAAATAATAATATAAATAGAAATAGAAAAAAATAATGATTTTATATCTAAGATGCCTTTCCAACAACCCCTAAGCCATTCTTGTACCGAATAGTTAATGATACAGTAACTAAATACATATATTGCATGTACAAAAACCGTATCTCAGTTTACTGTGAGTTTTTTTACTTCTTACTTCTAAGCTTTATATTAGAAGCTACAATCTGCATGTACAGCTAAGGAGATAATATGGACAAATGTATCCACATAAAATGTTCCGCAGTGCGTACTTTTTTCATTATTTCTCCCCCACAATCAACATGAGGTGACATATAAAATCAACTCTGTATCATAAAAATAGGGAAGAAAGAATTTTTCAAAGAAAATGCCAAAAATAGGAATATCTATTTAAGAACAGGGTGAAATAAGAACAGTACAGTCCCGTGCCGCCCTGTTGTTGTGTGTTGGGGCACGAGAGCACGCGGGTCACGGTGAGCAGCATGTGACGTCTGCGACCTATTCTATCCAAAACCTCCTTGTTGTGAGCTTTTCTTTGCAAACAAAAGGGTCGTTCAGAAAACATATTTGGTAGCTTGTTTACTTATAAACCGCTCAGAATCGTGGAATTCAGATAAACATGTAGTGATGGCGTGTCAGGGGTACACCAATGTGTTGATTTTATTTTGCTTATCCGCATTTGCCATACAACGCAAGCAAACAAACGTTTTTTTTTCACCCAACCCCAGCACAACTCACAGTAACTTAATCCTTTTCCCTAATTATTTTTTTCTGCCAGCTTATTGATGTTATATATTTATTTGTCTGCCGTTTAAGGTTATGTAGACATAAGAAGTCCTCGCCACAACTTGTGTTTGCTTAGCTTTAGACGTGTGTAGTATTTTGTACAACTTTTTTGCTCGATGATATTTCCCAGTAATATTTGAAGCAAAACCTTCATTTTTCTTTGTCCTCTTTATTAAAACGTACTTGTATTGATCACACATTTTATCATTTTAGAATACAGACAGTTTGAGCGTGAAGGCATTAAAGGACCACACGGACCGCACAGAAGCCTCCCCCAGTGGTAACCGCACCTCATTTCGGCCCCGGGCAGCGTCTATCATATCAGAGTCCGGGTCCGTGGCCTCAGGAGGACCCAATGTTAAGGGTGACTTGAGGAAGATGACCACACAGAAGATGGTGATGACTGGACTACGTAAGATGAGTATTGTGGCCAAGGACGTGCTGACAAAGAGGAGGATGAGCAAACCCGCCATACAGTTACAGTACGAGAACACGTACAAAATGCACCCGGATGACGGTACCAAGTTTGCGTCCTACCGAGTAGAGGAGGCGGTGAGAGGGGAGCTGGAGAAACACCTTGAAGATATGAAATACGACCCTACAAAGACTGCTCGGCTTACTAAGCAAATCTGTGACAAGATTTTAGACAAAGTGAAGGATCTAAATTTCCCGCGTTATAAGTTTGTGGTGCACGTGACAATGGGACAGAACGGCAACCAAGGGATGGTGGAGGCGAGCAGGTGTATCTGGGACGACAAGACAGATAACTACGCCTGCATTACCTATAAAAACGCCTCCCTGTTTGCCATAGCTTGTATTTATGGGATGTACTTTGAGTAAAGACGGGGCAGAAAAGAATGAAATCAAAAATAGTGTCAAACACGTGCCATGACAATGCGTTTTTGTTTTAGGTGATGTAATCACAAACTATGGACTTTTATTACTCAACTCCGATCCTTGAACGCATCAAACACTGGGAGAAACTGGTATTGATTAAGTCCCACCACAGACTTTAAACCAACTGTTTAGTGTTTGCGGGTATCCAGTCGCGTTTGCATTGAAAAAAGTTTCGATCTTCTTGGCCCGGCCTTCTGGCAGTGAAAACCTGGATCCGCAACCTGAGAAGTTTCATGTCGAAAAGGAACAACCTATCTTCAGTGTAAACGCGACTGCACAATTATCTTGGTATGCATAGCACGAAGGTTGGGTGTGTAACACAGGGAACTTAAGTTCCACATGAAGATCATTGATTATTCAATAAATATTACCTCGTTTATTTATATCCGGTGTCATTTCTATATAACAGAATGGGTTGTTGCTTTCATGACAACATATGTTTTTATTGCTTGTTTACTGATAGGATCCAACAAAAAGGTGTTGGATGCTTGTTTACACTAATCACCAGTAATAACCCTTGGAAAATAAATTTTATGTCACCAAAGTGAACAGAATTTAAAAACAAGGAAAGGTGACTGTTTTATGAAAATTACATTATATAGAGTTCCGTTCAATGTTTTTTAAAAAAAGACTTCACACCTTTACATCGCTTTTACGAGGACCTGTGAATGTTACACGGCTGATGTGGATATGTCTGATCACGGTATATGGTCTGTTCTTACTTTTAACACATCTGGAAGCCATTGTATCCAACTTTTCACGTTACAAACGGCCATTCCTCCGTTCGCTTTTCCCGGCTCACCTAACACACTTTCAGAAGCATTTCTGATCCTACCAAATTACAATTATCTCTTACAATTTGGCGACGGTACTCAATTCGTTACAGAGGCGTTTTTTGCCTGCATAAAAAAAAAAAAAAAAAAAGCATGATTCTTAGAATCTCTGAAAAAATTCAACACCAGACCTGCAGTATTGTAATTATCACCATCATGATAATATTGCTGTTATGTAGGCACTCCTAACCGTGCAATCACAAGCATTGTGCCATCTCCTGATTACTGACGTGATTATGACGCTCACCATTCGACAAACTTCAAATGTTGATTCAGCAATAATTATGGTTTAATATACCAGTAGACAGGTGTGTTGTACAGGTGTGTTGTACAGGTGTGGTGTGACAGTGGGAAAATAACTGTCGTACACCACATTGAATTAATGTGAACTTTAAGTCTCTACGTACATGTAGCAGTGGTACTTTAGCCAGATTACAGGAAAATATAGAAAATGCGAGGAAAAGGTTTGGTGGCATTTCTGGTGTTCTTTATGGCAGCATGTTTTATAGCTGTCTCAACGTGTACCGAGCCTATGACGCTACAGCAAATCGTCCAGTCTGGAGACGCGTTCTTCTGTGTTAACAACAAGCCGCAGGGTAAGTATACTGCGACTAAAACGCTGTGGTAAAAAAGCTGCAAAAATAAGATTACCCGACTATTCTGTCAAGCAACCAAAAAGTGGGTTGAGAATGTCAAAAGCATCTTTTCAAATTTTAAGTAAATCGTATATAGAAAATCTTTTCAATTTTCAAGTGAATCGCAAGTAGAAGTTTCAACGTAAATTACAGGCCATGATTAAAAACGCACGATACAACTGGCTACCACTTGTGTCAAAAATACAGTGGCAGATTTAGAGGGGGGTTCAGGGGGTTCTGACATTGCAAACGGAGATCCTTCCTGACAGAATAGTGTGTTAAAAAGAGAATACCGTTAATCCATCTTATTTTATCACATCTTATTTCAGCATGCGAAAATCGCCGCCCCCAGTGCGTCGTGGATCCGTGTCAACGTCATCAGTGTGAACGTGGCCAGTGCATGTGAGCCGTGCTTTTTACATTTATTATGAAATATCAGCCAGACCACCTTTCATGACTACTTTTATACAAAATTCCCAAATTTGATTTGAGGTCCTATTACCGGGAAACATCCCTAACGAAAAAGTCCTATAGGATCCTAAAGGTCTTTTTCGTAAGAAAACACAAATGCTATTAATATGTACTGTAAAGAGATAATTGTTATATTTGAAATATACACAAATTTGTTATTAATGGAAGATTGCCAAATTACTAGTCTGGACATTTTTTAGTTTATTTGTATAAAGTTCATTTGTCCAAATATGGGGACATCGTTAGAAGAAAGATTCATTTCAGCATGAAAATAATTATAATAAAAATACACAAAATTTCATCAGTGATATTCTCTTCACAGGGCGCCCTAATTGGACCAATGCGACTTTGGATTAACATCATTTAAACCAGTATTACTTTTTTATAAACGTCAGTCTTTCATTGATAATAACTTGGAATTTTAAGATGCACCCCATCATAACATCAAAAACAGCGATTGTTTCATTTATGTTCCACCTTAGCTGCAATGCACATAACTTGTGACACAGTCCTACTTAAAAGTACTTCTGTGTGTTGTAATTGACAGTTTCTTTTACAGATCTGACTGTATATGTCGGCCACTGTGTGTGTCTGACGGACCCAAAGGAGCCATCTGCTAACGTCGTTTGCTGGTGAAAATCATGGTGTCATTTGCTAACAATACCCAATATAATCACCAAGGACACCGAACACTGACCATGCAAAGCATCATCATTGCCATAAACTTTTTGGTGAAATAAACATTTTGAAACTATTATAGTGAGATCATGCTAGTGCCTTCCATGACTTGATTCTGTCTCTGAAAGTTCCTATTGCAGTATAGGGATGCAAACTCTTTGAGTATCTTAGCTCCATCTCCATCTTCATCTAAATGAGTATTTGACAGCAATCACATCTTTTAAAACAAGCAATGATGTCACAGAGTTAATCCTCTTTTAAAATTGTTTCAAAAAGGGCAGTTTCCAATCCTGTGGCTGACGTGATCCCTACAAAATAAAATTAAAACTAATGAATTACCTCAAACATCAATTTTTGTCAATTTTTCAATCACTTTCAATACAGAAGGCCTTGACAGACTGTTTTCCAGTTTATCAGCGAGACAAGGTCAATTAAATCTTTTTTCCTGTAATCTCTGACAGTTTCTTACCAAGGGTGACAAACAATCCTGCGATGTTGATACATATTTCTCTGTCCTCGTCTGGATATTTCCCATCATGCAGCAGGAGGTAGAAGATGTTTACGTAGGACGCCCCTCCCAGGAGACCAACATAGATCATGTACGCTGGCAGGAGGTACTCGGGAATCACTTTAAACTGAAAAAATTTTGTGTAAAAATTTAAATAAATAAGGTTTCTACTAGTTACTATATACATGTAATGTAACACTCTTTTCCTACAATCTATGAAAAACAGTCAAAGCTGTCACAGCATGTCACAGCAAACGAGAAGTTTCTAAACTCATTATTGAACTATCATGGTTTTGACTCCATGTAAGCCTCCACAAATGTCCAGTTTGAGTGTTACCTACATGGACGTCCAGCAGCCAGACCACCATGTTGACCAGCTGTAACAGTGTTAACACCTCCACGCGTCTTATCTGGATGATCTGTACTGAAGACCTGGATGCAAACACACCCGCCTGGAACACACAGCAGACAGAGGATAACACAGACAGTTAGAATACTGAATTATTAGGAACCAAGGGAGTGGTCCAAATATGCCACTTTAATATTATGTAAAAAATTGAATTGCTATGGATAATCTTTCAAATTTATAAAACAAGTATAAAAGAAAATTGTAAATATCTTGTACCCAATCAATGCACAACAAAAGAATCCACTTTGTATTAATGTTTTTAAATATCACTATGGATTTTTTTAGTTTGAATTTTCTAACACTGTATGCAGGAAAGTACCTGATTTGTTGCAAAAAAAAAAAAAAAAAAAAAATCCAAGGTTATATATGAATTCACCTTCACTTGGCCGTCCCTACATTTACTGGCATGAAGGTATAGGGGCACATGTCTGATCAGTCAAGGGTATCGTACATTCATGTAAACCACTGCTGTGACAATTACTACACTGTGCCCCTGGGGTGTAAAGATCATATGTAAACCAAGCTGAAGTTTATATATATAACTGGGTTACCTGGTAGCAAAACTGCAATGCTGCATAAAACTCTGGACAGCCCACATTATACGCACTCTTTGCTTCCACTTTGGAGGCACAAGCTCTGGCCACATATTCAAACAGATACACCAAGCTTAACTGGAAATATACACAGGATATGTACTTGTATAGTGTAATCCAGAAACAGTTGTCATCTTTTTAGAAAATATAATAATCTACTATACCTAGCTGTAGCAATTGAGTGGGAGGTTGGTGTTGGGGTGGGGGCACTGCTTACATTGATACTGTGCCATATAACCAGTTTAAAACACCTCCAGTATCTCTGAGGACGTGTCTCTGGAGGTAGTAACACAGGGACAGAGGTGATATACTGATGACCAGTGACACTGTGACCTGCACCGTCGCCAGTTGTGTCATCTTCTGGGTGTTCAGAGGAGGATCTGTCTGCAATGAAAAAAATAATTTCATAGTGATGTTTAGCTGGGTAATGTTCAAGTCCACAATTTTTACACTGACTATAGCTCAATTCTGTAGGCCCAATTCCTCCCTGGTTGTGACAGTTCATATTACTATCTCAGCCAGCCATGGAGCTACAAGTAGGTCTCCACTGACAGGAGATTACTACACTATTGGGCAAGTCACTTCATTTCTAAAACACTTTTCCATACCTGAACACACTAAGTGTAATTGGAAATCACCATAAGGGCTTGAGTAACAGTCATGATGGCACTAGTACTGTGACTTGATTTGTTTCAACCAGCAACAAAACCTTCTTTACTAGCTACTCATGGCTGATTAAACCACATACTGTTTATCTATTCTATTCAGGAAAAACATTTACAATGGAAATCTGCCTCTTCATCTGGTTTTAGCAGTGTGGGATACTGTATGTTGTTCTCTGAGCCAGAGGCAACGAGGGGTTTATACGGTACACTACTTTTCTCAATCCTCTGTATCCTTTCTGCCCTGTGTTTGTGTGGAGCCTTCACAATGAAGAAGAATGACACCCAGTAGATCAGCACCACTGGCATGGTCAGCAGGAAGGCATACCTGGAAATCACACCAATGTTATATTGTGCCATCCAGTAGATCAGCACCACTGGCATGGTCAGCAGGAAGGCATACCTGGAAATAACACCAATGTTATATTGTGTCACCCAGTAGATCAGAGCCACTGGCATGGTCAGCAGGAAGGCATACCTGGAAATAACACCAATGTTATATTGTGCCACCCAGTAGATCAGCAACACTGGCATGGTCAGCAGGAAAGCATACCTGGAAATAACCATCATGTTTAATGGAATTCAGTGCTGGAAAATAATAGATAATTATCGATCTTTCTTTGAAACACACCCACATTTAGCATAATTACATTACGTTATAAAAACAAACTCCAAGTGCTATTTATTTATATGTTAGCAATTTTAATACTATTTTAATTGTTTTTTAAATAGCATCATTAAAGTTTGTTAAAAATTAAAGCAAGAACAATATAAATTAAATATTTCTCTAAAATTCTCAACAATTCTCTCAGACTTGTAGTAACCAACCATCATTCTGTTTTGTTTCAAACTCAAAACTGACATATACAAAGGCACAGATTCAGTCATATGTAGCTTTTCCTTTATTTCTAAAAAGATGCAATGCGCATTTGAACATTACATAGTACAGTAAATCTTTAAAGAAAATGGGAAGATCTAAAAAATAATGTGCACTGTCTCTTAAAGTAATTATCTTGACCATCACAAAACATAACAAATGTATATTTTTGGTCAGCATGTCAATGAAACTTACCTGTCCAATTCTTTTAGTTGATCTTGTTTGTCCTCAGCCTTGGTTGTGTTTTGTACAACACAGCCTGCAAAGAAGAATTAGATAGTAGTCAAAACTATATATTTCATTTTTACCTTCAAACTTATTTTTGATTAAAAATACTCAAAACCAAACATACTGAAATGCCTTATGTAAGAAATGAGACAAGAAGCTCTGCCAGATCCCGTATTTTCCTTGCCACACCCTCTACACTTTCCTTGCCACATCCCCTTGGTTGCCTATGAAAGGCATGAAGGGACAGGGAAAAGACTTGAGGTACTCAGGAATCTTATTAGTAACTTTAAATTGTTCTTTCCCCATCACCACCTGCTAAACCAATAGTTGAAGGAGAAGACAGAAGATAGACAAGGAACGAATATATTCTCACCAAAGATGATGAACAGCTGAGGAAGAAGACAGAAGATAGAATAGGAATGCACTTGCCAAAGATGATGAAGAGTCCAGCTCCCAGCAACCCAGCCATTCCTGTGCCACTAGCATATGCATTGACCAGCTTGCCAGGAAACTTGGACAGGTAGCCAAGGAGGACACTGCAAAATAAAGGAATTCTGACAAGTGTAATCTGTTACAAGTCAATTTTAAGATTTTCCATACTATATCATCTACACCTATTCATTCTTTTCAGAAATTCTTAAAAGCAGAATTCACATATTACACATTTGAACTGAGAAGTCCACAGGTGTGATTTAGACAGATATCTGTGATTTAGACGGATTTTTGTGATTAAAACTGATTTTTTGGTTTAGGGACCCCAGCTGGCATGCAATATTACTGGATTAAATCACAAGACTGCTGTAGATCACAGGGAAATATGATGAGGTATAATGAGGCATGCTAGACAGACTTACTTCTCTCCAAATGCTGCACTGGACCCTGCTACCACCTGTAACATAATGATACATCTGGTACTAAAAGAAAGTCTTTGCTCTACAAGTATGTTTTACAGATGGGGTCGTTCAAACTACAATAGCCTGGTTAGAAAACTGGACAGCTCTTACTGCCAGGAATTGTTGTGGAGTTACATTGCACTAACACTAACACAGTAACAGGTGATTGCTGTTAATTATCAATAACAGCTACAGTATTTAACATTTCAAGATAGAAAATACAAGGAAAGCAAAGCAAAAAAAAAAAACAGCTACATGTAACTCTCTATGCAAAAATTGGATTAAAAAAGACTGCCCCAAATCTTAAGGTGGAAATACTAGTATTATTTGCATGCAAGAAGGTTAAAGGCTTCATCTGCATAACTACAGCACTATATTAGGATTTGTAGTCAGCAGTCAATGTCTAGGAATCGAGCAACACACAGCATTTCATAAGTGAAAAATAAAAATATTAATCCTCAGAATGTTACAAAAGAGTTATGAAAAGGTAAAGACTCACAATACATGCAAGGGCCATGCCAAAAGATGAAGAGAAAGCTATGCCAAGCAAACCTGAAACACAGAGGCAAACTTCTTGAAATAAAGGCTCAGTTAATTTAACAGTATTATTTTAAATAGGTGATATTTGCAAATAATATCCACAAGTTTGTTAAATAATATGAAGCAAATCCAGATAAAACAGACAAGCTAAAAAAGGACATTAAAGGAATAAAATGTTGTCTAATTAATTTTTTAATTATTTTCCCGATCCTATCATTATTATTTTCATCTGTTTGTAACTGAAATCATATTTCTCCCAATATTAAATCAGATAAGTGAGCTGTCTGTGAGACACCTCCACTGAACAGTGAATACTTGTTATGGTTAGTAACACTAGTTAGTAACAGTGTGGATCAATGGCCCGGGTCTTTGGTGGAACAATCTTTCAAGACTAGAGTAACTGCACAATGTAGTGATGTACTAGTCCAGTGTGAACAATGCCTTTCCATTTCCAATATCTCCATTCAAAATAGAAGAAATACCAGGGGCCGATTTCACAAAGCAGTAGTTAGTTAGCGATCGGTAGTTAGCCTCTCGCTAGTTATAGTGCCATTTCACGAAGCAGTCGCTAGTTCTCTCGCTCGTTATTTTCTCGTTGTTACCATGGATATTTAACGACTGGTCAGACCAGTCACTAACTCTAGACTTTCATCGTACGCATGCGTAATGAGTGAAATAAAAAGATTGCTTAGTTACCATTGTCTGTCGTTTAACTTTGTATCCAATATGGCGGCTACCTTTCTTGCTATCCATACCGCCAGACGGCAACGTAAACTACGACGTTTTCATGAAAGGCAGGATCTATTATTATATACATACTATGATGCAATTTATGAGAGGTTGCGCCTAGCTGTGACAAAAAGAGAGGCAAAAAGGTGGTGGAGATCCTTTACGACGACCTCAAAGCAGACGTTCTTATGCATTTCCAGCCACCAAAAATTGGAGAGTTAGTGCTTTCGTGACACTTTTACGCAAGAGTTCCACTTCCGGCAGACGGTTTCGAGACTACGGTGAGTAACGAGAGAACTAGCGACCGAACTTTACGACTGAACTTAGCGATAAGTTAACTACTGCTTCGTGAAACACCCCTCGAAAATCGCTAAGTTTGCTCGTTAGCTAGGTAGTTCAGTAGTTAGTTGTTCTAACTAACTACTGCTTTGTGAAACCGGCCCCAGGTACCATCAACCAAACTCACCTCCTAACATCAGAAGTCCATTGATCACAATCCTTATAGCATATGGAACTTTCAGCAGAAAGAATGTGTTCAAAGCTTAAAAAGAAAACATTTCCATTCAATAATCCATTTCAAAGTCATGTCTCTGACTTAATTGTGTAAAATGCAATGTAAACAGTGCCATTTTTTAAAAAGTTGTGTACCATAAATACTAACAGGTCAGCTACATTTTATCACAAAAAGCTCTGCAAGGTACAAAAGTTCAAATTTTATAACTTACATTTGACAACAAAAGCTGCAGCAACATTGGCTCCAAAGACCAGGCCAACAAAGTTCGTCTGGCCATACCTGAAAATGGCAGTAGACAAATAGCTTTTCATTCTACAGTAAACTGAAACATCTACAGTAGGTACACAAGCACAAAGAATAATACTACAGCATGGATAATTAGGGCTCAGAGACACTTTCCTGTTGTGCTTAAGTTAAAAGGAGTATCTGGATAGTGGTTACTGAAACAGGGACAGATGGAGGCCATCTTCTCAGTCTTCTGAATATGTCTTCATAATTGGTGATTGACCTGTTTTAATTCCTCGTGATTGGTGATTAAGGGGGGGGGGGGTATTCCCTACCTGAGGCTCTATTAACTGACATAAAACAACACCTGCTATTACCTTGATATGTGTCAATGAAAACACAGAACGCTTCTTACAATACCAAACTACTTAAGTAGACTATAGCAACATAATACATGGAAATAGGAAACAGTTATACAGTATGCATGTACATGTTGTACATTAGTGCCAGATGCAGGGTAGAACCGGCCGGATAGCTCAGGCGGTAGAGCACTCGCCCTGTTAGTGAGCAGTCCCAGGTTCGAATCCCTGGTCTGGCAGGTGATTTTTCTGGACTCACCCCAAATCGCTACATACATTACCTTCAAAATTGAGGGTGAAGTACGTTTGGTACCATGTACGTACATGTACTTACTCGCTAGCTATGGTGCTTGCAGCTGAATTTATCACAACGTACGGAAGGTTGTTAATGGCTCCCATCAAAAACAGCCCGATCTAAAATGATATGACAATGAGGAATTCAAGTAATATACATAGATGTACGTTTCACTTTCAATAATTCAAGCTGTAAACATTATGATTATGCAACACGACTTGGTTCCGCCGCATCCGTAAAATTGCTAAAATTACTTGCCCAAGCAATCAATGTATCTGACGATGATATATGCTCCTCTGTACAATGTCCAGACCTACGACATGGCACTGCTGTGATGGAATGTTTATTGATCATAAAGAACCTTAACATACAAGGTACAGATCATCGATAGCGTACAAGCAAATATAAAATGGTCACAGAAATACAATACTAGATATAATAGATTAAAAAAAAAAAAAAAAAACTACATGGAACATACGAATTAAACTTACACCTAAGAATGGATATTTTACTGACCGACATCCAACTATAACAAGGCACCATAACACTACTAGCAATAATTACGCACAATTACAATGAGAAATAAATAAATAATTATATAGGTTATATACCCAGCTACAGTAGTGATGTTGGACGCCAACTCTGACCAGGCGTTCACAATGTACTCACCCAGTTCCGCAAGATCATCGAATCGACAGCCATGTTCTGATTTGTCAATCCCTAAAAAAGAGAAGCACCACTTTTCAGAGTTGCATCAAGGAAGAAAATCCCTTTCGAGCGTCACATGCCAAGCGTCCCTGTAGCTGCGAGAGAGAAAAAGATGACCGATGACCCTGTTCAAGCAGAACACGGAAGTACTGCATAAATAACCAGCCTTCAAACAACGAAGAGCGCATTGTCGATAATTTTGCAGTGGTAAAAAAGACACCGTAAAGATGTGCTTAATTAGTTCTGTCCCGTCAATAATTTGGTTGGAGTGGGGGTTATTTTAAATTGTGGAGATATTTACTTTTTAATTTCCTTATTTATTTGACTTTTTATTTCGTCATATTACCTTTTTTGCGTGGATGAGTGATTTTCACCTTGGACGATTAATCATTCTAATAATTCGCTTTTTTATCCAAGCTTTTACTAAGTAACCATTTGCGGGGGTGAAACTCACAAAAATAAATAAATAAATAAATAAATAAATAAATACTCATGCCTGATACAAACTTAAATGAAAACAAATTAGTGTAATAAGCTATGTGAAAAATAAAAAAAAATACTGACAAAATATTTTCACCTTTATTGTGGCGAAAGCCTACCAAAAATGACATCTGTCACGTACATGACTCATAAAATATGTAATAATTAAGTTTGTTTATTTTTAACAAAAGTTATTTTTACATGCATCCATAAATAATTACATTATTATCGAAGTAGGCCCCCTGGTACCAATAATATGTTTTCAAAATTAACAACAACATGCGCAATGTAAGTCTTATACATGTACACGAATCAAAATATTTACGTTGCCCTGTGAGATTTTTACGTTACCAGTTATTGTAATGTGTGGATAAGAACATATATAGTTTCTGCGGGTGTGAGATGATTATAGAACCTGTCCGTCTCGTTACGTAACGCCACCGTGCGGCTCAATGGATCTGCCATAATGGTATTTCTGAAAAGAATGGGGATTAGAATTAGAAGAAGAAAGCCTGAAAAGAAAAACCTAGTGTCGGTGCTTTCAAACGCGGTGTAAGTGCTGCAATTTTTAACGATAGAATGGATACCTTTTTTTTATTGAAGAAATCATAAAGGAGTCAAAGTGTCGCGAGAGAATGAAAGCAAAAACTTTTACTCAAAATTAATTGAAAATAATTTTACCGGTTGTTTATTTCACACGTATCCTACCAGTAATTGCAGTAAACTTCGTGAATGCGTGATTATAATATTATAGGAGGAAGGGAGTGCACGATGGGCCAGGTTCCTCCCCCCCCCCCCAGCCTCAATGACAGATTCTCCCTCCCTTAACACAGCATAACAAACCAAACGAGACAAAATCAGCAATTTTCCATCACTGATATTAAACTGTATCTCTCCTTGTCTGCTATTTAATATTTACCTAGAGACGTAGGGCAAGCATTTCGTCCTTTCTAAGTAAAACCCTGAATACGGCAGAGGGATCATTCTCTACTTTGCTTTGCATGTTCACCCGCCTTGCCTGGACACCAGCTATCAACTTTATATCAACCATGAATGTCAGTTCCCCCATTAGAGCATCATTACAGGTGAATTATCTGCAGTTTTATCTTTACTTTTCCTGTGTAGTTCCTATGTTTCGCTATCAGATCAAATGAAAAGTGCAATTGCTTTTGTTTTCTTAGCAATAAATGTAGTGGCTGAACTATAAGGGCCACGTGCTTGCCAAGACACATTTCGGAGCCATTTAGTGACGAAACTTTTTAAAAATGACGTTTTAAGTGAGATTTTCAGAAGAATGACACACATTTTGTCAAACGTTGGCCTTTATGGTGCAATGTTCCTCATTTCCTTGTGTAAAAGGCGCGTCTCTGTGGATCCTGTCATAACGCAAAGCCTCGCATACAACCTGAACTCATTCAACGGTTCAGTGGGGACATTGTCGCGTGCATTTTGCTGCAGTAGATTACAGACCTAGAAGCGAGCAGCGGACCACTACAGCGTGTCTGATGTCTTGAGGAGCTGGAGCGTCTTAACCCTGCGTCTTCCCGGTCTACTGAGCCGAGCAGTACAGCACTGGGCCACTGCCACTGTTAGCATGGAGGAGAGAGTGATTCCGGGGAACTAGTCTAACAGGTAATCGATTTTTTGATCTGATTTCTATCTTTTTTAAAATCATTTTTCCTCGTCTACCCGATAAAGGGACGCATGATTCTGAACCAAGCTGTTAAGACCATGTTTCCGACGAATCTAATTCGATGTTCTTTTAGATTGTGTCTGTTATTCTGGGTATGTAACGTTCTACATGACTAACTACTCCAGTCTCCACACATTAAGCACTAGTTGTAAACGTGCACCGTCACCGCCTCTCCCCTTTAGTCGGTTTTGTGCGGAAGATTTATGTTGAACTAGTTACATTTGCTATATATATACTGCTAGTATGCCGTTAGTGAGAGCAGAGAGATTTAGTGTCCCTGGTCGTGACATAAGCGTTCGCCCTAGCGTTAGCACTGACATAGATCAAGGAGATGAATAGTTTGGAGTGGTGCAGTGTGTAAAGCTATAAAGCACCCTCCCCTGTACATACGAACGCCGGGTACAGTGTGACGAGGCTCCAAGGGACAGTATGAGCAAATCAAGACACGAGGTGACGACGACGTCTGCTGTATACGAGATTGGGAACCAGGGGACAAAGCCGTCTTAACAAATCACTGGCACGAAACGCAATTAAAAAGAAATCAAAAACACCAAAGCCGGCTATTGTTCCAAAAATATAGGTTATTTACTTCAAGTTAACGGCCCATTAGAGAATTTCAACTGCAGTCAGTTTCAAAAACTATGTTGAAGCCCAAGGCTCAGCGTTTTTATCAACTCGTTCAGTGACTTGACGGACCAGCTGGTACAGTGCCTGTAACCCCAGAGAAACCGAGGACTTAGAAATACCACTGGAATCCCTGGACGGCAGGATGTAGTTAGTTCTTCATTGGTAAGCAAAAGGCACCATCTGTTGAATACACTGCTACACGCCAACGTCGCCATTGATTTCCTTACTATGTCGTAATGAGACTAGAATTTGGGATAAGAGGCGTGGGACTTAGTTTTCCTCTCAGATAACTCAGTTATGAAAACATCTTCCTCAGTATTTGCTTTGAAAGAACTTCATTTAAACATTGGCTAGTTAACTCAATAGACAGGACTCCCATACTTAGATCGATCTAACAGGATCGATCCATCTCCAAGGAGTTTCTCGCTAAATTGCTTTCAGGTTAAGCGGCTTAGATGTCTGGCACACCCACTGAAGCTGGTGAACGATAATTAATTACAACTTAGCAGCTTCAGTAGGCGTAACAGACATCTGAGCCACTTAAGTAGATTGCAGTTTAGCCAGAATCCCCTTGGAGATAGATCGATCCACAGTTAGTACGATAGGGTCTGGGAAAGGTCTCAAAAGAGACGTGCGACGTATTTCCAAAGAGAAAGGAGGACGTACGTTACTTTCTGGGGACTTAACTATGATTAAAATGAAAAATTCTAGTTATAGTTATTTCCAATCGTTTTCCACACATTTTGATCAGTACAGGGGTAAAAGACAGAAGCAGGGTCATCAACTGCGTGTTGTCCCCATTGACGTCACTGATGGTTAGCACGCACTTCTGTCGCCTACGCCATGGGCCGCGATCAACACTTGCAAAAGAAAAGAAAAGTTCATAAAATTATACAGTGTAGACTGCAACAAACCACTTCAAATAAACACGGATATTGAATCCAATAACTGTAAGATGGAGATATGTAGAAAAGCTACTTTTAGTCATTACCACGCCCTTGTTACACAGGTACCAAATATCATTATGTTATTGATGTGCTGTTATATCGTTTTTGCGCTGCGAAAGACGGCCATGAAAAAGAGGTCAAAAGACACGCGAGTGTATCCCCCCTCTCTTCTTATATATAGAGACATTGAAGGCCCCATGTGTCTGTATATAGTCTGATCACTTTATTTGTCGATGGCGCTGTCGCCGATGTTGTTTTACTTTAAATGTACTGAGTAGCATTGTTTTGTTAAAAATATTCCTTTCAAAATCATCATACTTTACGAAAGTTATTGATTTTATTGTGTTATTTTGGCGACGTTGGCCCCATAAGTGCAAAACCGTATACAGTGGCGGATTTAGGGGGGTCGATTTCTGACAATAATAACACCAATGGTCCCCTCTTGAAATTAGAATTTTGACTAGCTGAATCATAGTTCTAAACCGTTCGAAATAGCACCGTTCGCCCTCTAAAATACCAAATATATTTGATTTGCGGTCCTTTAGCGGGCCCCGCACCCCACGCCAAGGGGGAGGGGGTTGACTTCGCATCCTTGGACCCCCCCTCCCCCTTCAAATAATCCTGGATCTGCCCCTGCGTATATATGTCTTATTTTCAAATTACTGAGTGGTTTTATACATTAATAAGGCAGATTCCTTTTTTTAATCAGAATTCCTACCAAACAATTGATTTCTTTTTCATGTATTTTGGTACCGTTTGTTCCATGATTTCCAAATCGTAGTTTTGCTGTTGGGGCTCTCATAGTACCCAGCTAAAATAAGATATGTAGTGCATTAAAGTAGGCTCTTAAAATCAGTTTTTTTATACACTATTCATCGTAAAATCACCCTGTTCTTTTTTAGGGGGCTGGTTCGGTCTATTTGAACTTTGTACAATTTTTCCTTCAAATGTAGATCGCGGCCGTTGGACTGCGTATAATACAGGTATTAAAATGAACAAAAATTAACTTTATACAATTAGCCTTTTCAGGTCCCATAAAGCGTTCTTTTCCTTCAAGGAGTTGCCAGTCTCAGGGAATGTTTGGGTGTCCTGATCATTGATATTCAACGTGTTAAAGGCCCCGATCATTTCAATCCTGTAGACCAATCATGACCAGTGGTAATATAAATTCGAAGGTTTTTTTTCTAGCAGGAAGGTTGGAGGGAGGCAGGGGGGGGGGGGGGGGTAAAGATATATAAGTAATGATGTGGGCCCGAAAATTGATAGACGCGATCCTGTCTTACATGTAGGGCCTACTTATAAGCTTTGCTTCATCAATTCCGCTTTAAAAGTTGGTTACAACAAAGTTACAGGTATAATATTACCAGTTTTCTGAAGTGAATCATAGATATTAGGTAATTATATTGTCAATTAAGTAATTTAATGTTCATTAAGTTGTTGCACGTGAAAAGAATTGCGTGCACTCCCAGTTAAGATCTCAATGGCTGGTTCTACCATTTGTATTAACCCCATCACGTACGGATATGTAACCCATTGCTCAGCTTAGGAACACGGAGAGCAAATTTGTGGAGATAAAATCACGCTTACTATAAACGTCATGAATAGGGCACAATACCGCACCGCGAATAATTAGCCGCGTTCCTTTAGATGTGCAACACTACACTAAGTGGCAACTCTTTCCTACAGGTATCTATTGTTCAGCGGAGTGGAGTGGGGCCAGCGTTGGAGTGGCTGTAGAGGGGTATTTGCCGAGAGGTATTTACAACCCACTCCAAAGCTTTGGATAACAAGGAGGTGTTTGTTCTCTTCTTCCTTTTACTTTGGTGTAGTGATGTTTTGTATCGGTGTTATTGTCATGTTTGGCGAGGGTTTCCTCTCAGGTGTGTTAGTAAACTAATGTAGCTACGACAGCAAGTTGAAGACGGTGTGTGTAGGAACAAGTCAACCATCTAGCAGACCATGAATGGGAAGATGCTGACTTAGGGAAAACAGAATACAATTTTCATGCTTGTTAGAAATTAAGTTTATCTTGGTTTAGTGGCGTCACGTGTACCTGCCTATACGTTGCATTGGTGGATGCTGATATCCCCAAATCATGCAACACATTCATTATTCCAGCTAAATCACGGCCCCACGCCTGTGAGGAAGACTAACATTCTATCGATTTCTCGTTATTCTTAGATACATGTCTGTCTGATCGTTGTTTCTTTGTGGAATGTCTAACTTAACAATGTTTTCTTTTTACTCAGGAAAGCGAGGAATCCAGGAAAGAGAGGCACATGCATCAGAAATGATCGTACATGAAGGCGAGTTCCATTAGAACTAAAACATGGACGGATAATGGAGACTAAGATGACCATAGATAATAACTGCATTTTCAAAGTTGTATTGGGAGTGTCATGGGTAATCTTCGCCTCCTGTGTAATAGCGTTGATCATCGGCGTTATCTATTTACGGGAAGACGTGTTAGAGTTTGCCACAGTGCTCGGACTCATCATCTGCGGCCTTCCATTCCTGGTGATAGCGGGAACCATAGTGCACTTTACTTACGAGGAATGTACAAAAATTGGAAAGAAAAGAAAAGTGAAAAGAAATTCTCAAAGAAGAAGAGGCGAGGATACTATTGGCACGGAGATGTCGCAAGAGGAGGGACTCGTTTCTAAGGTTGAGGACATCTCGTTAAATGACATGGGTGACAGTGCGTCACCGGACTAGCGTTCAATCTATCAAGGAGCGCGCCCTCTCTCACACACATCACCAACACTTAATTTGTACTTGTCAGCGCGTTCTTCTCGATGTCATGCAGCAGCCACCATGAAACGCGCTGTCTTTGAACATATGGTATATAAATGAACGTTATGTGCAGTTTTTTCAATCAATAACCTCATCGCATTTGTTTTATTGGACTAAAACATCATCACATTTACTTTCATTTTGATGTAAATAAATTATTGGAAATATAAGTTACATGTGCTACCCCCTGTTCAGCGTAGCTTGCTTTTTCTTTAACGCCATACATGTCGTAAAGGTCTGTATAGTATTCCGCGTGAGGGCACCCAGTTTTTTAATATAAAAAAAACAACACCTTTTTTGTACATGCTTGACATAACGTGGTTACAAGTTGAGGAAACGGAGCTCACTGAAAACCTATGGTAGTACCATTTTATTAAAGGGCATTGTATTTTGTTGAACATTAGAGTTTGCCTGTACTATTTGTAAAACTGAACGAGTGATAATACTATCTCCTAAGTAAAATCGAGCGGTATACTAGCTGGGCCGGTCCACTTTTAGAGGAACGCTACGGGGAGCTTTACTCCCCGTCACAAGACTCCGCAAGTTCGTTGCCTGACTAGTTTTGTTAAGAGTGGGGCTCAGTTAAACCGACTCTATGGGCCCGTTCACAGTGAATTTTTCGACCTAACTTCTATGCACACACTCGATCCGTGGTAAGTCTGGCTGAACGCAATCAGATCAACACGCCTCTTACTTACTGACGTTGAGTAGAAGACAGAAAAGCTGGTTATAACACAAGTATGTAGAAAGCAAAAGGTGTGTCAGTCTGCTTATCTGATTGCATTCAGCGAGAGTCCCCGTGGAGTCAGTGCGCAGTAGCTAGGTAGATAAATTCAATGTGAACGGACCATTTTACGTTATAGCCAGGTAACTGAGTTGTCAATCTCTCAAAGTGTATCGGTCCAGTTAAGTGGACCGCTATCTGTGAAAAGCGTCTGTTGCTGGTGACAGTCGTGGGAGGCGGTGCTGGTACTCATGAGCTCTCGTGCTTCATCATTACCCTCTACCAGGGTCATAGATGGAGTCTTTAGATATGCACATATATGCAGGGCCGAAGCCAGCAATTTCAAAAGGGGGTTTCTTTTTTGAAAAAGTGGACCTTTTCCCATAAAAACGTCATGTACCTAGATCAAATTTTTCCCAGAGTGGACCTTTTCCCAGCAAAAGGGGCGGTTCTTTTGAACCCCCCGAACCCCCCCCCCCCCCTGGTTACGGGCCTGTGTATGTCTCTGCCTAGTTATGTGCACTTATCTCTGTTGTGCACAGTAGAGATTTGTGTAATGAATAAGTGAGACATATCTGTGAATATTTAGTGAAAACCCATTCTGTGGCCTTGGCAGAGAGTACTTCATCATTGCCTCGTTCAATTATGTGATCTATTTTCAGTGCTGTCATTTATAAGTTGTAGAAATTTTGAGTGATGAAAGCGCCTGAACGTGTCATTACTTCTCAACGCCAAAGGGTCGAAGTAAATGCCATTATATAAAGATGACACGGAAAAGGAGAGGCCCAGCCCTGCTGTAACTAGCTAGCAGTTACTGGGTACCAGACTGACCAGAGGCCGGATGGATGAGGGATGAAGTTAATTATTTCTATTTCTGCTTTATTTGTTTATTATTATTATTATTATTATTATTATTGTTATTATTATTTACAAAAAATTCGCGGTGGACACAGAAATGTGCACAGATTAAGCCTTTGCCAGAGAAATGTCTGTGAATATCTAGTGAACAAATCTGTCTGTGGTATTGGTAGAGGGTAGCATTCAGACATGCCACGTGTCAGTGACCTCCACACTAATATCATGTCATATCTCCACCCCGGATTTGTTCTACTCGTGGTGCCAAGTGAGACGCCAGAGGAATTAGGTCTACGTAGTTGTGGGGATCATCCTCTAAGGCAAATATCTCCAAAAATTCCCAAACAACTCAATGGCTGGTACTGTGCGTGTCTGTTATCATAGAAATGTCGTATTCAAGCCTCGGGTACCAAAAATGACAATTATTCCGGATCAGTTAGCGTTTTTATGATTGTGTGGATCTTTTCTTATTCCACACCCTGCACTCTGTGACGTCCACAGGAACTTTTATGTCGATTTTCCTAACGTTGGTTTGCACCGGCTTTTGATTCACACGAGAAGATTTATTCTCCCTGCCCGCATTCGGGCAATCCAGTTTATTGAGAAAATCGTCTGTTGCACTTCCAGATTGCACCCATGCCCGCACGAAGGTGTCTGTATCCGCCCCGACGCCGTTATTTGGCAGCTGAGCACGTGCTGGGAAATAGTTGACATCGCCGGGTAGATGGCTAGGAAGTCGATAACCGGACACAGTGTTCTGATCAACGTAATTCCTTGACACGTTTGTAGGTTGTGGAAAACTCAAAGATCTCGAATGTTTTGTAAACGGTTTCTTAACGTACAGAAGGTCTTTGTGGGTGGCTTTCTTCTTCATTAGTTTTAGGGCACCTGTCACAAGTTCAGGTAGTTCTCTCTCCAGGTCTGTTCTACTGGGTCTGGCCACCTTGGACGACACTCCCCCTTCATCAGGGAAGTTGATGAACCTGGAACCACAGTGATCCGCTTTTAATTTTCGGTTAATATATATCAATGTAAAATATTTCAAGGGGCATTTAATTCGAAGAGCATGCTGAGAGGTGGGGGGGGGGGGGGGGAGAGAGAGAGAGAGAGAGAGAGAGAGATTAGAAAGACAATGACAACAGGAGTGTCACATGAAAGCTATTGTTCTTTCTATAATCAGGTTAACTCATTTATACGCGTCTTTGTCGATAATTACTTTGTGCAGTGGTGATATTTTAGGGGAATCAATAAAACTGCGTTTTCTTTAGTCTATTAACTATATAGAATAGTGTTGACAGAGCGTGGTGGCATTCATCAATTGTTTTGATAACAGACTTCAGTGAGCCTATTGATCTGAACTGAAAGCTCTCTTCTTCCTACCAACTCAACAAAATTGTCATCGTGGTCAATTCAGCTGCGGAACTGGTTCTTAAAACTAACTTCAACCTGCGCAGTAAGATAGCTGTGTCCAGGTAAACATAGGAGAGTAACATAATAGAGTCTATTACACCTGACATGTAACACCACTGTGAAGAGGTAACGTTAATCCCAGGTAGAGGAAAAGAAAGTAAATATGCGCAACAATAATAATAATGTCAACTCGAAATGTGATACGAATCTCGGTAAACAACAGTTTTTACTTTTTACGCTTCTTCTACAATAGTGAGCGCGTTGGTTTTGGCTGAATTATAATATTGTTATACTGGCAGCAAACACATGTTTCAAGGTGGTGAATGGTATTTTCACAAATAAACTTATTCCAATTAAGATTCTAGATAAGAGTTCTTAAACATTCGGTATTACGCGTGACCTTTAGCAAATAAAACTTTTCAACTAAGGAAATATTGAATAAATCATATCGGACCGAGGGCATACGCATACTGTGTTAATTGTTGAGCATTCTTCAGCTATGGTAAATAACGTAATGAACGCAGACCGCTTTGTTTGCAAACTTACACAGAAACTCTGCGCGAAGAAAATCACGGTAAAAATTATATATATATATATACCAGACGATTAAAACTATGTCAATGAATAACTGAGCAGATTAAAAAATTAATACCTGTAAGACATTTTCTTTTCCAATCGTTTCCGAGGGAATTCAAAGAACCCTAGTTGAGGATTCTGGCCCCGCTGTGGCGCCTTTTCTCTCCTATTGGTTTGTATCTGCCGCATGAGAGGGGGTACTGCATCCTCCTCCTCTCCATCCCTACCCCCCAGGGGCGTGGCGACCTGAAGCTCTCTTAGCCAGTCCTCTGTCAGCACGATATGGTGGTGCATGTATTCCTCGTCCTCCTCCTCTGTCCTGGCCGCGTCCTCATGGCGGCGGTGACGGCGAGGACAAGACGTCTGCTTAGCTGTCATGGTCGACCACTAACAGCGCCATGTAATCTGACGTTCCTGTCTCGCTTAAAACACCTGTAGTGGTCAATGTTCAGTCTCTGGGAATTTCTTCTCGGCTTTTTTTGTATTATATCATATCCTGTCATTTATCGTTTACATGATAAAACTGTCCAAACTGCCTTCCGTCTCTCTGATGTGATCTAAGAGTATCAGCTTACCTCACGGTAGTTTACAAAGAGATAGAACAATCCTCCCACCCCTTGTCTCCAGGAACGTTACTTCTGACAAGTTACAATGGCGACATTTGATGGAAAACAGTATCAACTGAACAGGCACACGGTGATGCCGTCATAGAGATCGATGCGCTGTTGTTTACTTAACGCCCCAGACTGGAGAGATTTCGATCTGCGTTCAACACCATTGAGACGCTTTTAGCAATAAATTACTCTCAACCTGTGATCAATTCGAACCTCATCCGACCACTTGGTAGCCAAGTGTGTACTTTCTGAATAATAATCTAATCATTTGGATGTCGAACATACTAAGAAGTTGTTCCCAATTTTAGTTGATTTCTGTAATATTTATATTTTTTATTGAGAGAAAGAAAGATTTCGCATTAGATTGTTTGATGTATGTCGATTCCCAGCTCTCACGCAGTATGTTTTCTATGGTGATATTCTACCTGAAAATTGAAACCATGAAACAAACATGACAGGTTTTCCCCGTCATTTTGAAGACTTTTCCTGCAAGAGTACCACTCTGTTCATCATATTTCTTTCAGTCGAGAACACCCGAAGTTAGACAAGGTTTTGAAAAACCGACACTGTACTTACCTTTTCGAATGTATATTCAAATTAAAATTTAGTTGGAACATACGTGTACTTTTATACGCATCAGCGATGTTATAAAAGAAAAGTCCGACGCACGACTTTTATTTCGCGTTTCCTTCTAAACCACATTATTAAATGTTGTACAATGTTGTTGTAACAAAACTGCTTTTATTTTCACATTAGTTTTTAGTATTATAACAGCGTCCATGTAGTACGAGATGCCGACGAATGCCCGTCATAACTATAAATATCGTGAGCACATCATTTCATTGAATACTACACGTTCTATTTGTAAAAGGCGAGTTAACAGCACACCAGCAAATAGACCTAATATGGAAAAACTACAGTACTGGATGAAAAACTGCCACAATGGTATTCGAACTCTCTTTAAATTATTTCAAGCTACAATCGCATGCACGAGATAGAATACGAACATTTTACGTTCATGATGAGAAACGGCGCGTGCTATAACTTCTTATGGCTAAAACAGTCTAATGATCACCGCTGCTGATATCATCACACTATGCCATGTCGGAACACGTGGACAGTGGACCGTTATAATGTGGGGAAATCGTATTATCTCACACGTGGAAGCTCCTCGTGGGTGGATGGCCCTGAGGAACTTTGTTGTCAGGCTTGATTCATCACGGAATCTTCACCAGACGATTTAATACTCTACGACCTGACTTTCCAACCTAACACTCAGACCTGACACTGTGCGACCTGCTGTTCACACAATGCCATCAGTCAAGACTGACACTATTTCACGTCACATTTACTCCCTGGATTCTGGTACACAAATAATATTTCACTGCATTTCCACGAGAACTATAAAATAGATTTACAGTGCCTTTATGTCTCCATATTTATAAAATATGGTAATTCTAAGCAAGTCTCACCGGCACGTTTCTCATATGGCTCTGAAATCTCTGCACCATAAATAACAACTCAGTCCAAGTTAATACACCAACAGTTTGGTTTCAGAGCGGTAGTTTATTCTGGGGTGCACTAAGGGAGAAAGTCCATGCAATAAAACTGGTTCATTTTATTACAGTGCCTGTAATATTGCTCCTTGGGACTGCCCTGATGCCATTTGGTGCTTGTTATACCAGCTGGACGCCCCACCAGACCACGCACTAATGCATGCACGCACACACTGGTGATATACTCTATCATGTTGTCTTTGGTTTACTGGGGAAGTAAGAGGACACCAGGGGGGGCTGTGGTCGTGGGTTCAGTTTCGGCACAACAATTTGCTGACTGAGTCTGGTAGTTTTCTGGAGAGGTATCTCAGCGGCCAGCTGTGTTGTAGGTGGCGTTGTGGTCTGTGGGGTCATGTGACGCAGGGGGACAGCAGCCTGTCCTGGCTGGAGGTACTTCTGGCTCAGAGGGGGGTCACTACAAACACAAAACAACACTGGTATAACAGCTTTGTAGAGCCAACATAATGATTTACAGTCTATCATATATAGATATTTTACAAAAATATTGCTACAACACATTATGTGTAATCAAACAGAAAAAAATCAATGGCAGTTTCAAAATACTGAAGTATGCGAAAATAATTATTTCTGGAAATTTCATTGTCTTAAATCTTCCTTACTTACAGTAAACAGAATGCTTGTCATGTCTTTTTAGAGAAACCTTACTCTTAAATAAATTTTTTTAGCCAAGTAAAAGAAATATGGTCTGAGTTAGTATATGACACACACACACACACACACACACACACACACACACACACACACATATGGTTCCAAACTGGAATTAGACAAAAAGTGTTGATTGATCCATGCAAGGAAAATTCTCATATCAAGACTCAAAAATTACCCCATGTGCAGAAATCCCAGAAATGACACCTTTAATAATCGACTTTAAAAAAAATAGAATTTGTCTTACTTTTCTTTGTTTTGCCTGTTTTGCTGCCTTCCCTGTTGTGTGTAAACTGGACTAATCTCCTCTGGTATAGGTGGCACTGGGGTGCTCTTACTCACAGGACCATGGGTCTGGACTGGCTTGTACTGCACCTACAGAATACATGGTAACAGAGATAAAGGACCAATATTTATGATATAGGTGGCACTGAGGTGCTCTTACTCACAAGACCCTGAGTCTGGACTGGCTTGTACTGCACCTACAGAATACATATTAACTGAAATATAGGACCTATATTTATGATAAAGGTGGCACTGGGGTGCTCTTACTCACAGGACCATGAGTCTGGACTGGCTTGTACTGCACCTACAGAATACATAGTAACTGAGATATAGGACCTATATTTATGATAAAGGTGGCACTGGGGTGCTCTTACTCACAGGACCATGGGTCTGGACTGGCTTGTACTGCACCTACAGAATGCATGCTAAGTAGGTTACTGAGATAAAGGACTTATACTGATGATATAGGTGGTTTAGTAGTGCCCTTACTCACAGGAGCCCAAGTCTGGACTGGCCTGTACTGCATCTAGAGAATACATGCTCTACTGGGTCGTCCCATACTATTAACTTACCTGTGGCTGTTGTGGTCTACTTGGATGGTGGGGGACAGTAGGAGTGGGCTCAAAACTGGGACGCCCTATACTGCTGACTGCTGGAGTGCTAAAGTTGTGCTGCAAAATAATAATAAAAAAAATTAAACGGACAGAAATCACAGCTCAGAAATACCAGAGAATTACACAGACAGCATAAATAATCATGATATAAATATAAATGGCATCTTCACCATTAAATGCCATGAAATTGCCATGTAGTCAATAAGGCTATCATATCTAAGCTTTGGGGCAAAATCTATCAACAAGGAATAAATAATAAATGACCTTAACTCACCAGCTAGTCAGACTGAAGTATAAGTAATAAGTGGTTAACTCACCAGAGCAGAGCCAGTAGGTCTGAAGGAACTTCCACCTGATGACGGCATCTCAAAGGTGCCATGTGTCAGTTTCTGCTGCCCTGAGAGCTGGGAATCTGTGACCTGCTTATTCAGCCAGTTGATCACTATAATATATCAAATAACTTCTTTTGAAACCAGCAATAAATAAAAAAAAAAGTTCTTTTTTAAAGATACAGATTTCATTAACCCCAGGCAGATGTCAAGTTTTATTCTGAAAGGTTTTCGAATCCCCTACAAAATAATTACACAATTTATTTAGAGCCTCTTTTAATGTAGGGTTCTGACCATTCAAAGAAGTAAATGACTCTTTTACTTAAATTATAAAAATAAAGTAATATTTCTAGTAAGTCAACTAACTTAATATCAATGGTTACCATTTTCATTTGTTTTAATTATTTGCCTGCTTTCCTCCAGTTTCTGTGTGGTAGTTTCTAAAGTTTCATTCAGCTTCCTGTTCTCTTCCTCTCTCTGTCTAAGTGTCTCCTTCAACTGCTGATTATCTGCTGTGGTCTTCTGGATGGTATCTTCTTTTTCTCCAAGAAGTTTTTCTTGCTCTGTGGTTATCTGATTCCTTAGTTTGAGCTACAGAATATTTACAAAACATCCCTTACAATAATTTTAAGAGAAGAAAATTTTAGGGTTTCCAAATATCAAAGCACATTTACATATAGCAAATAGTTCTCTTAAGAGCAATCCAAGATGATATTTTAGCAGTTTTACTGAATTACCTTCCAACTAATAAAGAACAATATTCCTGTCCACCCACCTTCCCATGGTAGGCTTTGATTTCTCCCTGAAGTTTCTGTATTATCTGGTTGCCTTTGATCAGCTCCTCAGACATGGCTTTTGTAGACTGTTCAAACTTTACTATTTGCTGTTGCTTCTTCTTGATTTCTTCTTCATACTTGTGCTAAAATAGAATTACAATCATATCATAAAAATGCATTTTATCAAAGTGTTTTGTGAATGAACTTTAAATAAAACTTTGTTTATTTGACAATGTGAACAGAACAAACATCATCAATCAGATCCCCTGTCTAATCAGCCTAACACAATCAATGTTCACACCTACCACAACCAGTTGTCACACCTACCACAATGACCTGTTTCTTACCTTCTGTTCCTGCTCAGATCCCAGTAAATCTGAGGACCTGGCCAGCACCTGATCTTTATCTTTCAGCTCCTGCTCCAATACAGCAACTTTAGTCTTTAACTGATTGTTCTGCTTTTCCTGTTCATGATAATCTGAGTCCAGAGCAGAGTTTTCTTTACGAAGATTTACAAGTTCTTGTTTCATGTGATGATGTTCATCCTCTAAGCTGCTCAGCTTGGACTTCAGTTCTCGTATCGTTGCTTCTGACTTGTACTTTCTGTCTGTCAAATCCTGTAAACAAATGAATTAAATTATCTTAGGTTGATAATGATTTCAAATACTATGGAATTTAAACTTGACAACACTTTGACATTTTATGCCCCAAAACATGTCTACTTATCAAAATTTTGACCCAATGTAATAATCTCCCTGCTACTCTTAACTAGAATTCCCCCTTAATCAATATTTGTACATCATTAAAACAAAGTGTGGTAACAATACCAAACCTTGTTAATGCCCTCTAATTCATAGAGCCTGGTTTCTGTTTGCTGGACAATCTTCATGTGAGCTTGCTCCAGCTCCTTCCTCTCCCGCTCATACCTCTGCTGATAGGAACTCTGTAACTGAAATCATCAACAACAGCTGCTGAAGTGAATTGTAAAATGACAACATACATACATGTGTGTCAAACATCAAGGATGGATTTGGATGAAACTGATGACTGCATCTGACTTTTTAAGAGCACCTCAACATAGTCTGATCAGAACAACCCTGTTACTCACTTGCAGTGCCTTTTCTCTCTCGGCTGTTATTTCCCGTGCGTGCTGATTGGACAGGCTGTTGGTCTTGGATGTCCAGTCTCCTTTCAGGTTGTCCAGCTCCAAAGTTCTAGCAGACAACGCCTGTAACAGCACACAGTTAACAAACATTTATGTTTTGCACTCACAGCACATTTCTTTTCATTAAATGATATTCTACACGATGAAGATGACCAATTTACAGCAAGCTATCACCACATTTGCTTTTTTGGTTACTATTGTTAATTCACTGGAATGTCAAATCACCAGTCCTGAAAGTTTGAAGTTGCGTTTGTACTGCCACAAACCTGGTAACATTTAAGATTAAGTTTGAATGGAAAAATTACCTGTTGTGTCTGGTGAAGCCTTTGCTTCAGCTCCGCCTCCGTTGTCTCCAGTTTTGTCTGCAGACTGGTATATTGGTCCTGGAATTACGTAAATATTAACTAACCAACAAAATAATTAGATATATTCTTCCATGCAAATATCCACCAAGAAGTCTTTACAACTTATTTTATAAATGTCCAAATTATAATTCTGAAATGTTTGCCAGTACAGATTCCCTGTAATAGAGACACGGCAGAACTTATACCTTTAATAATTTTAAACAATCGGCCAGGTATTTCTTCACATCAGAGTCTGCCCCAGGCACCAGTCTCAGAGACAGGTGGGTCAGGTGCTTGAATGGGTTGGTCTCTATCACATTTAAACTGGCACATGTCTTGTCTGAACTCACTAGATGTAATATAAACCTGGAGGTGAGAAGGAAAGCAATACCTATGATAATACATGCATGAGAAATTTCATAATTACTTCATAACATTGAAACCATATAAAACTGACACAGGTTGAATGCAAACACATTGCTTCCTGGATAAACAAATGTCCACAAACCAACAACCACATGACATTCAATCTTGTCTATATCGCTAAATTATTTACTCCTCTTCATGCAAATGGGTAGATGCAAGGCAGATCTTTCTATACAACGTACACAGTATTTCATGTTAGAATTATAATGTAACNTTCAAAAACATTGCTTCCTGGATAAACAAATGTCCACAAACCAACAACCACATGACATTCAATCTTGTCTATATCGCTAAATTATTTACTCCTCTTCATGCAAATGGGTAGATGCAAGGCAGATCTTTCTATACAACGTACACAGTATTTCATGTTAGAATTATAATGTAACTGTTACATACATCTTCTAGACCCCCCCCCCAAAAAAAAAGTGACAAGCCACCATTCAGCCCATGTCAATTGATAGATAAGGATGCAGACGCTTAGCTATGCTACAAAATTAAAGGGATAATAACTCTTTGTATGAGTTCTACATTTCACAATAAAAACATTGTGAACAACTCACAGAAATATAATATATTCTCTTTTACCACAAAAATGGCAGTTATAGCTATTATTCTTATATCTGAGCTTGTCTTTAGACCACGTGACCTCCATAGATGGCTATACTCTGTTATAATCTCTTAAGAGATTATAACAAAAAAACAAACTTTTTAGAAAAAAACGGAGTAACTTTGAATGTAAAAATGGATTCATAAACCATTGGTAAGTATGGGAAAATTGTTGTTTACTCCAGGGAAATTCATTTTTTGGCCAAAACGAAGAGTTATTATCCCTTTAATGTATATAAATTTCCAAATTACCATATTAATATAGCGTTAGCTTGCCGTATGTAAAACCTTACTTTGGTGATTCTTTGTGCTGTTCCTGCAGACACAGCTCCAGAAGATCCACAAATCTCTGAGGAAAGGCACTGAAGTCCACCAGTAGGCCCTGCTGTGCCTTTAGGCTGCAATATGGAATGTCAACATTCAAACAATGACCAATACAATTCACTTCACACCAATAATAAAAATGCTTTTGACTTTGATGACTTCTTTCTACAAACATTACCAAAATAATAATAATAATATTAATAAATAAATAAATAAAATAAAATAAAAAAGGTCCCATAACAATGTGCACATTACCTCTGAAAGTCTTCTTCATTCAACCGTAGTGTGTACAAGAAAAAGAGGTCAGTTTCATCTGTAAGACGGACAACCAGCTCCTACGAAGAACGTAAACATGCTCATAAAATCAACAGTGACACTCTGAAAAAAGTGACACTTCGCAGAAAATGTGCCAGAGCTAGAATTTCAATGTATCAACTGGAAAGTTATCAAAACTTTGGAGGTCAGCAAAATGAATTCTGGGGTAGCGCTAGCAATTTTTTACGCTTAGCCAAATCACCACATTTTCGTCAATTTGTTAGCCAAATGACTTTAATTTGACTAAAATTAGTCAAATCAAGCCCTTTTTGTTTAGCCAATTTAAGTCAGTTTTAGCATTTGGCTAAATTTGCGAGTGTTAGCGCTACCCCAGGAATATAGTGTTAGAAGCATGGTTTAAATTTCAGTTGAAGCATATGCTTCAAAATAATCTTTTCAGTCTATCAATTCCCTTTACAGGCAATGCCTAATCAAAAAGATTTTACCTTGGTATGTATTGGTGATGTGATAGAATGCATCTCAAGGGTTATCAATACTGTCTGCTTCCTAAAATGGCAATTTAACATCTATTAAATAATAACATTGACAATGATTGTTCAAAATAACACAAATATCTTTGGTTTAATTTTTAAAGTCGAAAAAGTATTCTGTTTCGAACAATTGCATTGTATCGTAAATGTGCTGTTTCAACTTTCGACTGTTATTTCAACTTTACATAGACAAATACGACCTTGCATGTTTATTTTATTTGGGTCTTTGCTCTATGTTAATGTTAGAGGTTCGTTTGTGCTTTGACATAGCGATCCGTTCAACCCAATGACACACGTCAAGTGAGAAGTTTACAGTTACCATTACCTCTCTTCCCGCTCTGCAAACTTCGCCGTGACAGGAAGAGGCCGAGAGAACAGTTTTTCGACTGCAGAAGACCCCATCACAAAAAACTGAAACAAAAGGTTAAATAATGCCACAGTTACATTATAAACATCAATCAACTTTGGCGCTCGTCAAGACGGCCATAATTGAAGGTGTCAGTACTTGTCAAGACAAGCTCATATAAACTTCACATGGTTTCCGTAGCATTCTCATAATCACTTTGTCTTTTGGAACTGATTTGACAACTTATACACCTTAAATGTTTTTATCAAAAGCTGTCATTGTATAAATTGTAAATCCACTGCGATAATTTCTCTAAGGTTTCTTTGTTTTTCTTTACACTCTATTGACCATCCAAACATTTACCTCGGTTTCAATACTTCTGAATCTAATCGAGCGGTATTAGCCTCCCGTGCTGACAGGGGCAGTCCCACGTCAGTGCTGATACCCTGATAATGCAGACGTGATGAGCGCCTTGACCAAAACTGTGGTACTTTCCAATGGGCTGCATATGCCCATTTTCGGGCTTGGTAAGTCTCACATGGATTCAAACACAATCATGTATTTTTGCAGACGAATTCATCGATCTTTTTTACATGTACATGTAATTTTATAAATGGAGAAGTCACATATTGAGTAAAAAAACAGATCATAAAAAATTCCAGTGGCTTTTCGTTCCAAAAAGTGAATCATGCTTGAGAGCCTTACATATATACACTGGGGTAGCGCTAGCATTTTTTCCCCTAGGCCAAAATCATCACCTTTTTGTTAGTTTGTTATCCAAATGCTTTTAATTTGAATAAAATTAGTTGAATCACGCCCTTTTTGTTTTATCCAATTTAAGTCAGTTTTTGCATTTGGCTAAATTGGCGAGTGTTATCGCTACCCCAGATACATAACTGAAAGTTTGAAAAAGCTATACACCCATCAAGAGCATTAATCGTATTATCCTGAGCTCCTTCCCAGTAATCAATATATAAATATTTGTATAGATTTTTATAGTTGTTATAAAGTTGTTATGATTAGAGTAGAGAGCCTGTAAAATGTAACTTGTACACATTTTAGTGCTCAGTAAAAATGATTACATTGAGCACATTCTACGCCAAGATTTTGAAGCCAAGAGTGATGAATGTCACTACTATATTTCCATGCATGTGTAAATTACTCTGTACCTCTCTCTTTGTTGCCATAATAACTAACTTGATAATTTCAGGCACCTCACATTTGGGTGGTTACAGCCATTCTGCTGTGGTGTATGCCCTGAAAAACTGCGGCTACAGACATATTGATACGGCAGAGAGGTACGGCACAGAAGATAAACTACCACTGGCTATCAAGGTAAGTATATTACAGCTGTGTAGACATATTGATACAGCAGAGAGGTACGGCACAGAAGATAAACTCCCACTGGCTATCAAGGTTTTGCAGGCCCAAAGGGGGGGGGGGGGAGATTCGGGATGTGTTGAGGTGGGGGTCACATATACCTGCATGTACACTTTTATTTCCCGGAAAATGTCCACTGTCAATCAAAAGGTTCTATGCCATTTTTTTAAGTTGCGTTGTTTTTCAGAAAAGACACCTCCGACAGTTTGTAATTGCTGTCTACAAAAGTAGATAGTAAAAAATCAGAAATATCAAGATAAAAGATAGATATAGTTCACAACCTACAAAACGACACCATTTTCAGACTTTTTCCTGATGAGAAAAACAGTGCTTTTTCATTCTTTTTTTAGGGGATGGGAGGCTTACCATACAGTTTTTTTAATGCCTTCTGCAATCTCTAATTTCTTAAATTGGATAAGACATTTTTCTTTTTTATTCCATTCATAGCATGTTTTATCAGCTTGTAGGTGAGCTGACAAGGTTGGTAATATTCTGGGTACATGCCAGCCTGTAGACATTTCCATACAATGCAAAGTAATTGAATGGTTTTATTTTCTACAATTATGGGAAATGAAAAGCACAGTAATAACTTGATCAACCAAACATGCCACACCCATCCATAGATGAGTATCTTGATGGAATGCATGTACAGTTTCTATGAACAATAACATTAAGGTTAAATGTCTGAGATAAGTGTTGTGATTTAGATTTGTGTCTGTCACAGTGACAATAATCAGTGTAAATGTGAAGTCACACATACATAGTATGGAACATGTTGTGCCATGGCTCCTGTCTAGATGACACGTTCTGTGTTAAGTTTGCTTGTACATTACAAAGAGTAACACTCCAAGGACACAGATGGAGGTGTCTGAGAAAGAAATAGATCTAATTGTAATACATGCAATCTTTGCAAACTTGGTACAAACTCCATAAAGTTTGGACCACCTGACTCAGAGCCATGCTCTTTACTAATGACTTCACATTGATTACTGACAATCCTTTGACAACGTTGACATAACATTCAGGCATTAAAAAACAGTCCCCGATTCAAACTAGTCCATCTATACCAGTCTGCGCTAAAACATTTTAGTCTGTTGGCGCCTTTAATTAATTTTTTAGGATTGTAATAAAATATGTTTAAGGCATCATTGCAGTGATATAATGGAGACATATTGTTTGGCCCACTAGTTATTCTTTATAGTGTCAGACTTTATAGTAATAATTATAGTGCCTTGTATGACTAACTCAACCACTGACTTTGAATGGCATGGTTCCAGTTATGGGCATAGGTTGCACCCTAGTATTAATCCATATGCTAAAAAATCTTCCTACCTTGGTGTTCTCTGTTGACATATCTTATGTTTGATTTCTTAATTGACGTATCTAAACATAAACTTTGAAAAAAATATATTTAATTAATGTCAGATTTAAATTAACAAACAGACTTCTTTCATTTTTTAAGGAGAGTGGTATTCATAGAGAAGATATATTTCTGACATCCAAGCTGTGGCCAGCTCATTACGGCTATGAGAAGACCAAAGCTGCCTTTCACAACTCGCTTCAGAAAATGCAGACAGATTATCTGGGTAAGTGATGGATTAAACAAACTAACATCACGTTAATGATAAGTTATTTAATCTAATCAGATAATTGCACAGATGATGCTGTTTAATCTGTTAAGTAAAGAAAATGTTTACTCAAGAGAGGTTAAATCTGTCATTCTAAATTTATGCATCATGTTTTTTACACTGTGCCTGCTCCACAGGAGTTACTGCCTAACTGTTTCCTTTGTATTCTGTAGTCTTACATCTGCTTAACTGGAGATACTGCCTAACTGTTTCCTAAATCTATTCTGTAGACCTCCTTCTCCTCCACTGGAGTTGCTGCCTAACTGTTTCCTTAATATTCTGAAGACCTGTATCTGCTCCACTGGGGTTGCTGCCTAACTGTTTCTTTAATATTTTGTAGACCTGTATCTGCTCCACTAGGGTTGCTGCCTAACTGTTTCCTTAATATTCTGAAGACCTGTATCTGCTCCACTGGTGTTGCTGCCTAACTGTTTCCTTAATATTTTGTAGACCTGTATCTGGGGTTGCTGCCTGTTTCTTTAATATTCTGAAGACCTGTACCTGCTCCATGAGAGTTGTTGCCTAACTGTTTCCTAAATATTTTGTAGACCTGTACCTGCTCCACTGGCCTTACTGTCCACTTGCTGAGAAAGATCCAAAACATACGCTACACGAGTCGTGGAGAGCTCTGGAAGATCTTTACGATGAAGGTGAACATTCTTTTAACAAAAGTATTTTATGTGATGAGTCCAGCTTATAGTACTATATTACTTTGTTTGAAGAAGATTATCAGTAAGATCATTCATTAAAATCATTGAATGTTCACAATGGATTCAACTTTTACATCTTAATGAAATACTAGACTATTTGTTTTATTATCATTATTATTATTTAGCGATGTTTTGGAAATTTGCAGTCAGTTCTTCAAATTAAAAAAAAAGAACTGGAATTATGCTAATAAACCATGTACTGAGGAATCTTTCAAAGCAGATTTTTCTTTATTTATCCAAAGGAAAGATAAAAGCAATTGGCGTCAGCAACTTCCTAATTCCTCATCTTGAAGATTTGCTAGAAGAGTGTCGAATCCGCCCCATGGTGAACCAGGTGGAACATCACCCTTACAACAATGAAAAAGCTCTATTTCAGTTCTGTAAAGATAACAATATTCAGTATGAGGTATATAACACATTGAACAGTGAGAGAAAGATCTATTTCAGTTCTGTAAAGATAACAATATTCAGTATGAGGTATATAACACATTGAACAGTGAGAGAAAGATCTATTTCAGTTCTGTAAAGATAACAATATTCAGTACGAGGTATATAACACATTGAACAGTGAGAGAAAGCTCTAGTTCAGTTCTGTAAAGATAACAATATTCAGTATGAGGTATATAACACATTGAGCAGTGAGAGAAAGCTCTAGTTCAGTTCTGTAAAGATAACAATATTCAGTATGAGGTATATAACACATTGAACAGTGAGAGAAAGCTCTAGTTCAGTTCTGTAAAGATAACAATATTCAATACGAGGTATATAACACATTCAACAGTGAGAGAAAGCTCTATCTCATTTCTGCAAAGATAACAGGTGCTGTATGTAATAAAAAAAACTCTAGTGGATAGAAATTGTCGTCTGTAGACAGTGTAAACACTATAAATGTAAAAACAAAATCAGGTATAAATTTAAGAACGAAATAATGCAAATGACACCTAGAAGACAAAGATTTATCTCTCATAGTGTGTTAGGTCGGATAATATCACAGATTCACTTATTTTCAGGGTTACTGCCCACTGGCCAAAGGTCGGATACTTAATGAGCCCATAGTTGTGGAGATAGCTCAGCAGCACAACAAAACACCTGCTCAGGTGTTAATCAGGTGGTCGTTGCAGGTAAGAGAACAACACACACAGGGAGGGGTTATAGAGCTAGGAGCTGATCCTGTGGTATCCAACTACGGAGTGTTAATTCTTGTATTCCTGTTCACTATGGCCTTACTCAGAACAGGGGACTAACTAGTCTGAGGGTCAAATATGGCGGATCCACTTGAATACTTCCCCATGGGATATCTATTCAGTGTCTATTAGTGGATTAGACGGCAAGCTTTGTAGTGGGTTGCCATATATGACCCTCGGACTAGTTAGTTCCCTAGTCTGAATGGGGCCTATGTTACATGTACAGGTTTAAGGCTAATTTCCAGTAGTATGCCTGGCTTGAGAGAGATGGTGGGTCTGAAGTGGCTTAACTTTTAAGAAAAAGATCTTTTATCTTAAAGGAAAGGGACAGCAAACACAAATGAGTCACCATAACACCCACACAGCCTTCTGTCTCACCACACTCATGCTTGGACATCACTTCTTCCAGACTGCTGAGCTTATATTGTACAATGTTATGTTTGTAGAGTAAAAATGAAGATTTACCAGAGAGAGATACACAGAGTTATCATGACAGTGATTTGATTCTTTTACAGGATGGAATAGTTACAATACCCAAATCTACAAAAGAATCCAGAGTACTGGAGAATTGTCAGGTATAGAGAAATGTTTTGTGTGCTTTGGTAAAACTTTTATATTTAGTTGTCATTACTGATACAATATAACAATGTACAGCTAGGTGCTTTCAGTAAAAGTTTTGCTTGCATTTGTTTATTTCTTAGTTGATATAACTGCTGAATAAAATTGTATGCTGTTTTTGTTGTTTTGATGTAACTGGTTATGGAGCTATTTTCCATTATTTTGAGTTAGTGCATCTTCTTTTATCAGCCTAAATACTATCATATACTTATTATGTTATATGCCATACTGTTTGTTTAGTTTAGTCCCAGGTCTTGAAACCAAATTACAGTTTGTGTTTTTGAGTGACAGGTTTGTGATTGCAATCACCAAGTTAATGACCACAATATAAACCACGAAGAACAAGTCTCCTCACCTTCCCATTTGGCATATTTAGACAGCAAGCGATCCACTTAAAGCTGTCCAAATGGTTCACAGTTTATATGGCAATCACAAATCTGTGTCTCAAAGTCACAAAGAGCAATAATTTGTTTTAGAGGCCTGTTAGGCCCCATTCAGAATGAGAAGATTTGAGTGCTAACTGGTTTAAATATGGCGGACCTACATGAAAGGAAGACCGCTTAATCCTGTAATGGTCTCATGGCCTCTCACACCTCCCCACGCGTCGTCCCTGCAGGGGCAGGGTAATTAAATCTCGACTCCATTTGACCAGACACGAGGCATGTGAGAGGCGGAAAAACTATAACAGGATTAAGCAGTCTTCCTTTCAAGTAGGGTCCTCCATATTTGAGCCTTGGACCAGTTGATACTCAGATCTTCTCATTCTGAATGGTCCCTTAGAGTCCCATTCTCTCAGTAGTCTCCTTCTTGTAATGTCAGGTGTTTGACTTCACCCTCTCTGACAGTCAGATGACCACTCTGCATGGACTCCACACAGGTTTGCATGCATCGTGGGATCCATACAGACCACAAGACTTTATGACGCACATCGCACAAATGTGGGACTAGCAAAGGTGACACTGTTAGGCTGGCTTTAGATTTATCCTCAAAAAATGGCATGTTATAACTTGATTACATTAAATGTTTGGTTTTTTATTTGTCTAGTATGATTTGTTTTCTGTTTTTATATTGTTTCTAAAAATAGTCTGAATATATCATTCTCTTCCTCCTATGATCCCACTAACACAGATACAAAAACAAAACCTCTCTCTGTCACAGTCTGCAGTTGTGGAGGGAAAGGAACTTGGATTAATTTACGTCAGCCAACTCGTACTTTGATGTCTGGGCCACTTAATTATCATTTTTATGATCTTTGTGTATCTTAGCATGTGACTACATAAATGCTTAATGACACTAAAAACCTTGTCACTGTCAATGAATCAGGCTAATACATTCTGTGCTTAAGTGTTTCTTGTTTTTATCTTTTAAGATAAAAAATATTTAGAAATAAGAAATTTTGTCTTCCTGCTTTGGAAAGAATTGATTTATTTTTCAGGTATTTGATTTTAATCTAGACAGTGTTGCCATGGCAATCCTCGATAATCTTCACTGTGGTCTGAAGATGATTCCCCAAGTCTCCACCTCGAGGTCATATCTCTGCAGACATATTTGGGAGGAGGACATCGGCAACACTAGGACTGATTTCAGACAATGTCATTGTGTTATTAAGTAGACTNGAATATTCTTTTACTGTTTATCTTAATGCACCGTGAAAATTGTTTGGCCACATAACATATTGAAGGAAAGAGCTTTTCTAAACGCTTTTATGCATATCAGGTGGGGGACTAATTGAAAATAAGTTCCACAAGACTATGGAATTTTTTCCACTGTTCAGGAAGATTAGACGCACTCCAGTCCATGGAAGGTGTTGGAATACCAGTGAGTTCCATGCTAACAGTTAACACAATGTTAAAACTGCCATGGATCGTCACTGTTGCCTATGTCTGGCAACCACTTCTGACACCATGTAATAAGATGGCTCTTTACTGAGTCCAACGTGCCGGACTCTGTTCAGGAGAGAGACAACAACAATGCGTCTGACTTCTACGAAAGTTTATTATGAAGTGATAGGCTTGTATATACATGTACATTAAAAAGTATGAGGAACACCTGTTTACTTTAACAATGGCTGAGAACTGTCATCAAGTGTAATCTGTAGGTGACCAAGGGTCATTCAAAGAATGCCACTAATGGAAGCTTGTGAACTCTGATGACATTTACCAAAAACAAGAAGATAATGTTACACACTGTAAATCAAAAGTTTCTATGGCATTTTTAAGTTGTGTTGTTTTTCAGAAAAGACACCTCCTGACAGTTTGTAATCGCTCTCTACTAAACTAGATAGAAAAAAATATATAAAGATCAATATAATAGATATACTTCACAACCTACAATTAATACCACACCATTTTTAATTTTTTCCTGATGAGAAAATCAATGCTTTTGCTTTTTTTTCTTTTTTGTGGAGGATGAGAGGCATACCGTATGCAATCTCTAATCTCTTAAATTGGATAGCACAGTTTTCTTTTTCATTCAATTCAAAGCATGTTTTATCAGCTTGTAGGTGAGCTGACAAGGTTGGTAATATATTGGGTACATGCCAGCCTGTAGACATATCCATACAATGCAAAGTACTGTAATTGAATGGTTTTATTTTCTACAATTATGGGAAATGAAAAGCACAGTAATAACTTGATAAACCAAACATGCCACACCCATCCATAGATGAGTATCTTGATGGAATGCGCGTACAGTTTCCATGAACAATAACATTAAGGTTAAATGTCTGAGATAGGTGTTGTGATTTAGATTTGTGTCTGCCACAATGTCGATACTCAGTGTAAATGTGAAGTCACACATACATAGTATGGAACATGTTGTGCCATGGCTCCTGTCTAGACGACATGTTCTGTATTAAGTTTGCTACATTACAAAGAGTAACACTCCAAGGACACAGATAGAGGTGTCTGAGAAAGAAATAGATCTAATTGTAATACATGCAATCTTTGCAAACTTGGTACAAACTCCATAAAGTTTGGACCACCTGACTCAGAGCCATGCTCTTTACTAATGACTTCACATTGATTACTGACAATCCTTTGACAACGTTGACATAACATTCGGGCATTAAAAAACAGTCCCCGATTCAAACTAGTCCATCTATACCAGTCTGCGCTAAAACATTTTAGTCTGTTGGTGCCTTTAATTAATTTTTTAGGATTGTAATAAAATATGTTTAAGGCATCATTGCAGTGATATAATGGAGACATATTGTTTGGCCCACTAGTTATTCTTTATAGTGTCAGACTTTATAGTAATAATTATAGTGCCTTGTATGACTAAAACAACCACTGACTTTGAATGGCATGGTTCCAGTTATGGGCATATATAGGTTGCACCCTAGTGTTAATCCATATGCTAAAAAATCTTCCTACCTTGGTGTTCTCTGTTGACATATCTTATGTTTGATTTCTTAATTGACGTATCTAAACATAAACTTTGAAAAAAAATATATTTAATTAATGTCAGATTTAAATTAACAAACAGACTTCTTTCATTTTTTAAGGAGAGTGGTATTCATAGAGAAGATATATTTCTGACATCCAAGCTGTGGCCAGCTCATTACGGCTATGAGAAGACCAAAGCTGCCTTTCACAACTCGCTTCAGAAAATGCAGACAGATTATCTGGGTAAGTGATGGATTAAACAAACTCAGCATCACATTAATGATAAGTTATTTAATCTAACCAGATATTTCCACAGATAATGCTGTTTAATCTGTTAAGTAAAGAAAATGTTTACTAAAGAGAGGTTAAATCTGTCATTCTAAATTTATGCATCATGTTTTTTACACTGTACCTGATCCACAGGAGTTACTGCCTAACTGTTTCCTTTGTATTCTGTAGACTTGTACCTGCTTAACTGGAGATACTGCCGAACTGTTTCTTATATCTATTCTGTAGACCTACTCCTCTTCCACAAGAGTAACTGCCTAACTGTTTCCTATGTATTCGATCTGTAGACCTGCACCTGCTCCACTGGAGTTGCTGTCTAACTGTTTCCTTAATATTTTGTAGACCTGTACCTGCTCTACTGGAATTGTTTCCTTAATATTTTGTAGACCTGTGTCTGCTGCACTGGGGTTGCTGCCTAACTGTTTCCTTAATATTTTGTAGACCTGCACCTGCTCCATGAGAGTTGCTGCCTAACTGTTTCCTTAATATTTTGTAGACCTGCACCTGCTCCATGAGAGTTGCTGCCTAACTGTTTCCTTAATATTTTGTAGACCTGTACCTGCTCCACTGGCCTTACTGTCCACTTGCTGAGAAAGATCCAAAACATACACTACACGAGTCCTGGAGAGCTCTGGAAGATCTTTACGATGAAGGTGAACATTCTTTTAACCAAAGTATTTTATGTGAAAAGTCCAGCTTATAGTACTATATTACCTTGTTTTAAGAAGATTATCAGTAAGATCATTCATTAAAATCATTGAATGTTCACAATGGATTCAACTTTTACGTCTTAATGAAATACTAGACTATTTGTTTTATTATCATTATTATTATTATTTAGCGATGTTTTGGAAATTTGCAGTCAGTTCTTCAAATTAAAAAAAAAATTAAAGAATTGGAATTATGCTAATAAACCATGTACAGGAATCTTTCAAATCAGGAGATTTTTCTTTATTTATCCAAAGGAAAGATAAAAGCAATTGGTGTCAGCAACTTCCTCATTCCTCATCTTGAAGATTTGCTAGAAGAGTGTCGAATCCGCCCCATGGTGAACCAGGTGGAACATCACCCTTACAACAACGAGAAAGATCTATTTCAGTTCTGTAAAGATAACAATATTCAATACGAGGTATATAACACATTGAACAGTGAGAGAAAGCTCTAGTTCAGTTCTGTAAAGATAACAATATTCAATACGAGGTATATAACACATTGAACAGTGGGAGAAAGCTCTATCTCATTTCTGCAAAGATAACAGGTGCTGTATGTAATAAAAAAAATTCTAGTGGATAGAAATTGTCGTCTGTAGCCAGTGTAAACGCTATAAATGTAAAAACAAAATGAGGTATAAATTTAAGAACAAAATAATGCAAATGACACATAGAAGACAAAGATTTACCTCTCACAGTGTGTTAGGTCGGATAATATCACAGAGTCACTTATTTTCAGGGTTACTGCCCACTGGCCAAAGGTCGGATACTTAATGAGCCCATAGTTGTGGAGATAGCTCAGCAGCACAACAAAACACCTGCTCAGGTGTTAATCAGGTGGTCATTGCAGGTAAGAGATCAACACACACAGGGAGGTGTTATAGAGCTAGGAGCTGATCCTGTGGTATCCAACTACAGAGTGTTAATTCCTGTATTCCTGTTCACTATGGCCTTATTCAGAACAGGGGACTAACTAGTCTGAGGGTCAAATATGCCCAGCCCACTTGAATACTTCCCCATGGGATATCTATTCAGTGTCTGTTAGTGGATTAGACAGCAAGCTTTGTAGTGGGTCGCCATAATTGTCCCTTGGACTTGTTAGTCCCCTTGTCTGAATGGGGCCTATGTTACATGTACAGGTTTAAGGCTAATTTCCAGTAGTGTGCCTGGCTTGAGAGAGATGGTGGGTGTGAAGTGGCTTATCTTTTAAGAAAAAAAATTTTATCTTAAAGGGACAACAAACGCAAACGAGTCACCATAACACTCACAGAGCCTTCTGTCTCACCACACTCATGCTTGAACATCACTTCTTCCAGACTGCTGAGCTTATATTGTACAATGTTATGTTTGTAAAATAAAAATTAAGATTTGCCAGAGATATAACCAGAGTTATCATGAAAATGATTTAATTCTTTTACAGGATGGAATAGTTACAATACCCAAATCTACAAAAGAATCCAGAGTACTGGAGAATTGTCAGGTATAGAGAAATGTTTTGTGTGCTTTGGTTAAACTTTTATATTTAGTTGTCATTACTGATACAATGTAACAATGTACTGTACAGCTAGGTGCTTTCAGTAAAAGTTTTGCTTGCATTTGTTTATTTCTTAGTTGATATAACTGCTGAATAAAATTGTATGCTGTTTTTGTTGTTTTTATGTAACTGGTTATGGAGCTATTTTCCATTATTTTGAGTTAGTGCATCTTCTTTTATCAGCCTAAACACTATCATATACTTATTATGTTATATGCCATACTGTTAGTTTAGTTCAGTCCCAGGTCTTGAAACCAAATTACAGTTTGTGTCTTTGGGTGACAGGTTTGTGATTGCAATCACCAAGTTAATGACCACAAAATAAACCACGAAGAACAAGTCTCCTCACCTTCCCATTTGGCATATTTAGACAGCAAGCGATCCACTTAAAGCTGTCCAAATGGTTCACAGTTTATATGGTGATCACAAATCTGTGTCTCAAAGTCACAAAGAGCAATAATTTGCTTTAGAGGCCTGTTAAACCCCATTCAGAATGAGAAGATCTGAGTGCTAACTGGTCCATGGTTAAAATATGGCAGACCTACATGAAAGGAGGATGGCTTAATCCTGTAATGGTCTTTTGGCCTCACACATCTCCCCACGTGTTGTCCCTGCTGGGGCAGGGTAATTAAATCTCGACTCCATTTGACCAGACACTTGGGGAGGCATGTGAGAGGCAGACAAACTAAAACAGGATTAAGCGGTCTTCCTTTCATGTAGGGTCCTCCATATTTGAGACTTGGACCAGTTGATACTCGGATCTTCTCATTCTGAATGGTCCCTTAGAGTCCCATTCTCTCAGTAGTCTCCATCTTGTAATGTCAGGTGTTTGACTTCACCCTCTCTGACAGTCAGATGACCACCCTGCATGGCCTCCACACAGGTTTACATGCATCGTGGGATCCATACAGACCACAAGACTTTATGACCCACATTGCACAAATGTGGGACTAGACAAGGTGACACTCTTAGACTGGCTTTAGATATATCCTCAAAAAATGGCATGTTATAACTTGATTACATTTAATGTTTGTTTTTTATTTGTCTAGTATGATTTGTTTTCTGTTTTAATATTGTTTCTAAAAATATTCTGAATATATCATTCTCTTCTTCCTATGATCCCACTAACACAGATACATAAACAAAACCTTTCTCTGTCACAGTCTACAGTTGTGGAGGGAAAGGAACTAATTAATTTACATCAGCTAACTCCTACTTTGTCTGGACCACTTAATTATCACTTTTATGATCTGTTTGTATCTTAGCATGTGACTACATAAGTGCTTAATGACACAAAAACCTTGTCAATACACTTGTATTTTGATGAATCAGACTAATACATTCTGTGCTTGAGTGTTTCTTGTTTTTATCTTAAAAAGTTTGTCTTCCTGCTTTGGAAACAATTGTTGATTATTTTTCAGGTGTTTGACTTTAATCTAGATAGTGTTGCCATGGCAATCCTCGATAATCTTCACTGTGGTCTGAAGATGATTCCCCAAGTCTCCTCCTCAAGGTCATATCTCTGCAGACATATTGGGGAGGAGGACATCGGCAACACTAGGACTGATTTCAGACAATGTCATTGTGTTATTAAGTAGACTTATACTTTAGGATTTATTATTTACTTCAGTGGAATTATTTCCAAAGGACCAAATTGAATCCACATTGCAATGTTATTCCAGTGGTGCTTCCCCATATTTAATGTGATAAACAATATGGTTTATAACATGGTATTGATCACGGGTAATTGACAATCAAAACATTGCCATTGATGCAGTAAAATTGGTAAAAAATAAACTTAACAAATTCGCCTATTTCCAGTTTCTTAATAGCAACTTTAGATTTATTCACCATTTATTTGGAGAGTATTGCAATGAAGCTGGAGGCAAACAGTATTGAGATCCATTTTAGGTAAAACTATCATTTTGAACGAATTTTATGTATGTATATTTACATAATTTTAAAGCAATTAAATATATATTTGATTTCCTTTTTGATTTCCTTTTAGTGTGAAAGCGACTGTTGGAGTTAGTTAACTCTGACAGTGGTGAAACATCTTTATTGATATACTGTAAACTATAAGACTATAAAATATTTTAAGAACTTTGTTTCAGCAGTGTTTTATAGACAGATGTATAAAAGTTAATAATACAGTCAGGAATCAAAAGCAAAAAAATATGAATATACAAATGCCAACATTCCCACATTGTGACAACCGTTATAAGTTGTAAAACACTTCAATTTCTGCCATTTAACAGCTCCAGATCTTTCTTCAAACAGTCAATTCTCACTTTTGATATAATCAGTAAAAAGTCCTGTGGTAGGAAATGTAACACTATATGATGTATTATTGCTAAAATTGTCTACTTATATAGATTACTTATAAGTATGATGTGATTTCACAATATTGAATAAATGTTGACCCAATAAATATACTTACATGTAGCAAATCAAACATATTAGAATATTTCACAGATAGGTAGTCATTGCAAGCCCTTGGGTTTGGCATGATCAAAGAAAAATAATCAAGGTTTTTTTTCAACTGACAGATTATTCTCAAAACATAGCCAGGGGTAAATCAATATCAACCTGAACCTTTAATCTCCCCACATAGTAAATATAATAGATACAAATATAGTGCATTACTAAAAAGATGTGTATCAAAAAGGTATATAAATATATTGCAAAGTCACGTGTGTTACCCTGAACCTAGTGGTTACCTTTCACTTTTCAACTTAATATGAAAGTTACTGATCATCCATTAGCAAATCTTTGCTCCTTTCAGACCGATCACATCATTTGGGCAAATCGTTTTCTAACATGATCAATGGTGCCTAAGTCTAGAAGTAATTCACAAAAGAAATGCCTGCTGATGTGGCTCAATATGATCTCACGCAACAAAGGTTTCTGAACACTTTCAGGCAGGTCTTAATAAATGATCCAAATAGAAGGTTTATGAAAATAGCTTGTTATTCATCAAACACGCTCCTTTCTAAAATAAGGTAAAAAAATTGGATTCAAACACTTTGTGGTCCTTTATCTACTACAATATTTTATCTCAATGTGTGATCCACAACATGGACCTAGATGATGTTAAAAATTTGGCTCATCTCTATGGTTAGTTAGTCAAATATCACATCAGAGGCACTTGTAAAACTTGAGATTTTCCTTGCTACAATCATTTCCCCAGCCCAGCTCCATGTCATAGTATGGTGACGTTGACCTCTGGTCAGTTTAGGACACTGCGATGGCAATGACCATGATGATGACCAGGATGACCGTCAGGGTGATGTAAATGGCCAACATGGTCGACTTGAAACGACGGCCCTGAAACAGGAATTACGGGAAACTTGAATACCATCAGTATTAAGTATGGACTGTGTGACATGATAAGAAAAACTTATTTCCGTATAATCTATTTATGGTTAACAGTCAGACACGTTAAGACAATGAACATCCAAAAATGTTTCCCTAAAATACTGTTAGTATTAATACAGCTTCTAGATTTTGTAGTCTGTCACTTACGGAGGGTTCAGGTTCCGGCACCTTCTCTGCACGGGGGTCAGTGCGCTTCTGCATCTCCCACTGTTCACGCTTGTCTGGAAGAAAATCATCAATGGCTTTACTTGCAAAAGTACTGAAGTTTATTTCAAGAAACTAAATATTGTGCATAGAAAAAAATATTATGGTGATTTTGACTTAAGAAATTGTGTGGTTTTGTCTACAGAAATAACAGATCAAACTTTCATCAAAATCATATGACTGACTACAACTGAGACTACAACTACAGTGTTTAAGAACTGAAAGGCTGCGGGATATTCTCACCTTTGTTTCTCTTGTGTACACAGCACTGATGAATCTCCAGGGTAATCTCAGTGATAAACTGGACCAGGACCCAGATCAACATGACCCAGGTCACCCACCAGGGTACCCCAGACTTGGCCAGGTTCATTCCAAAGAAGATGTTGATGGCTGAAATACCAATAGGTCATATGGTCAGCAAAATTAGAACAGGGAAATGAGAAATATTTCATACCAAAGAAAAATTTGATGGCTGAAATACCAATAGTTCACTGGGTCAGCAAAATTAGAACAGTGAAATGATAAATATTATATCCCCCCTTCCCCACCCCTAGACACCACCTAGTGTTGTCAGAGTAAACAAGGTTATAGTAGGGGACAAAAAGCTTTCTGTCAAACTTTTGAATTTGAATACTTGTGAGTACATCAGTGAAACATTAATTTAATAAGATTTTATTTATTTACACATTTGTCTGAGCTGTTCACAATATTGTTTTAATATGTATCTTGAAATTATGATCATTATAAGTTAAACCCTGTACGTACTTGCCAGAATGTGCGCCACAGTTCCAACAATCCAGTGGAACCAGTTAAAGATGGGCCGATAATCATCCTCGGGGTGGCAACGGAACAGAGCCATGATTGGCTGAAAATAAGTTATGACTTTGATAACTGACATGTGCATATTCTTATTTCAATTCCATAAACAAATTCATCACTTGAGAATCTTAAAAATCTGCATATTTTGATGAATCCTTTCACGTGCTGCTGTTTTACAACTACCACCTTCACAGAAAGCCATTCTAATAAGTCATCATTCAAATAAAGAGGTCACATTAATTCTGGTGATAGGGGGATGCTTACATTCAGTACACACAGTATGGTCACTATGAAACCAATGATAGGGTGATACTTACATTCAGTACACACGGTATGGTCACTATGATACCAATGATAGGGGTGATACATTCAGTACACACAGTATGGTCACTATGATATCAATGATAGGGTGATACTTACATTCAGTACACACAGTATGGTCACTATGATACCAATGATAGGGAGATACTTACATTCAGTACACACAGTATGGTCACTATGATATCAATGATAGGGTGATACTTACATTCAGTACACACAGTATGGTCACTATGATACCAATGATAGGGTGATACTTACATTCAGTACACACAGTATGGTCACTATGATACCAATGATAGGGTGAGCCACAGCAAAGCCTGGAGAGTCCATCTGGAATAAGAGCAAGCCACTATTCACAATTGTAACACATTACAGAATGTTGTCTACCCTCAAATGAACACTTCTTAAAATTTCCTCAAGTAATTAAAACATTTCGTTTTGGTAAAAATAAAAAAGCAGTGGAAAAGCTTACGTTGCTGTATCCCATCACTTCAATGAAGATGAGTATAAAAGCAATGATGGTCAAGATCAGCGTGTTGATCTGCAAGGTACGGTGGTTCTGAAATAAGAGCAGAAAATCCATGTGACATTTTGTAACCTTCATTTATGATATCATCCCTGGTCACTTCCAACAGTGTCCTTGTAGTGACCTTCTTACTTTACACTACATTTTTAACACATATAATTACATATTTAATTATGTTACTACATCACACCGTACTGCACTATACTTCACACTGACACCATTATTAACAAAGTCCTATTGCTGTAAGAAGCTTTCTTTCTTCAAAGAGGAAAAATGGAGAAGGAATTTTAACGCAGAATGATAATCTTGATCCTTACAGCAAACCAGACCCTCTCTCCACAGAGCCTGTCATTGGGCCACATTGGCTTGAAATATCTGGCAAATATGATAGCAATACTGGAGGTCAACACCCAGGCCAGGATCATCAAGATACCTGAAATAAAACAACAGAAGGTCAACAATATGATGGCAATACTGGAGGTCAACACCCAGGCCAGGATCATCAAGATACCTGAAATAAAACAACAGAAGGTCAACAATATGATGGCAATACTGGAGGTCAACACCCAGGCCAGGATCATCAAGATACCTGAAATAGAACAACAGAAGGTCAACAATATGATGGCAATACTGGAGGTCAACACCCAGGCCAGGATCATCAAGATACCTGAAATAAAACAACAGAAGGTCAACAATATGATGGCAATACTGGAGGTCAACACCCAGGCCAGGATCATCAAGATACCTGAAATAGAACAACAGAAGGTCAACAATATGATGGCAATACTGGAGGTCAACACCCAGGCCAGGATCATCAAGATACCTGAAATAAAACAACAGAAGGTCAACAATATGATGGCAATACTGGAGGTCAACACCCAGGCCAGGATCATCAAGATACCTGAAATAGAACAACAGAAGGTCAACAATATGATGGCAATACTGGAGGTCAACACCCAGGCCAGGATCATCAAGATACCTGAAATAAAACAACAGAAGGTCAACAATATGATGGCAATACTGGAGGTCAACACCCAGGCCAGGATCATCAAGATACCTGAAATAGAACAACAGAAGGTCAACAATATGATGGCAATACTGGAGGTCAACACCCAGGCCAGGATCATCAAGATACCTGAAATAGAACAACAGAAGGTCAACAATATGATGGCAATACTGGAGGTCAACACCCAGGCCAGGATCATCAAGATACCTGAAATAAAACAACAGAAGGTCAACAATATGATGGCAATACTGGAGGTCAACACCCAGGCCAGGATCATCAAGATACCTGAAATAAAACAACAGAAGGTCAACAATATGATGGCAATACTGGAGGTCAACACCCAGGCCAGGATCATCAAGATACCTGAAATANCCTGCCTCCAATGTTGTAAGTGTTTACTTACCATGAGCTTTCACCAGAGGGCAGCTGGCACAGCCTCCAATGTTCTCAGTGGTCACTTACCATGAGCTTTCACCAGAGGGTAGCTGGCCCTGCCTCCAATGTTGTAAGTGTTTACTTACCATGAGCTTTCACCAGAGGGCAGCTGGCACAGCCTCCAATGTTCTCAGTGGTCACTTACCATGAGCTTTCACCAGAGGGTAGCTGGCCCTGCCTCCAATGTTGTAAGTGTTTACTTACCATGAGCTTTCACCAGAGGGCAGCTGGCACAGCCTCCAATGTTCTCAGTGGTCACTTACCATGAGCTTTCACCAGAGGGTAGCTGGCCCTGCCTCCAATGTTCTGAGTTCACTTACCAGGAGCTTTCACCAGAGGGCAGCTGGCACAGCCTCCAATGTTCTCAGTGTTCACTTACCATGAGCTTTCACCAGAGGGCAGCTGGCACAGCCTCCAATGTTCTCAGTGTTCACTTACCATGAGCTTTCACCAGAGGGCAGCTGGCACACTGGCAGGGAGGGAAATGGGCAGTCGCCAGTCGCCAAATGCGACTGCTAAAACGAATTGGTGAGTGCCAAACTCAGTAACTGGTCCAAACGGGTGACTGCTCTGTAAGCATCAGCAACATGTGAAATATACGGGGTTTATACTAAGTTGCACTTAGATATTTTTCCTTTTTTAAAAAAATCCGCTCCCAATTTTGTCTGCATTGAAGACTACGCGAGTTTCAGATGTGTTGACCTATTTTAATGACGCTTCCGAACATGTCAGACGTTATTTGCATACGACCTGACCTCTTGCATCAGAATATCAATTTTAACCAATCAGATTTTATTACAGCATTTGCGCCGTAAGAAGTAGCAGAGCCTCGAGGATTGAAAAGCTACGTACGCAACAAACCTTTTCGGTAAAAATACTAATTTACTTGAGTGCTGTTTTGTAGTTTTGAAGGGTAAATATAATTCTTTAAATGGTTTCTGGTCTTTTTCAATGTCAATAGTTCATAGTTACATTCAAGATTTTACAAGAAACAATACTTTTCCTGTTGGGGCCGTTAGCATGCTGCTGAAATATTTTCTTGTTGCTGGAAATTAAATCAAAACTACAATCAGTGTGTGAATTGAATAAGTTCAACTTATCTTACAATTTTATAGCGATGTGGAGGTTTTTGCCTGGTGTGGCAAAGCCGCCAGAGCCTCTAAAACGAAAAGCACCGACAAATGACGAAAGCGAACAACCTAGCACTAAATGTAAAAAAAAAAAGAGAGTGCAGGTACCTTCCTTTATAACAGCTACAGATTTTTGAGGAAAATAAAAAGGCGAGGATTTTTTGCTCCGTTTTACGTTTATATTTTAACTTTTGGGACTTTAAAGTCACTTCCTATTTTGTGTTAATACAATGGGTGTTAACCCATTGTTCTAATTCCAAACCTTGTTTGGGTAAACACAGTTTACCAGAGATTAATGACATCTTTATATTTTTTAACCTAATAGTTAAAATACTCGATTCCTATTGTGTAATGTGGTGTCATTTCCTTTAACCATAAAAGGTGGAGAAAGCTGTTTAGTTTTTAAAATGTGAATAAATGTTGATGAATTTTTGGGAGTTATTTGGTTGATTTCAATTCTTTTAAATAAGTTCAAAATAAAAATGTGAAAATTAAACTTCATTTGCTTTATTTATTTATTACTGGCACATTTTAATAATAATTTTTAAAAAATGAAGTTGCTCAGTATGTTTAAACCGTCCACCCCCTTTCGATTCTTTCATGATTGGACTAGTGCCCCAAGGCCTAGGACCACTACCTCCAGAGTCAGCTGGTCCATGTTGACCTGTGCTGAAAAATTCCCATTTCCCTCCCTGCCCAGCCTGCACTTACCATGAGCTTTCACCAGAGGGTAAAATTCCCATTTCCCTCCCTGCACAGCCTGCACTTACCATGAGCTTTCACCAGAGGGCAGCTGGCACAGCCTCCAATGTTCTCAGTGTTCACTTACCATGAGCTTTCACCAGAGGGTAGCTGGCATGGCCTCAAATGTTCTCAGTGTTCACTTACCATGAGCTTTCACCAGAGGGTAGCTGGCGCGGCCTCCAATGTTGTCAGTTTTGATCAAGTTGGTTCTCCGTGGCGACACAGCTGGGCCACCATAGTAGTCAAATCCATGCTTTCCCACAGCACCAGCTGGAAGAAGTAGAAAGGACAGAGGTCAGCAAACCATTCTTTTCAAGACCCAGTGCATTAACATATGGAAATACAATTTTCAGATCACCATTGATGAAATCTAATTATTAGAAAAATATATTATGTTTCACTCTTTTCTGTTGCATTAATTGTTTTTTAGTGAAGCCTTCACATCACATTTCAATCAATTTATCCATTACTCCACCAAACAGTCCAACATACAAGCAACTGGTCCTTTGGCAAACAATATATGGTATTCGTTATTTAGTGGTTTCATCATTTTAGCGTCAGAGCTGGTGATTGTACGGGTGAACCGACACCAGATGGTGCTGTTGGCATATGTGGCGCCCTCTCTTACTAAACCACTGCTCTAAAATAAGAAAAAAAATCAACTGTGTAATAATATGTTTAATATCTTTCCAGCCCATATATACAGTGACCTTTTAAATGGCAGTCTACTATCTAAGCTGGGTAAGTTCAATAATTTTTCTAATATTTGCCTTAAATCTTACATGATATTTGAGATAAAAGTTTCAACAAGGCAGCAGAGCTGTCAAATGTACAGACAGAAGGCAGAAAATAATTATGCTTGTGAACAATATGTTTTTTTCTGGTCTGTTTTGATGCAATTTTACATCATAATGCTCAACAGCATAATCACACCAAATTTTTATTGTGCAATACTGGTAACAGGGACATTCAGAATATGTGACCAGGGCTTAAGGAAATATGGATAATGTGAGGGGGGAGATAATTGCTTGACCACTTAACTAGAACTTAGTTTTCCTCATCTAGGGTAAGTTCGTTTTTTATCTTGAAAGCAGGGTCAGTCTATGTTAAGACCATTTCTATAACGATTAAGAGCATGAAAGATCATCTGTGATCTGAAATTGCAAATTCAGATCATTTTAGGTGCACTACCTGCACACCTAGAGATAGCAGGAGTCGCATTTACAACACAAGTGTTGACTTCACAAGACAAAGAGCAAAGAGCACCTGCGTCTTCACTGCAAGATATCTACACTGTAGTTACAGCTCTCACTGAATCCATCAACCTTAACTGACTGAACTACTCCAGAGCCTAACTATGGGCGGCCAAAAGGGCAAAAATTCATGTCGTCGATTCAGTTATGTTTCGTTGATTCACTGCCTTCCCATCGATTCAGTTTTAAGTTTAAACGACCCTGTCATAAATTCAACATCTACTTTCGTCAATTCAATTGTCAAACATTTTTCATCTACGGTGTATTAAAACCAATGCTGTCACTATTTTCGTCGATCGTGTAACCATTCTCGTCGATCGTGTAACCATTCTCGTCGATTGTCAAACTATTTTCGTCGATCGTGTAACTATTTTCGTCGATCGTGTAACTATTCTCGTCGATCGTCAAACTATTCTTGTCGGTCGTCTAACGGTTTTCGTCGATCCTGTAACGTCACCTCATCGTTCAGCGATCGATTGCCAGAGGGCGCTGTGGTAGCACATTGACCTATCACTTGACTATCAAAATGGCAGACAACAAAATGATTGCTAGTGAAATAAGAAAATTTTCTCAACAATTTCAATTTTAATTGTTAATAATTAAAATCTATTCGGTTGTAGGGACATTATTTTCTAGTTGTTTTCAACTCTGACCATGGCTGGCAGAGTTATAAATTACCGTGTGATTGACAAACAGAAGCGCATGTTGCTACCCCAGCGCCCTCTGGCGATCGATCGATGACACGATCGACGAGAATAGTTAGACGATCGACGAGATTAGACGATCGACGAGAATAGTTACACGATCGACGAAAATAGTGACAGTATTGGTTTTAATACACCGTACATGAGAAATCTTTGACAATTGAATTGACAAAAGTAGATGTTGAATTTATGACAGGGTCGTTTAAACTTGAAACTGAATCGATGGGAAGGCAGTGAATCGACGAAACATAACTGAATCGACGACATGAATTTTTGCCCTTTTGGCCGCCCATACCTTACATCTTCACTGGTGAAATAAAACTAAATATATTCTTGACCCCTAACATATGTGAAATGTAAAAACAAACTGCTGTGGCCTTAGACGAGAGGCAACTGGGTCACTGATAAGATAACCGTTATAACTCTGCTGAACACACATTCATAGTCCATTCTCTCCCACCAGTTTAGTGCTGAAAAGAGATAACTGCTCTACATAGAACAGTTCGCTACACACCCTAAAAATGGCTACAGCTCGCAATGACAGAGATGAAGAAGAAAGCCTACGAGCCAAAATAACTGAATATTTTGTCAGCTGTCCATTATGCCTTGAGGAGCACAAAGACCCGACAGATTTACCATGTAGGCATACATTTTGTAAAGGTTGTCTGAAGACTTATATTTCAAACCCAACACCAGGAAGTAAATTCCGATGTCCTGTGTGTCAGAAAGAGACTGAAGTTCCTAAAGATGGCCTTGAGGGCTTCACTCACAATTTCTTCATTGAAAGCTTGCAGGACACTGTACTTCAGTCAACAAATAAGAAAAAGTGCAGCTTTTGTGTTTTGGTGTCCCAAAAAGAAACAGTGGCTACTTCAAAATGTATCACCTGCCATGACTACCTATGTGAGAGGTGTTCTCCATTCCACTGTGGTACCACACTCACTAAAAACCACAAGGTGCTGACTTTTCAACAACTTCACAGTAGTGAGTACCAAAAAGAAATCCAAGAGCAGCAAAAGATTATCTGCCCAGAGCACAAAGGTGAGATGATACGATACTTTTGTTCAGACTGCAGTGTCCCTATTTGTCGTGACTGCAGAGATCTACACCATGATGGCCACAAACTTATCACCATTGAAAAAGCTGCAGAGATGGTAAAGCCACAACTTCTGACCAAATCCTGTGGCATGGAGAAAAAATTTGCAAGGGGTAAGAAAGCAATAGCTAAAATTGATGAAATATTGGTAACCCTCCAAGAAAATGAAAGCTTTGTTCAGCAGAGGATCAAAGCTCGTGCAGCTCATCTACGTCAACTGGTAGATCAACGAGAGAAAACCTTACTACAGAAGCTTCATCAAACCACCAGCACTCACAGAAATAATTTACAAATTTCCCGTAAAAACTGCAAAGCCACTTGCTCCTCTATTAAAACTACGACAGATGTAGTAAAGAACATCCTTCAGCATGGTGCCCCCATAGATGTCCTCATGTTACAACACCAACTTGGACAGAGACTAGATGAGCTACAGTCCATTTCATCTGTGGAAGAAATTCCAGAGGAACTTGAACTCACACTCACCACCAACACAGAAGTGGACCAAGAGATATCCAGTGGGGCTGGACTGGGGAATGTGCAGATATCTAGACAACCAGCTTTGCCCAAGTTTAAACCAAAGGCTGAATGTATGCTGGAGTTTGACACTGGCTGTAAGAGGTCAGTGGGCATTTCAGTGAGTCCAAAAAGGGAGTATGTTACTACACATGACCAGGATAACAAGGTCAAGGTATTTAGTTCAGATGGTACATCAAGACAAGAGATTACAAGTGTCTCAGACACACAGCTGAAATGGCCAGCAGGGATCTGTCACTTCCTTGATGGAAGGATGGTTCTAGCCTGTAGAAACAATAACAAACTGTTCATCCTGTCACCACAGTGGGAAGTACAGCAAACTGTAGATGTCAGCAACCCATATGGTGTGGCTCTCAATAACAGCTGCACAAAGATTGCTGTGGCACAGTATAAAGAAAAGTCTATGAGTGTTTTCAGCATTGATATCAAAGGGCAAATAACTTTAACTGATGTGATACAGAACAAAGATGAGAAGCAGTTGTTCAGTAAACCATATAAAGTGGCATATATGAGCAATGGGTGCCTTGTTGTTAGTGATGAAACACCAAACAAACTTCACATCCTAACCCCATCTGGTGACCCACTGTATCAGTACACAGGACCTGATAACAAGTTAGGTGACATTCGTGGTGTCTGTGTTGATGCCTATAACAACATACTGGTTACGGAGTTTGATAACCACCGCATACACCTTGTATCCCCAGATGGGAAGTTCATCCAGTACATACCAACCAGAGCTGATGGACTAAATAAACCATGGGGATGTGCCATCAACCAGGATGGAGATGTGGTTGTGACCCAAATGGATGGGAAAGTGAAAGTATTCCAATACTTGGAAAAATGACATTCTTTAAAATGCTAAGAAACTGTACAATATGCACTTTTCTGACAAATTTCAATTAATGTGGTATACAAGATAGCAAAGCATCCAAATGTAAAAATGCAAAGCAGAAAATAATGATGGAACTGTATAAAAGATTTTTTTATCAGATTTGAAGCAGTATTACACAATAATAAACAGCATAATCAGGTGGATGGGAGTTAAAAGTCACATCTTGAAAATGCAAGTGTTTGAAAAAAAAAATTAAAAAGAAAAATTTTCCAATAAAACTGCTATTCAAACTTTTGATCTGGCTGTATTAAAATGATATGAATAATCCCACTGAGTTTGAGGATAATAAGGCACTATTATTCATCTATAACATTAATGCTGGCATAACACAAAATATTTTTTTCATTTGTAAACTTATTTGCAATATTAAACAACATTTACCAGTATTATTATCACAGATTCCTTATTATGTGACAATGTTAATTTAGACTTTTACAAACTGTATCTGGCAGAGAGCTAAACCTATGGGAGTTTACAGGGAAACCTCAGCATGTGTGTTTTATGTATCTCATTTAATGGCCACTTGAAACTTAATTAGGCAAGTGACTTAATGGCTCTAAACTTAGCTAGTGATTACAAAATGAGACATATCAGACTGACCACCCACATGTGACTAGCAAAGGTCTTCATGCCCATAAAATTTTTAAATCATGCCTAAAAATGCCAATATATAATACAACGTATATGATAACAGGTTTTCCATCATCTTTATATAATCAACTAACAATATTGTTAAGATGAACAAAATGCCAAAAGAACACTTTTACGTATCAGTGTTGCATATTTGCTGAAAAAAGTGAAAAAACAGCATAACTTTAAAAAAATGGCTCGAACATGCAACCTGTATTATAGCAATATTGATCACTCCTGTAGGTTACTAGAAAATAGGTCTATCGGTTTCCTTGAAATGTGTTTTCAGTGTTGCATATATGCTGAAAAAAGCGAAAAAATGCACAATCTTTTAAAAAATGGTCCGATCATGCTGCTTTACGAACTCGACCTGCATATTATGAATATTCATCAGTTCTGCAAGTATAAGCCAAAAGATAAAACGGTTTTCCACTTATCGTGTTATCGGTGGTGAAAGTGCATGGCGACGATGGCGACGGCCACGACAGATGCAGGTGACAGCTATATGTACAGGCACATATGTGTCTGTAAATAAAAAGCCATCTAATATTGAAAGTTGACTTACTCCAATCTGTCCAGAGGTAAGTGGATCCTCAGAGTTGTAATACTGATGAACTGCTGTTGTTCCTTTGTCTTCATCATATATACATGCTATTACACTGTCATCACCCTAGGGAACAACACAAGTAGACAAAATTTCAATTCTTTACTAAATTTGCTTGGGAATTTACTTCAATTGTTCTTTTTTTTTACATGAAATGTCAAGATTCAAATAGAATGACAAATAAGGTCATGTTTCAGTGTGAAAATCAGTATATTTAGTACTATTTACAATATTAGTCGTCCAATGTATTCAACATTTAAGAGTGTAATTAAATCAAGGCGCAGCAGAGATATAATTTGCTGTCACATGTCACAAACAGTGGACCAAGAGTAGTTGTAATTGACTTTTACCACAGCTGACACTTTGAACTACAGGATGATTGCACTTGTATTTAGCTACAAGCCCATCACATCATAATACAGGAGAGCCTGTAAGTGAAATACAAGTGCAACTATCCTACTGTTGGAAGTGCTGGCTATGGGATAATTTACATAACAGAGCCAGGTGACCATGTAAAAGAATTAGAATAGCATCAAAAATCAAAGCCTAACATTCTGTAGATTAACTACATCAGTACTAAGATTTCCTCTTTCCATTATCAATGTACAATCTTTTTAATTTCAAAAATCTACAGGACTTATGCATGAATCAATGAACATACTATAAAAAGAAAATAAGAAAACATAATCATTTAGTCTAAACGAAAACTATACAAAACCATCAACAGGATTCTAAAAAAGTGAATCTAATCATTTTTGATGTTTTTAGTATGAACAGAAAAGATGAATTCATATAAAATGTTGCTCCAAATGCCACAGTTCATATCAGTCCTATAATCTATCATTGCTTAATACATGGATATCATATCCCCCACCCCTGTATGCAAGGAGTGTTTGTTTCACACTCACCATCTGTTTATCATTGGAAAACCCAACAGCCACGTATTTCTGATCTCCCTCCATTTTACCAATCATTTCAAACTTGATTTTGTCTTCTCCATCTTTCTGCCATGACAACGCATATATACACTGCCCTTGAACACAGCCTGCTGGCACCCTGTAGCAACCCTTACTATTACCACAACCATCTAACTTTACTGCTGGAATAGTGATCTGAAATAAAGAGGAAGAAAGCATGATCGTAGCATTCTTATCTACACTGCCCACTTCTCTCTCTTTCTCTCGCACGCACGCACGCACACACACACTGTCCCCCATATATTGGATGATGTGATAAATGAGGACAGTGTATCACCTACCACTATAGGAGGTCCTGTCCCCATTGTGGTGGTGACAATATCTGGGGCCGTCGGATCCCTCACAAGAGCTGATATCTCATTATCCCAGAACACGGTCTTCGTCTGAACTATAGTAGCTCTGAAAGAACAATCAAGGATAATATCAGGTTATTTTTGTTAAGTTTTAATACTTCATAAAAACTAAAAATAGACTAGACTGCACAGCTTGCAAATATACATACCATATCCAGCAAACTGTTGCATCAGTATTTAAAAAAAATCAGCTTTTAAAAAAATAATCCCATTAAGCTGATTTTTGTAAGTAACCTGCCTCACTGGGTAGGGACTGACATTTGGATAGCAATGGCAAATGTGATGACTCGTGACACAGACAGACACAGTGATCAGAATAAATAGACACATACAGTGGCTGTATATAACAACTTTCTATAACTATAAAAAAAACTCACTATCTGATTCAATCTAGCTGGGACAATACTGATGCAAAGAAATGACGAGATCTGCAATAATTTTTAAACAGTAACATTCCACTTTAACTGAGGCCTTTGTCAAAAGATAACATGTCCTTAAAACCACCTACTTGAAAACCAAATGTCCCTGGAAGCTGGTTGGAGCATTCCAGGTTAGAACCACCTCTGATTTGTCACTGCCGCTACTGTGAGATATGGCATTCTGAAAAATGACACAAATTAACATTTGTCTCAACTTTACCAACAATACAGGGCAGAGAAATAATGTAGTCCTTCAACAAGACTGTGATTTATTATGAAAATCTTCAAACAAAACATACTTTAAAGAAAGTTGTTTGGGATATAAATTACCAAAAAATCATGTTTATTTTTTTAGAAATTTTACTCTAAAATGTGGCAAAATTGTCTGCATGACCTAGTTCTATAATGAGGCTCTGATATTTACTAGTACATCCGGTGCTGTTACCAAATATAGGTTTAAATCCACATAGGATTAAGGGACTTACACCAAGCGCTTTGTCACACAAAATTTTGGACCCAGAAATGGTGTCAAATCTTCCAATGGGCTCCTCTACATTAAGTGATGGATCTGCTCTACGAGCCTGCACAAAAAAACCTTTAAACCTCTCTCCATTCTTTCCCTTTATGGTAACTGAAACACATGCATAAGAACTAAAATATAATGAAATTTATTTATTTCTCCATTTATTAACTGATTCATTAAGTTATTTATTTAGTAGTTTTAAATATGTAAAGGATTATAAATAGTTCAAGAGTGATGTTGTCAGTACAACTGTAGCACATCATCAGTGTGCTGATGTATAAATTAGCTTTCTGGGTATGAAAATATTGTAAAATAAATGGTTAAGTAGTTGTAAAAAAATTTTTAAAGACTTGGCATCAAGATTATTATTTCATCTAAAAAAGCAAAATTGGGCTTAGAACTGAGGAGTAAATGTGGCATGATATGATATGTAAAAGTGTATGTGCTGCCACCTCTGAGGATGTCACATATTCCTATCTACAGGGACATTTCATGCTAAGAGTTGGAGATATATCATTATAAACTCACGTGTGACACTGCCTCCCTCTGCATACTGGTCCACACTGGGGGTGATAGTGTATGGGGAGGGTCCTCTCTGTCCACTGGCGCCATGACCACTGGGGACCATACTGATACAGGCCAGCTCTGGGGGTCCACTACTGTACCCACTGGCCTGGCTGACCAGACACACACACAGCACCAATAACTGGACTGTGGTCATTGCTCTAACTGATACTGAAACAGAACACAACACCAATAACTGGACTGTGGTCATTGCTCTAACTGATACTGAAACAGAACACAACACCAATAACTGGACTGTGGTCATTGCTCTAACTGATACTGAAACAGAACACAACACCAATAACTGGACTGTGGTCATTGCTCTAACTGATACTGAAACAGAACACAACACCAATAACTGGACTGTGGTCATTGCTCTAACTGATACTGAAACAGAACACAACACCAATAACTGGACTGTGGTCATTGCTCTAACTGATACTGAAACAGAACACAACACCAATAACTGGACTGTGGTCATTGCTCTAACTGATACTGAAACAGAACACAACACCAATAACTGGACTGTGGTCATTGCTCTAACTGATACTGAAACAGAACACAACACCAATAACTGGACTGTGGTCATTGCTCTAACTGATACTGAAACAGAACACAACACCAATAACTGGACTGTGGTCATTGCTCTAACTGATACTGAAATGGAACACACATAGCTTTGACATATTAAGCCCCCTTTACACTGGACGGCATCCTTACTGCATCCTGTAGTATTTTGAGGGTAATAAAGAGAAAACTTTACATGCCAACAAATGGACGATCATTTAGCATTTATTTTGTAACGAAAGCGATCCCCGTGTCTCCTTTTTATGACCACAGCGATGCCAGTTTCAAGGTCGCACAAAGGATGCAGAAAGGATGATGTCCAGTGTAAATGGGGTTTAAGATGATGAGGAAATTATAGTAAAATATTTCATCCTTATCATAAGGCCTTCTTCAGACACACATATGATCCCTGTACCCAATGTCATGTAGTAAGGTTCTGTGCGGGATGTCCCCCAGGTCCTTGTCCCACAGATGTGGTAGTTGGTATACATGTAGCAGGCTGCTGTGATGGCGACTTGTTCAATAGGCTCATGAGCGGCCTCTTTCATTCCACTTCTGAACTAGTCCTCCTCTGAGTTTAGGATCAAAATGTTTTTGATATGAAACGTGTGTCCAGAGCTTATTAAATGGGTGAATATTGCAGTGTCATCTGTGTCACCTGAGTTGAGGTAGATTGTCACCTGGTGACATTGGTGACAGCACAACTTCAGTTTACTTGAAGACCTTGTGATAAGGGTGAAACGTAGGGACTCCAATGTCAAACATGAGCTCCATTTTTATCCCAGTTTAAAAAAACCTGGTTAATTCAAAATATTTGTTTGGATATTTCATGACTATTGATTTATACCACAACTTTTAAAGTAAAATATTATATTGCTATATTTGGAGGCTCTGAAGCTCATCCTGCTCATGCTGATGTAGAGTTCAATAGTAAAATTACTAGTAATCAGCATAAATAAGCAAACATCAACATTTATTCTTATTTTATTTTTAAAACATAGCATTAAAGACTGGGACAAAAGAGTGAACCACTGACCATAACTTTATGTAACTAATGAATCCCCCCCCCCAAAAAAAAAAATAGAAATAAAGGTTCTTATACTCATTCATTCATTCATACATACTAAAGGGAATACAAGGTCCCTTGTACCTTAACTTGTACATTTTAATGGATAGCTCACATAAACGAGAATATCAAAATTATTAATCTCAAAACTTCTCTCTTCATTATCTTAACTAGAACACATGAAGATACTGACCCTAACAGCAATAGTTGATTGATATATAGATAAATACACCTCTACTTTCACCTCATTATATATGTACAGTAATGTCTTGAAGGCATGGCTGTAATGGAGCCATATGAACTCTTTTAATACCCATTATTAATCTCTCTGCTTCAGTGACATCTTCATGTTTTGTACACTACCTGTACTACCTGTACCTTGATAAAATGGCTACTTGCAAACACAAACAAATTATGTGTTAGTGATTCAACTGGTTCTTTCCTGCTGCTTCAGACATCCTTATACATGTCAACACTGTAACTTCATATATATGTATTTATGCCTAGTACTTGAATAAAAAACATTTTTGCTGAGTCAGTATTTAGACTAAGTTATAGTTCACACAAATTGGGGGTCAATTTCTGTCACAGTGATATCACCCCGCAGTGACCTTTTTTCTTTTTTGAAGCCTTTGGTCCATATTTACCTGTGGTCCATATTTACCAAGTGCCAAGAATCTACAGACAACACCTTCTATAAACTGGAATTTCTACTTTAAATGGGGCTGGTGCTGACATTAAAGTCACCTGGGTTGATTATAAATACACACATTAATACACTGTGTTCTTCACTCTATCCTAAAGATAAATACTGCACTGTCCAACAAGAGATATAGATCAAGTACAGGTCTTATTAAGAATGTGATGTTTTTCAAAAACAAACCACATATTGATAAACTCTGAAAGTATTTCTTGGGGTGTAAATTACCCCTGCATATCTTAAATTGGCTCCATTTTACACCTTACCTTTTAAGTATGTCCCCACCAAGGAGAGAGTTGAAATCTAAGAGCTGTGAACTGCTGAGTCACTGTGGCTCCACCTAGGAAATCCTTTCAATGACTCTGCATCCTGACTTATTGTTACACTGACCTAAAACTTCATATACATTTGTTACGCACTACAAACCCTGTCTTCCTGACGAGAATCCAGGATTCATGATAAATAACTCAGGACTTACCTCACCCTCTACTATTTATGGCTCACTCCCTCTCACAGAGCTTGAGCAACACTGACAACTTCAATGTTATGATTTGATCAAATTTAATTGGCATATTAAGTATGTTCTATATTAGCATTACTGTCAACATATATAATATAGGCCAAAAACCAACAGCAATAGGACTTAGATGGGTCAGAATATTCATGGATAGTTCTTCTCTCTCAGGAATGTGTCTGCTACAGAAAGTCTACCTGGTTTTTCATTCACCTGAGTTAACACTATGGTAATGGCTCTACAGTTACAAAGAAAAGTTAACATTTTTACATTTTCAGGACTTGATGGAAAATACTTTAAAAAATGTTGTTAACTGTACACAGATTTTAAAACATTGCCATATTCACTTTTATCAAGTATAATTGTATAGCCTTGAATCTTCTGAGGGGCTGACATATTTTATTTATAAGCAGCTCATCAGCAAATTGCAAATTGGTAAATAGCATACTTAAATCATTAATGTATTGTAATTACTCAACAACACCAGTAACTCTACAGAGCTTTGACTCTGTCTATGTAATGCTGACTACATGAAATCTGCCATGTAGAATGTGGTTGTCAGCTTTCCTAACCTCCAGCCACCTCAACACCAGAACATTTACCACAGAGCAGGATGAGGTACAGAACCTCCAAATATAGCAACTGGCTGTGTAAACAGTGGCCCCACCTAGCTGCCAATTCACTCTATTAACTGGTTCAACACATGCTCCATATACTACATAAATATGGAACTCTTTCATACCTGCACATCATGGAGAGAGAAACTTCAATAAACAGAAAGGTTATTATATTCAAGGGCAATACAGACTTAAAAAAATATTGAGGAAGAGAAACAACTTTAAAGAACATGTTTTATGCGTCATCTTTTTAATTTTAGCAACTTTCTATTTCTCAAAGACTTTTAGAGACCAAACAACATGATGTGGCTATAGTGGAATATCCATCTTACAGATCCAACTGAATCACTCCCATTAGGTTCATTCTAGCCTTGCCCAGTCACGTAATCTATATCACAGTATCTATAAGAACTGCCAGGTAATAACTAGCCAGAGGACAGGCAGCTCCCTGAGAAGTCTGAGAATGGCGCTAATAGATCACCTTATTTGGATTCACTCATATTAACCTCATGGATAAGTTATACACATTCCTTCTACAGAGCTCATTCAATTAAAGACTTTATTTTGATGCCAACTTAAGACCTTAGCAGTCAGCTGGTACAGACGTTTGACCTTTGAAAATGTTTTAAAGTAATTTTTATACTAAATATCTTATGTATTCCAACTAAAGAACTAACTAATAAATCCACTCAAATTTAAGTACCAAATGGTCTTAATTCTAATCTGAAATATCAGGAATACATTGCAGTGTTAATTAAGTATGATTTTTAGAAATACTTTTTTTAAATAAGAAAATGTAGAAATACCAAATCCAAGTGCAAGCAATGATTCATGTAATGAATAGGAGGTAATAGGTTTTTCTTCTCCAGAAAAATGAACTTTGGAGCAAAAATCCTTTTTTTAATATACAAACAGGTTTTTTGGAGAGAAAAAATATCCCATAATGTCAATAAATGAATTTTAGAGACTAACACTGATGCCTACTCCATATCTCCATCCCTGCACTTACCTGTCCACTTTTTAAGTAACACACCTGCACTTACCTGTCCAATTTGTAAGGCAACTTAACAGGAAATTTCTCTCTTAAATTTTGTTCTTACTTGTGTTCACTTCTTTACCAGGATATCCTATTTCTCAGCATCATGTCATAAACTACTGCTGCTTGCTACTTATACGTAAATTTATATTTCATTTGTAAATATATTAAACCAAGCATTACAAAGCACTAGAGAGTGAGATGTTACTATCAGATTGTTTTCACAATTTTGAAATTCTGCATTTTTGAAAAGGTGTGGATTGTACTGTGATGAAATATCCACACCAAGTGGGGTAGTATAATAATTGTGTGCAACTCAATTATCAATAGTGCTCAATATATACAGTTCAATATAGTTAATATCCCAGCATAGGTCTTTTTATTAAACAAGTGGGTATTCGGTAATTTTATGAAGTTACTATAAAGATATATAACCAATTTTTTTCACTAAAACTGGTAAAAGTTGAAATTTGAGAAAACTTGACAAAGCAAGCAAACACTCCAGAAAGTAGAAGAGTCTCCAGAACCGGTTTTACAGCCACAGAGTTTTAACTTTCGTGCTACTCCCGAGTACAGAAAACACCTCACTGTTTTAGTATATCTGAATATATCTCGATTATCAAAAGATACCGCGTACTTCAAAAACACAGAATATTAGTGTTAAATAGTTATTATAAAGTTTATCACCAATCTAGTCTTAAATGCAATAAATATATGACAACAAACACAACATACCTCCGACTGTTGGAAGCCCTGACCTACTTTTTGACCTGACGAAATCAGCTCAACCACGCGTAAAAATTATTTACAGTGTTTCATTTTACCTCGCCTTAAAATGGGAACCCCCCCTCACAAACATAGGGACAGTATATGAAGGACTATACACAAAGAAAGTAGTTGCAATTGTATGCAAACTGACAGCAAATATATATTTACCACCTTATTACAACTAAGGCAAATATTTGCAGAAATCGTCCAACTGCAGCAAAACACAGCGCTAATAGGTGTCGGTGCAACTAACACAACGTATAGTCATTTCAATACAAGGGCGTGTTCGCAACATTAAAATATTACCAAACGAGTAAATTAAATAAAATGGGACAGGATTCCAATTTTGAAAATAAGACTTAAAACATAGACCAGATTCAAGTTGATTCCTAAGCCAACTGCAATTATATATATATATATATTTGAATCAATTTTAAAGAATAATCCTGTTAACCCTGTATAATGATGCAGTGGCAGATTTAAGGGGGGATGGGAGGTCCTGACCCCTCCCCTTAAAAAAAAAATCCCACCAATTGTCCCCTCTTGATATTAGAATTTTGACTAGCTGAATCATAGTTTTAAACCATACCATGCCACTGTTCACTCTCTAAAATACCAAAAATTTTTAACAAGCACTAAAATGAACAACTTGACACAAATGATTTTAATGAAATTTGTTTTAATATATACTTTTAGTAAATCTGCAACTGTCAACACAAATGATTTTAATGAAATTTGTTTTAATATATACTCTTAATAAATCTGTAACTGTCAATATATACTATCATTATGCAAGCACAACCATTGAGAAAAACTTCTAAATTTTTACCTTTAATTTCTAGTATGTACATGCATGGATGCACTTTAAGTTCACAACATCTTAGACAGAAAGATAAAGATAATGATAAATATTCTATGAATTTTCTCAAACTACAAACTGCCAACACTAATCTACTTAGTAGAGATGATCCATCTTTCTATTCACACACTAACTTCAAAATCCTGCATACAAATATTTTCAATATCAATTTTTTACCAATCAATATGATATCATGGCAGTGGTTGTCACCTTGGGTGCCAGTTCTGTCATTTAGAACAAATTATTAAATCAGATACAGTACAAAAGAATGAATCCAAGTGCAGACCTGAACATGATGAGCAGTGATGTGCAAAAAACATTTTTGAGGAAAATTAATTTGGTGTCCAAGACAGGATACAATTTATATCATATTTTCTGAGGATTTCATGTGACCTAGTAAATATTATAGACCCATTGGCATTCAAGCATTATTGAACATCATTCATAAAAATATAAAATATTCTACTTTAATGCTGTTGTTCATCTAAAACTTTACCTGAGACTATTTTGGAAAGAGTTCATTTCTTCTGGCAAAAAATATATGTATATCTCTTTCCAAACATAACATGTGACATAAAATGCTGTTCATAGATATCTTTTCCCTTGCTACACATGATATACTTTGTGAGTTGTGACAAATGATTTTTTAAAAATCTGGAAAAACAAATAACCCTACAAAATCAAAACAACATTTGTGAGTTTTTTATGCTAACAATTGTGCTGATGATATGATTCTTTCAAATTTTACTAAAATTCAGGCACATTTGTGGTCTGTGATCAGGCAGAAAGAACTATAGAATTTCATTCCGTAGGAAAAATGTCATCAATGTTTACATGTATGTACAATGTAAGTCAAACTCAGTTTTAAATATCAGTCTCCTCATTGTTAGCACCATGCAGTGTCTATATCTGACTCGTCCCCTCCATAAGATGATGAAGACGGAGAAGAGGAATCTTCTGAGGAAGAATCTGCATCAATTATCTAGAAATTTAAAAATGATGTCCTTTAATAAATGTGGTGTAGTTTAAGGACCAGTTGATACTTACAATATTTAATACAATGTAACCTAATTTTTTCTTTTGAAATCTGTCGGAATGAATGTTTTTGGATTTACTTCATTTATCATAGTTGCACAGGAATAGGGTATCAAACAAACCCCTCGACCTTCTTTTCCCTTCCCTTCCCTTCCTAATTTTATATTTTACTTCTTTCTATATAAGATACAAAATTGAGAAAGAAAATAAGCATTATTTAACTTATTCATGAAACAGATTACTTTACTGCTGGAATAGTGATCTGAAATAAAGAGGAAGAAAGCATGATAGCAGCATTCTTATCTACACTGAAAAAAATCTTTCTTCATCAGAACAGTTTCCGATTGGAATGGACTCAGTGACCAACAAGTAAACGCTGAAACTGTTGAAAGCTTTAGATCAGGACTACTATTTGACTAAAGTTTCCCATGCGCTCTCTTCTTTCCGTCTACTTCATACCAGTATTGGTGTCTCTAGACGTACACGAACAGATACAGATGCCCATTTCTTCTACGCACGCACGCATGCACGCACACACACTTCACCCCTCCCTCCTCAGTTAAAAAACTATACACTATACAATACAACTATACAATTTTAGTCGTTTTTTACCTGGTTCTGGTATTTTAGATGCATAATTCATAGACTGTGATTTTAGTGATTGATCCAAGATTTCAATGTATCCACTGGACGCTCTTTCTACTGCTACATTTTGGAGCTTTTGGACATTTTTTGTTGGTGGACTAAGTACACATGGTGCAGCTATAAGTTATTCAACACAAGGAAGGTCACCAGTATACTGGTCAAATACTGCTCAGTCTGAGTTGTTGTCAGAGTTACTGACCACTCAACCACAAGTCATGGCAATTAGTAGCTTTGGGACATTGAGTAGAAGAGTACGTGCCACCCATCACTTACTGTAGAAGACAGCTTTTTCATCTACAACCAGAGCCAACATCTGATGTAAACAATCTACCTAACAATGTCAAGAAACTGCTTTGTAAGTTCAAAATTTTCAGAAACTGTAGAGGAAGTAAAGGAGGAGTTGGATGAAATAGAAGGATAAAATATGTATCAAGTAGAAGAATAACATCTAGAACCAGTAGAAATGGGAATGATGATTATCAAAGTGGTGTAAACTTTCTGAACTTAAAGTATGTGATAACTGAAAGAACTGTACAGGTACCCACAGTCAAGTTGGCACTTATGAACTGTAGATCAGTGAGGAATAAGGGGTCTATCATACGTGACTTGGTGAAGGATGACAATATTGATTTAGTCTCCTTAGTGGAAACCTGGATAACACCCGATCTTCAACATCATATGCTTGCCGATATTACCCCAACCGGTTACCAGTGTATTCATATACCCCGCACGATTCGGAGAGGGGGTGGAGTTGCTTTTCTTTCACAGGACAGCTTCACAGTAACCCAACAGCCAAAAAGGATTGATCCATTGTCTTTTGAGTACATTGAGGTTTTAGTTACAGCTATATCAGTGACATTGCGTATCATTACAGTATACAGAATACCTCCATCTAAAACCAATAATTTGCAAAAAATGTTATTCCTCAGTGAGTTTTCTGATCTCCTTGAGTACCTAGCACCTCTTCGAGGGAAACTTCTTATCGTCGTCGACTTGAATATACACTGGGATGATCAACACATTTCTGAAACCAAGCAGTTTGCTTCATTAATTGATTCATTTGGACTTACACAGTACGTGTTAGATCCCACCCATGTTCGCGGTCATACGCTTGATATGGTATTGGCTAGGGAAAGTGATTCACTTGTAACATCATGTGAGGTAGGGCATTTACTTTCTGACCATCATGTTATCAACACCATGCTTAGATGTGGCAGACCGCACCCCAGTAAGGAGAACGTCTCGTTCAGAAAAATCAAGGGCATTGATGTAAATGAATTACAACGANTACTTCTATGGTTAAAACAATGTTGAACTATAACGTTGACAAGACGTTGGATTAACATTGGATTTGAAAGTTGGATCAACGTCAAATAACAACGTTGTATCAACGTCAGATAACAACATTGTATCAACCCCAGTTGTTAGACAAAATTCTTGTATGAAAATACATTAAAATGACCTGAAATGTTTTTTATTTTTGGTACAAAACACATGTACACAATTATAACATTACAGTATACAGAATACCTCCATCTAAAACCAATAATTTGCGAAAAATGTTATTCCTCAGTGAGTTTTCTGATCTCCTTGAGTACCTAGCACCTCTTCGAGGGAAACTTCTTATCGTCGGCGACTTGAATATACACTGGGATGATCAACACATTTCTGAAACCAAGCAGTTTGCTTCATTAATTGATTCATTTGGACTTACACAGTAGGCCTACGTGTTAGATCCCACCCATGTTCGCGGTCATACGCTTGATATGGTATTGGCTAGGGAAAGTGATTCACTTGTATCATCATGTGAGGTAGGGCATTTACTTTCTGACCATCATGTTATCAACACCACGCTTAGATGTGGCAGACCGCACCCCAGTAAGGAGAAAGTCTCGTTCAGAAAAATCAAGGGCATTGATGTAAATGAATTACAACGACAGATTACATCACAGCTGGGTGATTTAAGTTTTGATAATTTGAGTCCTGAGGAATGTGTGCTTCTGTATGACAGGACATTGACAACTGCACTTGACAACCTTGCACCTATCAAAACTAAAACGTTTGTTAAGAAAGATCTGCAACCTTGGATGAATGATCACAATCTGGAGGCAAAGAGAGACAGAAGGAAAGCGGAGAGGAAGTGGCGAGGTAGTAAATTAACTGTTCATCATCAGATCTATAAAGAAGCATGTTGTCATGTAAACAAATTAATCTGTCAAGCTAAAGAAACGTATTATTCTAACATGATACAAGAATGTGATGGTGATACCAAGGCTTTATTTAGAACTGTCAACACTATTCTGGGAAAAACTAATTGCTCTAAGTACCCCAAAACAGATTCAGTGAAAGATCTTGCATATAACATGAGTGACTTTTTTGTGTCTAAAGTCAGTAATATCAACGCTGAACTTTCTGAATTAGAAAAGACTGTGACTACACCATCGCATCCACCTTTGTCAGAACTTTTACAAGAACCGCAGTCACTCATCACTATATTTGAACCAACAACCACTTGTGAAGTAACAAAGATAATAAACAGTTCCAAAAAGACATCATGCATGTTAGACCCGATCCCATTATCATTATTGGTTCAGATTCTTCCGGCTGTAATAACTTTGATTGTGGAAATTATCAACAAATGTTTCACTGTGGGTGTTTTTCCAAAAAAGTTTAAATCTGCAATAATTCGCCCACTACTCAAAAAGGACAACCTTGACACGGATCTTTTGGTAAACTATCGTCCTGTTTCCAATTTCTCATTTTTATCTAAGGTAGTAGAAAGGGTTACAGCAGTTAGACTATTTAAGCATTTAGAAGCAAACAATCTTGTTGAGGAAATGCAGTCAGCCTACAAATTCAATCATAGCACAGAATCTGCACTTTTGAGAATTAAAAATGATTTGTTAAGTGGTGTTGACGAACATTCTGCTATGTTATTGGTACTGTTAGATTTGTATGCTGTGTTTGACACAGTAGACCATAATATTTTATTGACATTTCTAGAGCAGAGTGTAGGGGTTAGAGATAAGGCCTTAGATCTTTTACGATCATATCTTGTTGGGAGAATGCATCAAGTTAATATAAATGGTGTGCTTTCTGAACTCTCACAGCTTTTATTTGGTGTTCCTCAGGGGAGCGTGCTTGGCCCGCTTAAGTTTTGTGTTTACACGTTACCCCTTGGAGCAATTCTGCGTTATCATAAGATAGGTTACCACTTTTATGCCGATGATACCCAGATGTACACAACTTGTAACATCCATGATCCAGCATTGTCTGTGAACACAATTGTTGATTGCATGTCAGACCTCAGAGGTTGGCTCATTTCAAACAAATTGAAGATAAATGATGGAAAAACAGAATTTTTAGTCATTACTCAACCCCACAACAAGGGCCTTGCTCATAACTTGCAACTTAAAATTGGAGCTAGTATGGCATTTTCCTTCCCCCATGTAAAAAATTTAGGAGTATACTTTGATTCTACACTTTCAATGGACAAACAGATCTCCAACATCACAAGGTCTTGTTTATTCAACATTCGGAATATTGGCACCATAAGGAAACATCTGAATCAATCATGTGCTGCTACTGTTATACACTCATTGGTAACTTCCTGGCTAGACTATTGCAATTCTATATTATATGGATGTCCAGATGATAAGATCAAAAGATTACAACGCATCCAGAATATCTCAGCACGGCTTTTAATGCTACAGCCTAGGGATTGCCATATCACTCCAATTTTAAAGCATCTGCACTGGCTACCAGTTAGGGCCAGAATTTTATTTAAGGTTTTAGTTTTTACACATGCTGCTTTTTATAATCTAGCTCCACCATATATAACTGATCTAGTCAAACATTATAGCCCTCAAAGATCCCTGAGGTCTGGTGACAAACTTTTACTGAAAGTTCCAAAATCAAGGTTAAAATCATATGGTGACATATCATTTTGTGTAGCTGCACCAGTAGAGTGGAATAAGTTGCCAATTTTTATTAGACAAATAGAATCACAAGAATCTTTCAAAAAGGAATTAAAAACTCATATTTTTAAGACATTTTATTCATGAATCTTAAATTTTACAATTTTAAAGAAACCTTGGATTTTTTACTTTTAATTACTGTTTATTACAATTAAGTTAGTTTAGCTCTTATTTATGTAAAATATATCTTAACCATTTTTATCTATAAACTTCTTTGTATTTTATGTTGTACAGTCTATTGAACATTTTATGGATTTTAGACTTGAAATAAATATATTATTATATTATTATTATTAAAACGTACACTGTGAAAACATCTAAGTGCCTGCTTTGTCTCATTTTTCAACGCATTTAGCTCCTAAGCATGTTTTGCTCCTGAGCATGTTACACGCTTTTAGCCTGGATGTGTTTAGCAGTAGGACGCTCTTTATGGCTAAATATATGTAGGGTGTATATGTATGGCCTTTAAGTTAGGGTTTCCAAGGTTTTTATATATATTTATAAGAAAGTCACGGTCACCTCAACCTGTCTGTCTATGACAGGGTACCGTGAACTGTCAACATCGTTAACTTCACTCCCTCACATTTACAGCGACTTATTCATCCTAGTGTTAGCTGACCTTGCAATGAAGTTTATTGGAATGAATTTCTGAATAACAAGATAAGAAAATTCACTAGTTCACTAAAGACACAAAACAACTGTCACCGTTTTTAATATTTTGATAAAGTTCGTTACAATATTGATAAACATAGTATCACGTTTTCAATAATTAATATTTTAAAGTACGATCCATGTCTTGTATCACGACGACCAAACAACAACGTTGAGTCAATGACCAATATACAACGTTCAGTCAACGTCAAATTATGACGGCGTTTTGATGTGACTGGATCAACATTGATTGACGTTGAAATTAGGTAGATCAACGGCGATTCAACGTCCCAACCTGTTTTCAACGTTGATCCAATGTCACTCTGCCTGCTTGGTTGTTGATGAGGTTGGATTAACAGGGCCAGCGCCATTGCCTGAGGAAAAACAACATGAAGATGAAATGCAAATAAATTGAACTCGACTAGCGAACTACTAGTAATGTGTAATATCATTTTTAGCATATACACTTTTATTTTCCAAAAAAAATTGATCTAAGGATGATCAATTACATGTAATGCATTGACGTGTTCTGTTAAAATATCAATATGATTCAAACCGTTCTACTTGTGCAGCAGATAATAATTCTGAGTCATATTCGTATCTACTACTCTACATTTACCCATTTTAGTGTGTCTATATTTCAAAAGAAAGAAAACGTACCACAGCCAGTGAATGTTACATCGTCGATGGATACGACTTTACCAAAAGCAAAACCAGGCTTTATTTGAGCTTGAATCAGAACCTGAATAATGAATAGAAGTATGTATAAAACTTCTCGCATACAACAGTAGATATAGCCCGAGTGACTAGATTTCAAAGTTACATAAACTTCATCAGATACTTCGAAATCAAAATGTTTTGTGTCCTTTGAAAGTAAAGGATATCGAAAAAGGAAAAATATGATGAACAATAAAAAGCTAGCCTGAAACGGATACGGCCGCTTTCACAAACCTGAAAGTACCCTAGGTTTGAGAGAGAAGTGATATCAATTGGTCCACTGTATGTCCAACCATTTCCTTTTACTTGGTGGGCCCATATTTGTTTTGTCTGTTGCGTTGACACTGTTTTCAAGTGTGCGGTTAATGATATTTGGTCACTGTTCATGTAATAATAAAATCCTATGCTACATGAAACATTTGTCTGAGAAATACGTGGTGATGTTATAATTGCTTTCTGGTTTCCAGCAGTACCACTTCTCCACTTGACTGTAAGGAACTGTCCGTTAGAACCTTAAATACAAAAAAATGTTATCCACAAAACATTTTCGTGCAATGGATTTGATAAAAAAATCATACAATAATTCTGACAATTGAGGCCTTAAAGTTAATGCAGTTTCCAATAACCAGGGCAGATTTCAAAGGTTATCAGAACATTTGCACCATATTATTTCACATACAGTCAAACATGCACACAAGCAGACAGACGCCCCCCCCCCAACACACACACATAAACACATTTACAAGAAAAACACCTTTTGTGCCAATTGTGTGATCTTCAGTTGGTAATCCTTTATGTCTTCCAATCTGTTGCCATTTAAATCTGTTTTCATCTGAAGACAACGAGTACCCACAAAAGGATCCATCAAAATTACACGTAGCTCCATCACCTGAAAATAAGTCAATAGTCTCACGTCCATGATCAGGCTATATCGTTTGCGTTAGAATGCTATTCGGAGAGGTGTAAAAATTATTATTCATCTGGAGGAAAGTATTACTTCTTAACAACCGAACATTTCAAATATTAACCCTTTAATTTGCATGGTAGAGGTGTGCGCGGTCAATATGGCCGACCACTTGAATACTTCCACACGGGGAATCTAATTAGTGTCTATAAGCGGATTAGACGGCAAGCAATTTATTGGGTCGCCATATTTGACCCGCAGACTAGTTTGTCCAGTTCAGAATGCGGCCATATATGTATAAAATATGTGTATGTGATACAAATGTAGAAAACATTGCAATAAGAATGGGTAAGGAAACGTGTTGATAAGACTCTTTTTATGATGTCTATTCATCTTTTAGCAGTTAAACACAAAGGGCTAATACATGCTTGTTATATCTCAATGGAGAGCACAATTAACGAATGGACGCACACATGTAGCTCACAAACAGACGCCCTAGCAAGACAGCAAGGACGGGGCGTCAGGAGCCATATAGGTAGCCGGTACAATTGCTATATCTTTGATAATTTCCAACAGAGACATTTTACATCAGTTGACTTAACAGATAAAAAGCTATGAGGATATGAAATAAAAACAGGTTTATTGCTATAAAGATGATTCTCTAAACAGTCTGGACTGGAAGATTCCTTAAGTACTGATTCGCCCTTAAGTAAAATAGCGTTAACCGCAGAATAATTAAACTTTTTCATTTTTTATAGATAAGGGGTGTTCTACAATCAAATTTATTTCAAACATAATTCAGCAGAAGCGGAGATATTTGCATAAAAACTTACGTCAAACAAAAAAAGCTAATTAATCTTTACTAATAATCGGAAACAAGTATATTACCTGAAAAAGTAGTTGGCGTCGAGGTAGTAATTTTCATCGAATTTGTCGTACTAGATGTGGTGGAAGGCGTGGTCGTAGTTTTAAGAGTTGTTGATGAGGTTGGATTAACAGGGCCTGCGCCATTGCCTAGGGAAACAACAACAGGATGATGAAATGCAAATGAACTGAACTCGACTAGGGAACTACTAGTAATGTGTGATATCACTATTAGCATATACACTTTCATTTTCCAAAATAAAAAAAATCGATCTAAGGATGACCAATTCCATGTAATGCATTGACGTGTTCTGTTAAAGTATCAATATGATTCAAACCGTTTTACTTGTGCAGCAGAGAATAATTCTGTGTCATATTCCTATCTACTACTGTACATCTACCCATTTTAAGTATTATAGCGTGTGTATATTTCAAAGAAAGAAAACATACCACAGCCAGTGAGTGTTACATCGTCGATGGATACGACCTTACTAAAAGCAAAACCAGGCTTTATTTGAGCTTGAATCAGAACCTGAATAATGGATAGAAGTGTGTATAAAACTACTCGTATACAACGTTGAAAACAGGTTGATACGTTGAATTGCCGTTGATCTACCTAAATTCAAAGTTAAATCAACGTTGATCCAGCCACGTTGACTCAACGTTGTATTTTGGTCAATGACACAACCTTGCAGTTATGGATAATTTAAAATATTAATTATTGAAAACGTGACACTTTGTTTATCAATACTGTAACTAAATTTATCAAAATAATAACAAAATGGTTTTAAAGTAAAAGTGACAGTTGTTTTGTGTCTTTAGTTAACTAGTGAATTTTCTTAACTTGTTATTCAGAAATACATTCCAATAAACTGAATTCCTTGCAAGGTCAGCTAACACTAGGATGAATAAGTTGCTGTAAATGTGATGGAGTTAACAGTTCTTAGTAACCTGTTATAGATAGACAGGTTGAGGTGACTGTGACCTTGTTATATATATATATATATATATATATATATATATATATATATATATATATAAACCTTGGAAATTTTAACTTAAAGGCCATACAATTATATCCTACATATATTTAGCCATCAAACATGTCCTACTGCTAAACACATCCAGGCTAATTTCCCGATGGGTGGGGTTGATATAACATTTTTTCTGACGTTGATACAACGTTGTTATCTGAGGTTGACACAACTTTCAAATCCAACGTTTATTCAATGTCTTTTCAACGTTGTGGTTCAACGTTGTTTCAACGTTAAAACAACATAATTTGCCCGCTGGGAAGATTTCAAAGTTACATTAACTTCATCAGATACTTCGAAATCAAAATGTTTTGCGTCCTTTGAAAGTAAAGGATATCGAAAAAGGAAAAAAATGATGAACAATAAAAAGCTAGTCTGAAACTGATACGGTTACTTTCACAAACCTGAAAGTCCCCTAGGTTGGAGAAAGAAGTGATGTCAATTGGTCCACTGTATGTCCAATCATTTCCTTTTACTTGTTGGGCCCATATTTGTTTTGTCTGTTGCATTGACCCTGTTTTCACATGAGCAGTTAATAATATTTTGTCACTGTTCATGTAATAATAAAGTCCTATGCTGCATGGAACATTTGTCTGAGGAATACGTGGTGATGTTATAATTGCTTTCTGGTTTCCAGCAGTACCACTTCTCCACTTGACTGTAAGGAACTGTCCGTTAAAACCTTGGGTACGAAAACAAAAATATTATCCAAAAAAATTGTCGTGCAATGGATTTGATTTTAAAATATCATACAATAATTCTGACAATTGAGGCATTAAAGTTAATGCATTTTCCAATAGCCAGGGCAGACTTCAAAGGTTATCAGAACATTTGCACCATATTATTTCACATACAGTCAAACACGCACACAAGCAGACAGACGCCCCCCCCCCCCCCCCAACACACACACACACACACAAACACATTTGCAAGAAAAACACCTTTTGAGCCAATTGTGTGATCTTCAGTTGGTAATCCTTTATGTCTTCCAATCTGTTGCCATTTAAATCTGTCTTCATCTGAAGACAACGAGTACCCACAAAAGGATCCATCAAAATTACACGTAGCTCCATCACCTGAAAATAAGTCAATAGTCTCACGTCCATGATCAGGCTATATCGTTTGCGTTAGAATGCTATTCGGAGAGGTGTAAAAATTATTATTCATCTGGAGGAAAGTATTACTTCTTAACAACCGAACATTTCAAATATTAACCCTTTAATTTGCATGGTAGAGGTGTGCGCGGTCAAATATGGCAGGAATGGACGCACACATGTAGCTCACAAACAGACGCCCTAGCAAGACAGCAAGGACGGGGCTTCAGGAGCCATATAGGTAGCCGGTACAATTGCTATATCTTTGATAATTTCCAACAGAGACATTTTACATCAGTTGACTTCACAGATAAAAAGCTATGAGGATATGAGATAAAAACAGGTTTATTGCTATAAAGATGATTCTCTAAACAGTCGCGACTGGAAGATTCCTTTAGTACTGATTCGGCTTAAGAAAAATAGCGTTAACCGCAGAATAATTAAACTTTTTCATTTTTTATAGATAAGGGGTGTTCTACAATCAAATTTATTTCAAACATAATTCAGCAGAAGCGGAGATATTTGCATAAAACTTACGTCAAAGAAAGAAAGCTAATTAATCTTTACTAATAATCGGGAACAAGTATGTTACCTGAAAAAGAAGTTGGCGTCGAGGTAGTAATTTTCATCGAATTTGTCGTACTAGATGTGGTGGAAGGCGTGGTCGTAGTTTTAAGAGTTGTTGATGAGGTTGGATTAACAGGGCCAGCGCCATTGCCTAGGGAAACAACAACAGGATGATGAAATGCAAATAAACAACTCGACTAGGGAACTACTAGTAATGTGTGATATCATTATTAGCATATACACTTTTATTTTCCAAAATAAAAAAAAAAAATCGATCTAAGGATGACCAATTCCATGTAATGCATTGACGTGTTCTGTTAAAATATCAATATGATTCAAACCGTTCTACTTGTGCAGCAGAGAATAATTCTGTGTCATATTCCTATCTACTACTGTACATCTACCCATTTTAAGTATTATAGCGTGTGTATATTTCAAAGAAAGAAAACATACCACAGCCAGTGAGTGTTACATCGTCGATGGATACGACCTTACTAAAAGCAAAACCAGGCTTTATTTGGGCTTGAATCAGAACCTGAATAATGAATAGAAGGATGTATAAGACTACTCGTATACAACAGTAGATACAGCCCGAGTGACTAGATTTCAAAGTTACATTAATTTCATTAGATACTTCGAAATCAAAATGTTTCGTGTCCTTTGAAAGTAAGGGATACCGAAAAGAAGAAAAATGTTGAACAATAAAAAGCTAGTCTAAAACTGATACGGTCGCTTTCACAAACCTGAAAGTCCCCTAGGTTGGAGAAAGAAGTGATGTCAATTGGTCCACTGTATGTCCACATATACCTATTTACTTGGTGGGCCCATATTTGTTTTGTCTGTTGCATTGTCGCTGTTTTCAAGTGTGCGGTTAATGATATTTGGTCACTGTTCATGTAATAATAAAATCCTACGCTACATGGAGCATTTGTCTGAGAAATACGTGGTGATGTTATAACTGCTTTCTGGTTTCCAGTATTACCACTTGTCCACTTGACTGTAAGGAACTGTCCGTTAAAACCTTGGGTACGAAAACAAAAATGTTACCCACAAAACATTTTCGTGCAATGGATGTGATAAAGAAATTATACAATAATGCCTTAAAGTTAATGCAGTTCCCAATAACCAGGGCAGATTTCAAAGGGTATTAGAACATTTGCACCATATTATTTCACATTCAGTCAAATACACACACACAAACACATTTCCAAACAGAGAGAGGGGGAAAGAAAAAACAGCTTTTGTGCCAATTGTGTGATCTTCAGTTGGTAATCCTTGTTTCCATCCAATCAGTTGCCATTTGAAGACAACGAGTACCCACAAATAAAATACCCACATTAGAATGGGTAAGAAAAAATGTTGATAAGACTCTTTTTATGATGTCTATCCATCTTTTAGCAGTTAAACACAAAGGGCTAATACATGCTTGTCATATCTCAACTTATAGCACAATTAACGAATGGACGCGTACATGTAGCTCACAAACAGACACCCTAGCAGGGGCCTCAGGACCCATACAGGTAGCTGCCCAGCGGGCAAATTATGTTGTTTTAATGTTGAAACAACGTTGAACCATAACGTTGATAATACGTTGGATAAACATTGGATTTGAAAGTTGACTTAAAGTCAGATAACAACATTGTATCAACCCCAGTTGTTAGACAACATTCTTGCATGAATAGACATTAAAATGACCTGAAATGTTTTTATTTTTGGTACAAAAGACAGGTACACAATTATAACGTACACTGTAAAAACATCCATGTGCCTGCTTTGTCTGATTTTTTTTCAACACATTTAACTCCGAAGCATGTTTTGCACCTAAGCATGGTACACCCTTTTAGCCTGGATGTGTGTAGCAGTAGGACATGTTTGATGGCTAAATATATGTAGGGTATATATGTATGGCCTTTAAGTTATAATTTCCAAGGTTTAGGTTATATATATATATATATATATATATATATATATATATATATATATATAGTTATTTTCTTTTATATATATATATATATATATATATATATATATATATATATATATATATATATATAACAAAGTCACAGTCACCTCAACCTATCTATAACAGGGTACCAAGAACTGTCAACTTTATTAACTTCACTCCATCACATTTACAGCAACTTATTCATCCTAGTTTTAGCTGACTTTGCAAGGAAGTTTATTGGAATGTATTTCTGAATAACAAGTTAACAAAATCCACTAGTTCACTATAGACACAAAACAACTGTCACTTTTACTTTAAAACACTTTTTTATTATTATTTTGATAAAGTTAGTTACAGTATTGATAAACAAAGTATCACGTTTTCAATAATTAATATTTTAAATTACAATCCATGTCTGCAAGGTTGTGTCAATGACCAAAATACAACGTTAAGTCAACGTCTCATTATGACGGTGTTTTGACGTGGCTGGATCAACGTTGATTTTACGTTGAATTTAGGTAAATCAACGGCAGTTCACCGTATCAGCCTGTTTTCAACGTTGATCCAACGCGACTATGCCTGTTGGGTGGTACAATTGCTATATCTTTGATAATTTCCATCAGAGACATTTTACTTAGGATGACTTCACAAATAAAAAGGCTGTGAGGATATGAGATAAAAACAGGTTTATTGCTATAAAGATGATTCTCTAAACAGTCGGGACTGGAAGATTCCTTAAGTACTGATTCGGCCTTAAGAAAAATAACAATAACAGCATGATAATTAATTTTTTTCATTTTTTGTAGATAAGGGGTGTTCTACAATCCAAATGATTTCAAACATAATTGAGCAGAAGCGGAGATATTTGCATAAAAACTTACGTCAAACAAAGAAAGCTAATTAATCTTTATTAATAATCGGAAACAAGTATATTACCTGAAAAAGTAGTTGGCGTCGAGGTAGTAATTTTCATCGAAGTTGTTGTACTAGATGTGGTGGAGGGCGTGGTCGTAGTTTTGAGAGTAGACACAGTTGTTGATGAGGTTGGATTAACAGGACCTGTGCCATTGCCTAGGGAAACAACAACAGGATGATGAAATGCAAATAAACAACTCGACTAGGGAACTACTAGTAATGTGTGATATCATTATTAGCATATACACTTTTATTTTCCAAAATAAAAAAAAATCGATCTAAGGATGACCAATACCATGTAATGCACTGACGTGTTCTGTTAAAATATCAATATCATTCAAAACGTTCTACTTGTGCAGCAGAGAATAATTCTGTGTCATATTCGTATCTACTACACTACATTTAGCCATTTTAAGTATTATAGTGTGTGTATATTTCAAATAAAGAAAACGTACCGCAGCCAGAGAATGTTACATCGTCGACGGATACGACCTTAATAAAAGCATAACCAGGCTTTATTTGGGCTTGAATCAGAACCTGAATAATGAATAGAAGGATGTATAAAACTACTCGTTTACAACAGTAGATATAGCCCGAGTGACTAGATTTCAAAGTTACATTATCTTCATCAGATACTTCGAAATCAAAATGTTTTGCGTCCTTTGAAAGTAAAGGATATCGAAAAAGGAAAAAAATGATGAGCATTAAAAAGCTAGCCTGAAACGGATACGGCCGCTTTCACAAACCTGAAAGTACCCTATGTTGGAGAGAGAAGTGATATCAATTGGCCCACTGTATGTCCAACCATTTCCTTTTACTTGGTGGGCCCATATTTGTTTTGTCTGTTGCGTTGACACTGTTTTCAAGTGTGCGGTTAATGATATTTGGTCACTGTTCATGTAATAATAAAATCCTATGCTACATGGAACATTTGTCTGAGGAATACGTGGTGATGTTATAATTGCTTTCTGGTTTCCAGCATTACCACTTCTCCACTTGACTGTAAGGAACTGCCCGTTAGAACCTTGGGTACGAAAACAAATATATTATCCACAAAACATTGTCGTGCGGTGGATTTGATAAAAAAATGCGTACAATAATTCTGGCAATTGAGGCCTTAAAGTTAATGCATTCCCAATAGCCAGGCAGATTTCAAAGGTTATCTGACCATTTGCACTTTATGTATGAGATAATACAATGTCACCCGAGCGATATATGCCATAATGGCATATATCGCGAGAGGGTGAGAGTGTATTACATGTATCTGACATACATACCGAGAAAAAATACAGTCATTTCATCCTAAAACACCCCTAAAATCGAATAAAGTGACCCTATATCACGCTCTAGAGATGTTATACGAATTCTGGTCACCTCCCGCCAAATTCTTACGTAATGTCTGACCAATTTGGCCAATTTTTGCTAAATACTTGTCGTGGACGTTCAACTGGCTTGAAAGGTATTTAATAAACAAGGAGCGTCGGACCGGAATATAATTTTTCACAAGTGCAAAGGAGAAAGAAATTTACTTTTTGGTGATATTTCTGACAACGATGCAGTTTCGGAATATAGTCAAAATCAGACGGCTGTTTATTACACGTTCACGGGAGTAATAATTCTAGTTTTTATTGTTATTTCTGACGACGAGGCGGTTACATTATATAGTCAAAATCAAATGGATGTTTATTTCGAGTCCACAGGAGTAACAATTTTACGTTTTGGTGACATTTTTTACTACGAGCCGGTTTCGGAATATGCATGTGCTAGTTTTCAGAGCATTCATGTGCTACATGTAATTACAAGTTCAAAGGGGGAATATATTTGATTTTTACCGATATATCTGATAAAGAGGAAGAATGAACAGCTTAAAAACAAAAGGTAAATAACACAACCCTCGTTAAAAAGTTATAGATTTACAAATAATTTGTATGCACGTGTGGCTTAAATGTAAACGAATTCCCGTTTTCAAACCATACCCATATGATATGACTTAGTAATAAAATTATAAATAATAATTGTTAAACGTGAAAAGTTTATGCTAATTTTTTGAGAGTGTGAGAGATTTTACATTTGTCTACTGGTAGCAAGCAAGCAACGTACAATGTAACTATTCTCTTGATGCCAAGAAGGTCGCATGATCACTCTGTATTTGGCTTTCAGCATTTAAGAGACCTCGACTGATATAACCAAGATGTAGTCGTGGAATTCTAGACTACATCGAGGTTAAATCCGAGTTTTCCGAGAGACGCTACGCAGAAATGTCGAGTGAAGCGAGATCGTTTTGGGTAGCGGCTCGAGGTTGCCTTCGATCTTCACTGAAGCTTGGCTAAATGGACAGGCTTCAGTGATCATCATATCGCCACGGTCATATAACATCCCTAGGTATGTATTATTTCACATACAAGAGAGTTTTGGCAAGGCCTTCCGTACGACGTATAACGTGCGATGTCATCACTTTGTGCGTAGTTTTTCTCAAGTCATAAGTCATACGGCACTACGTATGAATCGGTGATTACACGTAGGTAAGAAACGTGTCGAATTTAATAGATTTACGCTTATTTCTTTCAAGTTTAACATACTGCAGAGGAATATATAGGGTGTTAAGATTCCACTGAATCACTTTTAGACGCAGTCGGTAGAAATACTCTGTGAAAACAGCTGTAAAAACAGCCAGTCAATCAGTCGTCCGTAGTAGTATCAAATTCAATTTAAGTTGATTTTTTTTTCATAAACAACAGGATCTGCGGCATCAGTTGACGTAAATAACACATTCCATTCAACATCTTAATTATTCATCTATCTAAAAAGAATCCACAAGCAGCCCTATGTTCGTGCAATCCATATATATAGGCCTATACCCTTATCATTTTATTTTTTTGAATTGCAGATAATCATAATATAATAGCCTAGCTAATAAAGTCAGGAAAGTCAGTATGTCAGCCAAGAAAAAATCCATAATTTTTACTGATGACATGGACGAGATGTTGCTGAAGGAGGTAAACTTCTACTGGCGGAAAAAACCGCATACGGAGTGAGACCTGCCAAAACCACTGCTAGCTTTCTCGCGTACGTGAACCGTATTGCGTATTGAACTATACGTTACTTGTCATACGGAAGGCCTTGCCAAAACTCTCTACAGTCACACACACACGCACGCAAGCAGACAGACACACACACACACACACAAACAGAGAGAGGGGGAGAGAAAAAAAACACCTTTTGAGCCAAATGTGTGATCTTCAGTTGGTAATCCTTGATTCCATCCAATCTGTTGCCATTTAAATCTGTCTTCATCTGAAGACAACAAGTACCCACAAAAGGATCCATCAAAATTACACGTAACTCCATCACCTGAAAATACGGTAAGTCAATAGTTTCACGTCCATGATCAGGCTATATCGTTTGCATTAAAATGCTACTCGGAGAGGTGTAAAAATTATTATTCATCTGGAGGAAAGTATTACTTCTATACGACTAAGCATTTCAAATATTAACCATTTCATTTGCATGGTAGAGGTGTGCGCAGTCAAATACATGTGTATGGCCGACCCACTTGAATGCTTCCGCACGGGAATCTATTTACAGGGCAGTGTCTATAAGCGGATTAGACGGCAAGCTATTTATTGGGTCGCCATATTTGACCCGCAGACTAGTTACTCCAGTTCAGAATGCGGCCATATATGTATAAAATATGTGTTTGTAATACAAATGTAGAAATCATTGCAATTAGAATGGGTAAGAAGGTATAGATAAAGTACGAGGCGCTGAGCTTTACGCGAAATAGAGCAGATAATTGGCGAGGCGAAGCGTAAAGCTCAGCGCCGAGATCTGGCTTAAAGCACGAGTAATTAACCCTGTGCACTGGTGCGTGGAACGCATTCGTGGATGACGTGACTTTACACGAAATAAAGCACGGCGCGACCCATTGTCTTTTGACAGGAGAGTGCTTTAAAACATGTTGATAAGACTCTTTTTATGATGTCTATTCATCTTTTAGCAGTTAAACACAAAGGGCTAATACATGCTTGTCATATCTCAATGGAGAGCACAATTAACGAATGGACGCACACATGTAGCTCACAAACAGACGCCCTAGCAAGACAGCAAGGACGGGGCGTCAGGAGCCATATAGGTAGCCGGTACAATTGCTATATCTTTGATAATTTCCAACAGAGACATTTTACATCAGTTGACTTAACAGATAAAAAGCTATGAGGATATGAAATAAAAACAGGTTTATTGCTATAAATATGATTCTCTAAACAGTCGGGACTGGAAGATTCCTTAACTACTTATCCGGCCTTAAAAAATAGCGTTAACCGCAGAATAATTAAACTTTTTCATATTTTATAGATAAGGGGTGTTCTACAATCCAATTTATTTCAAACATAATTCAGCAGAAGCGCAGATATTTGCATAAAACTTACGTCAAACAAAGAAAGCAAATTAATATTTACTCATAATCGGAAACAAGTATATTACCTGAAAAAGAAGTTGGCGTCGAGGTAGTAATTTTCTTCGAATTTGTCGTACTAGATGTGGTGGAAGGCGTGGTCGTAGTTTTAAGAGTTGTTGATGAGGTTGGATTAACAGGGCCTGCGCCATTGCCTAGGGAAACAACAACAGGATGATGAAATGCAAATAAACTGAACTCGACTAGGGAACTACTAGTAATGTGTGATATCATTATTAGCAGATACACTTTTATTTTCCAATATAAAAGAATCGACCTAAGGATGACCAATTCCATGTAATGCATTGACGTGTTCTGTTTAAATATCAATATGATTCAAACCGTTCTACTAGTGCAGCAGAGAATAATCCTTTTTTATATTAATATCTGCTACTCTACATCTGCCCATTTTAAGTACACGCCTCCCCATGTGTCGTCCCAATGGAGCCGAGATATAATGACTGTCCCCCCGCAGGGACGACGTGTGGGGAGGCGTGTGAGAGGCGGACAGACTATTAAAAGATAAGGCGGTTTTTCTTTCATGTACGACCGCCATATTTAGTCCCCAGGATTTGTAAAGCCTGGCTCAACTCGTTGTGAATGCGATCATAGTGTGTGTATATTTTAAAGAAAGAAAACGTACCACAGCCAGTGAATGTTATATCGTCGATGGATACGATCGTACTAAAAGCATTACCAGGCTTTATTTGGGCTTGAATCAGTACCTGAATAGTAAATATAATGATGTATAAAACTACTCGTATACAACAGTAGATATAACCCGATTGACTATAGATTTCCAATTTGCATTAACTTCATGAGATACTTCGAAATCAAAATCTTTTGTGTCCTTTGAAAGTAAGGGATACCGAAAAAGGAAAAAAAAGATGAACAATAAAAAGCTAGCCTGAAACGGATACGGCCGCTTTCACATACCTGAAAGTCCCCTAGGTTGGAGAAAGAAGTGATGTTAATTGGTCCACTGTATGTCCACATATTCCTTCTTACTTGGTGGGCCCATATTTGTTTTGTCTCTCGCATTGTCGCTGTTTTCAAGTGTGCGGTTAATGCTATTTGGTCACTGTTCATGTAATAATAAAATCCTATGCTACATGGAGCATTTGCCTGAGAAATACGTGGTGATGTTATAATTGCTTTCTGGTTTTCAGCAGTACCACTTGTCCACTTGACTGTAAGGAACTGACCATTAGGACCTTGGGTACGAAAACAAAAATGTTATCCATAAAACGTTGTCGTGCAATGGAGTGTGGAAAAATTATATAATAACCCTTTCGAGCCGGCCTTTGATTTCAATGCAGTTTCCAATAGACAGAGCAGATATCTAAGGGTATCAGAACATTTGCACTAAACCTTTTCACATACAGTCACACAGACGCCCACACACACACACACAAAGAGAGGGGGAGAAAAAATACCTTTTGTGCCAACTGTGTGGTCTTCAGTTGGTAATCCCTTATTTCTTCCAATCTGTTGCCATTTAAATCTATCTTCATCTGCAGACAACGAGTACCCACAAAAGGATCCATCAAAATTACATGTGGCTCCTTTACCTGAAAATTACAAGAAAGGTCTCACGTCGACTGAAGCTACGTGTGTACATGTATATCGTTTGTGTTAACCTATATATCAAACTCGACCATTTCATGTGCATGGTTGGGTGTGGGCGGACTTTGACGAATCCCACTGTATTGCCTTAAATATAAATACGCGATTGTTAACACGCGTTTATGAAACAGATGTGGAAAACATTACAGTTTAAAAATGTGTAAGAAACTTTAGACTCTTTCTTTCTGATACGTATTCATCTTTTGGCAATTAAAGACAAAGGAGCAATGCTTGTTACACATGCACTGCATCTCCACAATCATAGCTTCAGATAGATATCCGACATAGAGCACAATTAACAAACAGACGCACTGACAACAAACAGATACTCGAGCGGACGACAAGGACGAGGCTGAAGGAGTGACCGGTACGACTGCTAAGTCACATAATTTCCATCAGAGACATTTTACCAGAGATGGCTATAACATAGTGAGCAAAGGGGATATAAAATGTGAAATACACCGAAGAGAACGAAACCAACTAATCTCTTCGATATTTTAAGAGATCAGGCCAAATGCCCTTGTCACAAATCGTCCCCGATAGTGCTCATACTTACCAAGAGCGTTTTTTGCACAGGAAAGCACCATCGCAGCGCTTATTAGCAGCGTGTTAATCATCTTGATCCCCATTATTCTCCCTCGCGCAGTCTCTGTCAGACCGGAACAGAGGGGAGTGGTGGTCTGCCGAAGTGTCCCAGTTAAGACACAACAAGGGGTGGCACGGGGAGCCCGGTTCTCAGCTATCTCAGCAGTACATATATTATTTTGTTGACCTTCACGATAAAGAGGCGGGATTTTATAAGATTTCCTAACTGGACTCAAATATCGTTTTTCATGAGATGTCATATCGTGTTTTGTTATTAAATTATAAGCAATATAATCTCAGAGAGGGCGAATCTGACAGGATATTATGGAAAAGGTGTTATTTCAACACATATGTTTAATCCTTGAAAGGAACTTTGCTTGTTTTTTTTTTAAATCTGGGGGCTAGCTGGTTTGTCAATTATTAATATAAAGTAAGCATCAGTGCACTTCAAAAGATCAAACCTACACATCGTCTCAGTAAATAATGGGAACTGCGACCTTGAGGATACATGTAACTAAGGCCCTTTAAATCCATCCAGCACTGAACATAAGCGTTTGATTTTTTGTTTTTTTCAACAAAAGTTATGACCACTCATTATATCAGGGTCTCGCAAGACATCATCAAAATGAGGCTGTGGTTGTTAGAATAATCTCTACCCAGATGTACAGCTACCGGTAGTGTAGTTTACCTGTGTTGAAAGAAACATTATGATCTAAAAGCCATATTTTGTAATACACTAAGCCATCACCAAATGACAGCTACGAAGGAGCGGTTGATACATTCAAGTTACTATACTAGGATTCAAATGCACCAAATAATCTCCACACCGCATTCATGCTCTAATCTCCATGTCGTTATCGCCAAAGCAGGGCTCGTTGGTGCTAGGCGCTACCACCTAGACACTGTCCTTGCACAATATGATAACGCGTGTGTATAAGGTGATCGTACAATAGGACACTGTGTCATTTAACGATAACAGTAGATGCTACACTGTTTTCTGAAAGATTCAGGGGGTGGGTAGCCCACCCACCCCCTTTTCCCATTCAAATACCGGACTCGGCCTTTGGGTGTGTCCCTTACCGAAAGAGTAGACCTACTGGTCTGAGACCCACAAAAATACTGTTAAATACCTCAAATGTCCATATATTTCCCTAATGTCTCATAACCTGGATCCCCTAGTGTTCTACCAGTCCCCCCAGACTCCCGTGGATAACAGGTGTATGCTTAACATAAAGAGATGACAACTCTTCACTTTGGCGGGAAAAGTGTCATAAAACGGATTTTCTGGGGGTAAAGACAATTTATCATACTTTCCAAGGGTTAATGAATCCGGTTCGGCATTCAAAGTGAATCGATTAATTATTTTAAGTGTGGTTAGTGGGAATAACCATTTTAGAGAATATTACGGAAGGTTGCCATCTATGAAGGTCCACGTGGTCCATTGGCAAGCACAGATTCCAGAATGCTTGCGATAGCCGCGGTTTTGGTGGTAAAATGGAATTTATTATACTTCTATGTGTTGTTTATAATGTATTTATCTTGGACTTTTGAATCTTATTTGAAGAGATGTTATCCCTTTAATATACAGTGGTAATGAAGACGCCACGGTACCTTAGTCACTCGAAAGATAATACAATTAATTATCTACATATCACATCTGCTGTATGTAGAACAGTTTAAATGTGTTTTGTTATTTGTTTTCTGTATATTTTCAAGTCGATCCCGTTTCTTAGCGATTTGTAAATTCTCCATTTTTGTCGATGTGTGGTTTATGGTTAATTTCTTGTTCTTTGGAGCTGACACACCAGATTAATAGCACAACAAAATAACCCACGCCAAACGAGAAATAGCAGTTGCGTGATTTGAAGCGCTTGTCATGGCTTCGCCACGTGTCTAAACATCATCGACCACGTGCTATACAGGTATGTTTCATTCTCTCTCTCTCTATATATATATATAAATTTTCCAGGCATGAGCGCCCCATCTATTATTTTGTTTCTTTTACTATTTTTTTTACATTCTGTCTCAAACCAATATCAGCACCAGCATGTCAAACACTATAATATACAGCTTGTTCAGCAATCGATCTTATCGTATTCAGTAGGAAATATAAGGTTGCTCTTAGTGAAGATGTCACGGCAGTTTCTAGATCAGGTGAGGGCGTGGGTTCCGGGAAGCAGAATATATGTAAATGATTAAGTATTTTGAGACATGAAGGACAATGACCATGATCACTTGGGATGATATTAATAATAAAGAGAAGTGTTGGGAAAGTGAATTAAGAATGAAGGGCAGAGGCGTTTTGGAGAGCAAAAAGACAGAAAATGGAACCGAGTGTTTATTTCGTGAGCAGGCCTTGTGAGAAAAGGGAAATGACAAATGAAGTAAAAAGCCAGATGAGCTGTGTGAGTTGTCGGTCGCCAGGAAAGGAAGATTGGAAATAGAATCGGTGGAGGAAAACGGAAAACGGTCGCCAATGTTTGGAGATGAGGCGTGGCATGATGATGGAGCACTTAGAACTCTGCAGCTTTTCAGCTTTCATTCTTTAAGAATTAAAGAAATAAAAAAAAAAAGAAAAGAAAGAACGGAATGGTCTTTATTATTCATATTTACATATAATCTCCCCTTCGCCTAAAGCTGAAATGGTCTCTTGCAATGTGTTAGGTGAGAGCCAATACTAAATGATACGATTTTCACTTCTTTTCCTCGCACAGTCGTATATTCCATTGCGTGAACGCATTCGTTGTCACAGCTCCATCGGCTACAATAGGATAACGGTCTAAAGCACTTGTGGATCCATGATTTGAGTAAAGGGAAAGGGGGCAGAGTCAATAGCAAATAGAACACAGCTGACGAGGGCTCCTTCTAGGACACAGGGAATTAAAATTGCTCAGTTTGGCGTTGTGTCTTGAGGGAAAAACGGGGTGCCGGGGAAGGATGGGGCGGGGGACCGGGGGCACGTATTCCACTGTGACCTCTCCTCTTCATCTACATGTACCTTAACCTTGTTATAGATCTATATCCCGACTGTGTGTTGTTCTCCCGGTGGTATACCTATTAAAGATGAATTTTATATTTTAGTTTAGTGATTATAAATATTTTGGAAGGGGGTTTACTAGTTAGAAGTACATGTTACTTTTAACTAAACTGAGTTTTTTTAATCTTTATGGTAGCCAGTGTTGATTTATATGTACATGTAAATTTGTAAACTTTACAGTCATCGGAGGCAATTTCTAAAATATTTCAACTAAGAAACTCTATAACATAGTATTACATAGTATTATTTATTTATTTATATTTCAATTGCAATTCTACATGTAGCCTATGTAGATAAAGACAGAGAAAATAAAGGACCCTAAGGTCTGCCGTCGGATTAGAGCCCTC